AGAGCTCCAGAGGCGTATGCTGCAGCAATTTCGCCACTAGAATGACCGACGACTGCATCTGGGACAACCCCTACTGATTTGAGAGTATCTACCAGTGCAATCTGAATTGCAGTGCAAAGTGGTTGGGAAAATTCGGCCAAAGATAGTCGGCTCTTCTTGCCCGGTCTCTTGAGCTCTTCCTCGATTGTATATTGAGGTTTCTCAGCGTCAATGGTCTGTAGGTATTGATCGAGAGCTCTGATGCTAGACTTGAAGACTTCATTCGATCGAAGCAACTCTCGTCCCATCTGGGGCCACTGGGCGCCCTGACCAGTAAAAACCATCACAACACTCGGCGGTTTCCCTGACTTTGATCTTGTAGGCTGCGAAACACTGTCAACGACACCATTACTGACAATTGCAAATGCTCTGTGCGGTAAGTGCTCCCTCCTCCTCGCCAAAGTGTAGGCCAAATCACCCACTTTGTCTGGATTCTCCTCAATCCATGATTTGTAATTGTCGATTAGCTGTGTGATCGACTTTGGCGAATTTGCTGTAAATAGTAGAAGCTGGGGTGTCTCCGGAGTTTCATAATCCGGAGTCGGGATATTGTAGGCAGCGGCAGATTCTAGGATAACATGGGCATTTGCACCACCGATCCCGAATGAATTGACACTGACCCGTTCGAGTCTGTCTTCTGGCCACGGAGTTGGTTCCGTGGGCACTGTGAGTTTGCAATCCACAAACGGGATGTTTGGATTAGGACTAGTGAATTTGATGTTTGGAGGGATTATACGGTGTTCGAGTGCTTTCACCATCTTCAGGAGTGATACCAAGCCGGATGCCGCTTCAGTGTGCCCGAGATTTGGCTTGACTGATCCTATGTGGACTCCTTTCTCCCCAAAAACTCTGGCGACCGCTTTCGCTTCGATAGGGTCCCCAGTGGGCGTTCCCGTCCCGTGGCATTCGACCATGGCGGTTTCCGCGTAGTTATTGATACCCCCCAGCTCATATGCTCTCCTTATAAGAGCTTCTTGTGCATCAGTGCTAGGCTGTGACAGCGTTGGAGTCTTCCCATCCGCGTTATGGGATGTGGCTCTCACGACAGCTCGAATTGGGTTGCCATCTCTAAGGGCATCTGCTAACGGTTTGATGAAAACCGCTGTAACCGCTTCTCCACGGGCGTACCCGTTAGCATCAGCAGAGAAAGTCTTGCATGAACCGTCCTTGGATAGAACCCCCTGTTCCTGCATCGCCATTGACATCCCCGGTGCAAGAATGAGATTGACGCCCCCTACTAGCGCAGATTCACAGTCACCTCTGCTAATAGCAGCGCAGGCTTCATTCAATGCCACCAAAGCGGAAGAACAAGCCGTGCGAATAGTCATGCTATTTGACCGTGTCAGTATGGAAGTATTTCAACGTCAACCTAACTCAGAGATATTATACCTTGGTCCTTGTAAATCGAACTCATAAGATAGGCGGTTGGCCACAACAAAGTCTCCTGAGCCAGAGATACGATGTATCCCCCATGGCTGAGTCTCCTTTCCAAGCATCTCCAGCCAATCCTCCCCAAAATTGCCAATGTAAGTACCAATAGTCTTGCCTCTCCAGTTTGTCACACCCGCATCCTCAAATGCTTCTCTTGCTACTTCTAGCATCAGTCGTTGCTGAGGATCGGCTCGCTCTACCTCTGTGCGTGTCATGGTGAAAAATGACATATCCAGCGCAGCGATATCGGTGTTTTGATCTAGAAAGTATCCGTACTCTGTGGAGACAGTACCCGGCTGCTTAATATCCGAGTAGTACGAGTTGATGTTATATCTTGACTCTGGGACACGACATCGACCATCTTTTTTTGCCAGGAGGAAATTCCAGAATTCTTCAGGCGTCGTTAGGCCACCGGGTAGGCGACATGCCATACCGCAAATTGCAATGGGGATTTGGCCATTGCAAGGGATTGCATCAGCAGAAACACCATTTATGCCGTTGGTGTCGGGTAATGGGCCTTTCGCATGCACACCGTTCGTTGAATGCCCGTTCGTACTGGTTCCATTCAGTTTCAACCCCATTGTCACGGCCTGGGCATCAACGTTGCGATTATTGTTTATGGTCATAACTGTGATTCGTTGCTGATGTTTGAGAAATAAAAGCTAGTTATCCGTGTCATAGAAGCAGCTCCGCCTTCTCATAAACATCAAAATATGATACCTGCTGATACCCTGCGCGTTTTCCCCCTATATTCTACAAAATAGCTATAAGCCGGGTCCCGTAGCGGCAAACTCCTCCTTTCGCTGGCCGGAACCCGTGTTAGCGATGAGCCGCATCTCGGGCCGCACTGCCGACGGGACTATTCATAATCTCAATTAGGTAATATATATATCAAATTGAGTGTGAAGTAGTTCGTCGGATTGACTGATTGTATCACTGAGCGTTCTTAGCACCACTCCATTATAGCCTTTGAACCGCTGCGCAAAGCGTTCCTCACTTCCTGCAGTTTCACCATGGCAGCTAACAGCAAAAGTGTCTCTGAGGTGGTCTCCTGGATTAAGAGCCAAAAACCTGTGGCTCCCCAGATGAAGGATGCTCCAACATTCTACCGAAATCTCGAGGAGGCTTTGGATGTTCGACGATCTACCCAATCTATGCTTACCCGAGGTCAAAATACCTGGAAAACCGGAGACGCCATAGACTTCTGCTCCAACGACCTGTTGTCTCTGGGACTCACAGGAGAACTAAGAGCCGAGTTCCTAGCAGAACTGGCAAGACACCCCGATTTTGCTCTGCATTCAGGTGGTTCTCGCGTGATGGGTGGCAACTACGACTATATCGAGGAAGTAGAGCAAGAAATCGCAGACTTTCTTGGGTCAGAGACAGCTCTCATGTTTAATTCGGGCTCTAATGGAAATATTGCCATCTACACTGCAATCCCTCGGCCAGGAGATGCCATTGTGTACGATGAACTAGTCCACTTCAGCACACACACGGGCATGGCTGCTTCGTTAGCCACGACTAAGGTTGCATTTCGTCACAATGATCTCGACGCCTTTCGAGAGGCGATGTCATCTACGATGGACTCTCATCCCATGCTTAAAGACGGCTCGCGCTCGATACTCGTATCTGTAGAGTCAATATATAGCATGGATGGAGATGTCTGCCCTTTAGTGGAGATGCTTGAGATTGCTAGAGAGATCTGTCCCAAGGGTAACTTTGCCTTTATTGCGGATGAAGCCCATGCCACTGGAGTTGTTGGTGAGCGGGGGGCTGGCCTTGTCAAGTTGCTAGGCCTCGAGAAAGATATTGCAATTCGACTTAATACATGCGGGAAGGCTTTGGCCTGCACTGGATGTGAGATCAGAACTCAAGTTTAATATCTGAGAAAGCAGATTAACTAACAATATCTTCAAAAGCTGTTGTTCTTGGAAACACAACGGTCCGAAACACGATGCTAAATTTTGCTGGCTCTTTGGTGAATACCACGGCCCCGTCTTTCCCTTCGGTTGCGGTAGTTCGAGCGGCGTACAATCTGATGAGAACCGGCGCCACCCAGAAAGTACGTTACCGTTTGCAAATCCGTGGAACACCTTTCCATGCTATATATTAACAGTGGTAAATTATCTAGGCCCAAGACAACATACAGCATCTTGTCAAATATTTCTTCAAAACCATTATTTCGAACCCCATTTGGGATAAAGCAACTGATACGGGTATCTTGTCTATCCCAGTGAGCGAGGATTATGAGTCCAACGATTTTGTGACGCACATAGTACCAATCTGGACCCGACAAAAGTACAACTGGTGGCTTTTTTTCCACCTACAACTAGCGAAAATAGCGGTTGTCCCTATCGACTACCCGCAGGTTCCCAAAGGCAAGTCCCGAGTCAGGGTGATGATTCATGCTGGAAATACAGAGGCGGAAGTGGATTACTTGGCAGCCACGATTTGCAGCTTTGTGAGTGAGATGATTGAGATTGAGGAGGGTGGTGAAAAGGGGAAGTTGCCAAAAGCCGCGCAGCAGATCTACGCGCTGATGGCGGCGAATGCGTGAGGCACGAATGTGTATTAGAATATGTGAAACTGATTAGTTCCGCATAAGCTCAACATTATGGGATAAAAATGGACCTAGAAAATACCATGAGGGAAAAACCACACAGATGCAGGCTTAGACACATCATAATGGTATCGTCAATTCGCAGCCTCGACCAAGGCAGACAAATGAAAATTTTGCTCTCTATATCTGGTCACAGTAGTCAGTTATCGTACCACGCGACATATGTGTATGTATGGTTCGATTCCAAGCTCATATGCGAGTATAGAAATCGAGTTTAGCTTCGTGCAACTCGTTACACCGTGTGAGGTAAGAGCCTCATCGCTAGTTACGCCAAGCTGCCAGATAAGTTTAACTCGTTATACTTAAAGTTTATGGCTCAGCTGCGGGCCGAGCCGCCGTCACCGGATCCCGGGCTCCTCTCCAATCGCTGATGTCAATGCACTCCCATCTCATACATATTTGAATTCCTAGTTTGTGCCCAGGGGTAATCCTAAGAAGCTTAGCAAAACCGAAGGCTATTCCTCAATCAGCAACCTCCACCATGGGTATACATATAACACTGACAATCACTTTTGCCGAAGGGTCCTATTCTGCGGATATGGTCTGTGCCCGCCATTGACTCAAATTCAACACCATGATGGGGCGCATCGACGATATTTTTAGTATTATTTACCTCGGAGTGGCGGCTGGTGTCTACTTCAAGCCGGAATATGCCATGTGTGGATCCAGAGTCGCGGCAATCGCTATTCTATCTATAATAGTCATCCTATCAAAACTTGTCTATCAGCTCTTTCTCTATCCTCGATTCTTCACGCCGTTAAAATGCTTTCCCACCCCACCAGTGAGCAACCACTTTTTATCTTACTAGTTACCTAGTTGCAAGTTTGACTCAGAAACTAATATTGTCTAGAATCGACACTGGCTCACAGGCAACACGAAGAGCCTGCTTGTAGACACCCCCCATGCCGAAATGAAGGTGTGGGCGAGAGACATCCCCAATGAAGGGATCATTCGTTACTACATCGCAGGAAACCTTGAAAGGATCACAGTAACTAGCCCCAAAGTACTAAGCGAGGTTTTAGTAAGCAAAGCATACGATTTTGCAAAGCCACTGGTCATACAGCAAGGATTGGGTCGACTGCTCGGCAATGGCATTTTGCTTGCTGAAGGCGACGAGCACAAGGTAGGAAATGATCGCTTAATGTCTCCAGTTCTATGTTTCGATTCTCACGGGTATCGATATAGTTCCAACGCAAGAATCTTATGCCAGCCTTTGCATACCGTCATATAAAGAATCTCTATCCTGTCTTCTGGTCCAAGAGTATAGAGATGGTGAGGTTGATTCGAAAGGAACTAAAAGGTCGAAAACCTACAGAAGACAATACGATTGAAGTTAAGAACTGGGCCGGCCGCTCTTCGCTGGACATCATCGGCCTGGCGGGGATAGGTCGGGACTTCGACTCACTGCGCGACCCTGAAAACAGTCTTAGTAGATCATATGAAATGATCTTCACGGCCCCTGACGTAATGACCAAGGCCCTTTTTATGCTTGGAATGCTCCTTGGAGACACGAAGTGGCTGGCAAAATTACCCACTAGGCGGAATAAGACAATCGATACAGGTCGCAGCAATATCCGCAAAGCTGCACGGCAGATGATTGAAGAGCACAAAGCAAAGATGCAGGATCCGGATGTGGAGATCGGCGTTGACATTATTTCGGTTGCAATGCAGAGCGGAAACTTTGACGACGAAAATCTCGTCGACCAGCTGATGACCTTCCTGGGGGCCGGTCATGAAACTACGGCCGCGGCTCTTCAGTGGGCTATATATTCGCTTTGCAAGCAACCGGAGGTCCAGACCCGCCTCCGTGAAGAGGTGCGCGCTAATCTACCACCTATTAATGTCGGGAATCCAGGCCCTATTGATGCTGCAGCAGTCGATAACCTTCAGTATCTAAACGCTGTCTGCAACGAGGTTATTCGATTCCGTCCGTCTATACCAAACACTGTCCGGGTCGCCCTCAAAGATACTACGTTGATGGGCAACCCTATACCTAAGAACACGCAGATTGTTATTTCGCCGGAGCTTATTAACCACATGTCAGAGTTCTGGGGACCAGATGCAGGCCAATTCAACCCAGATCGCTTCATGGGCCCTGGAAAGGCCAATAAGGGTGGCGCAACCAGCAACTATGCTTTCTTAAGCTTCCTCCATGGTCCACGGAGCTGCATTGGACAGGGTTTCGCCAAATCTGAGCTTGCCTGTCTTCTTGCAGCAGTAGTGGGTAGCTTTGAGTTTGAATTGAAATACCCAAATGCTAAACTAGAGGTGCGAGAACAAGCAACTATCTCACCGAGAGATGGCGTCCTGGCCAAATTCACTCCCCTAGAGGGATGGTGAAATGGTCTATCTGACGGACAACCCGCAGCTTCCTGTAAATATGGAGCTTCATGTCTCCAGTTTCATTTTCGTAGATGGATAAAATGCAAGCTGTTGAAGTTGAAGCGAAAGGACGTTGACGTTGTGTTGCTGAACTGCTGAGTCAGCTCATGTGCAACCTGGGCCAATTTGACAGGGACGATAATAGTTACACCCTTAAGATGCCGCTACGATGGGCCATTGCGGTGTATCACAACGCTTAGTAGTGTAGGTGATGCCCAAAGCAGTGGGCAGAAGAACCCCCGATGTCCGCCGGAATTCGAACGGTTGAAGACAGTTCATCGGGAAACTCCAAGTTTTCTTGGATGGCAGGGCAAGGTCGGTAGAAAGTCTCAAGACAAGAGGCCAGATAGCGCAAGACTCCATTTAACAGAGACTACCAAGGCCCAAACCAGCAGACAGCCCATGCCTGGAGCGTCAAAATATGCACTCAAGTCGCAGCAGACGTCGACCAAACCTTGGAAGTCGTTAAATTTTTATATCGACGCGGAAAAGTCAAAACCAGCTTAGTTAGCTCGACTGATGACTAAGCAGCCGCATCAGCTTCTACCTTTTCGACGAAGCAAGACGAGAACGACAACGACAACGACGACGACAACAACAGAGAGAACCGACTGCCATACAACACCTGGCTGACTAGCCATAGAGTACGCTCTTTCAGCTGAGAGAAGAGCTCTGCTGCCGTCTCATATCCACGGGCTCGCATGTCTCCCTGAGCTAGCCTGGGCCAAAAGTCACATACTGCATCCATGTAAGCCATCCCCCTTCCCTGGACACCGACGAGGAAGACCACCAGCTCACGGCCTGACGCAGCAGATCTGCGACGATGTGGCCTCAAAGCAAGTCGCATCTCTTGCTCTCGCTGTTTTCCCCGATCCTTTCTTCGGCCTTCTATCTACCTGGTGTAGCTCCCACCTCCTACGACGTCGGGCAGAAAGTTCCACTTCATGTCAACCATCTTACGCCAACGGTGGCCCAGGATGCCCAGGTTCACTCCGTCTTCTCTTACGACTACTACCACCCATCATTCCACTTCTGCAAGCCCAAGGATGGGCCTAAGGATGTCCGGGAGTCCCTAGGCAGTATCATTTTTGGTGATCGCATCCTCACCTCGCCCTTTGAGCTGCACATGGCCAAGAACGAGTCCTGCAAGCTGCTCTGTCCGGAGGTCAAGTTTGACGGGCTCAGCAGCCAATTCGTGAACCACAGAATATGGCAGGGCTATAACATCAACTGGCTCATCGACGGCCTCCCCGCTGCCCAGATAAACACCGATGACCAAACAAACGAGCAGTTCTACAGTCCCGGTTTCCTCCTAGGTGATATTAACAGCGACGGCCAATCGTTCCTTCACAACCACTACGATATTGATATCGAGTACCATCGCGTTGCTGGGCTCGGGACCAAGGAGAAGTACCGTGTTGTTGGGGTTCTCGTCCACCCGTCGTCCAGGAAGACAAAGGTGTCGGGAGGCAAGGCCGATTGCTCTGGCAAGGACATTGTGCTTCTGGATGGTACGGCGGATACCTCTGTAGCTTGGACGTATAGTGTCACTTGGCGTGAGTCTTCTACCGCTTGGGCAACTAGGTGGGATAAATATCTACATGTCTACGATCCCAGTGTTCACTGGTACTGGCTTATCTACTCCGCCGTCTTCGTCATCTTGCTTGTTACTCTGGTGAGCAGCATCTTGCTCCGGGCCTTACGCAAGGACATTGCGCGGTACAACCGTCTGAGTATGATCAACATGGATGACTTCAATGACAACGGTGACTCCGTGGAAGAAGGCATACAGGAAGATTCCGGTTGGAAGCTAGTCCATGGTGATGTGTTCCGCACTCCAAACCACCCACTTTTGCTCAGCTTGCTGGTAGGAAATGGTGCTCAGCTCTTCGTCATGACCGGCATCACCGTTGGTAAGTATTCGACACCTTTCTCGACACTTTTCTGTTGTCTAACCTATCGCTAGTATTTGCACTCTTTGGTCTCCTCTCACCCTCCAACAGAGGGTTTTTGGGAACTGTCATTTTAATATTATATACTCTCCTTGGCTTCGTTGGTGGCTATGTCGCCGCAAGAACGTACAAGTCATTTGGGGGTGAATCCTGGAAGCGATTGATTATCCTCACCCCAGTACTCATCCCAGTCATCGCGTTCTCTACCTTCTTCTTGCTTAATCTTTTTGTTTGGGCTAAAGGATCCAGTGGTGCTGTTCCGTTTACCACTATGCTTCTCACTGTCATCATCTGGTTTGTTATCAGCGTGCCGCTTAGCGTTGCAGGCAGCTGGATCGGACTCAAGCTACCCGTAAGCCTACCTGCATTCTAACATTCTAAGCCAGTGTGTTTCAAATATTAACATTCCCATAGGGCTTCGAAGGACCTACCAGAACCAACCAGATCCCTCGTCAGATTCCTCCAGCAGTCTGGTCTCTCCGCCCTCTCCCATCAACGCTGATAACTGGCATGCTCCCATTCGCCACTATTTTCGTGGAACTATACTTCATCATGACTTCCCTTTGGACGAATAAAATCTATTACATGTTTGGATTCCTCTTTCTGTGCTACGGACTTATGATTATGACTTCTGCAACCACCACCATACTCCTCGTCTACTTCTTGCTCTGTGCAGAAGACTACCGATGGCACTGGAGGGCATTCATTGGGGCTGGTATGACCGGCGGATATGTCTTCCTTAACGCGCTTATCTTCTGGGCAACCCGCGTCAGTTTTGGCGGTGTGACTGGTGCTGTTCTATATCTAGGCTACTCTGCACTCTTGGCTTTCCTAGTCTTTGTATTAACAGGTACGCTCCACCCTATTTCCAGATGTCTTACAGTCACAGCCTGCAGGCTAATAACATTTTCCCAACCCAAATTTAGGCACCATTGGTTTATTTGCGAGCTGGGCCTTTGTCCATAGGATCTATGGCTCCATCAAGGTTGACTAAATCATTCATTGTTACGCCCCTTTTACCCGGCAATGTTGTGATTTTGTCCCGTTCTTATACTTCTCGGAGGTGTCATTCCTAGGCCCCCTTTCTTTTTTCCATCCTAGACTGGATTTAAAGTCTCTGTATTACTATCCCACCGTTTGCCCTCTTAATGACTAAAACCGGCAGGTTGGCTTTAGATCTACGATTGCTATTTTGATGAAAAATTAAGATCTCGTATACACTTTTTTCCCTTACACTTGCTTCTCCATTCCTGATATCTCAGGAAATTGGTCAAATGACGTAGTTACACAGGCAAGAGATATGATAGCACAACACAGCAAACGGTAAACGGAAAGGATAACTATAGGATATAAGGAAGTACCAAGCAAATACAGGCCTGGATCATCGAACGGCATCAGCGAGATGTGGACCGTCTAGTAAAATAACAGTAATAACATGAGTGGGGAAACAAAAATAATAACAGCATGGCAGAGGGTAGTTAGTAGTTAGTTGACTGTGACGATAAGGCAGAGGAAAGAAAAAAGTAACTAAATAAGAAAGAAAAAAAAGAAAACGCCGCCATGGAATGGATAACAACACCCTATACTAAGCCATCGTACAAGGATAGAGCACTAACTATAGTCTCGTCTCGCTTGCTCCCTTCCTTGAACTCGCTGATATCCAAGCTTCCGTTCTCATCCTTGTCCATCATCCGGAATATTTTCTGTACCCGTTTTTCAGGAGTGTCTTCGTCCTCGGGGAGCTTGACCATGGACCCAACCTACGAAAGGTCAGTAAACATACTGAAGTCGGAGTGTCTCGGTAAGTAGCCTACCATTTTATAAATAGCCTCGACGATAGCGAGCATTTCTTCGTAGCTGATCTTGCCATCTCCATCGATATCGTATAACTGGAACGCCCAGTCGAGTTTATCCTCCATCTTACCCCTTGACGTGACGGAAAGGGCACAGATAAACTCTTTGAAATCGATCATACCGCTTCCATCTGCGTCAAACACACGGAAGACATAATTGGCAAACGACGATGGGTCACCGAAGGGGAAAAATTGCCGGTATATCTTCTGGAATTCTTCTTTTGTAAGGGTGCCGGACGGGCAGTCTTTGAGGAAGCCTATCAAATTGTTGGTTCAGCGGAAATGCCTCAACGAGGGTAAAATGTTGGTTCATATGCTTCGTCAAACGGACCTTTATACCACTGCTGGAGCTCCTTCTTGTCAAAATGTGTTGACCTCTGAAGCTCTTCGAGCTGGCTGGGCGATAATTTGGACTGCCTGCGGAGGTAAGAAGCGACCCGTCAGCTGCTAACCTTCACGAATGAATACATGGTGGAGAGAGAGAGAGAGAGAGTATTGGCGAGCTTCGATCGACGACTTGGTTATCGCAGCATAGCTCTTCAAGATTGGGAGTGCGTATATGTGTCTTCTGGTCAGGACCTGCAGGAGAGCCTTGGTGTTTACGATAACTAGTCCCCCGCAAAGCCTTGGACGCGGGGAGACGATCGATCGCGAGGTTGCAGGGAGAGGTCCGAGAGGTTACTCACGATTTACCCATGCTGTCGTGACTCCCTGCGCAGGCCTAGGTAGCTGATATATCCTCTGTATCACGGCGAGAGAGTCGTGTATTCGACGCTGGCTAGAGGATAGGGTTGTTGGTTGGTGAGAGCAGTTACAGCGGCTGGCGGGGCTGCAGTGAACGTTAACCAGTATAGACGCTGGTCGAGGAAGGCCGGGGCGATGCGAGGAGGGCGAAACGAAGCAGAAGCGTAGATAAGGAGCAGGGCCGTGAAAGCGCGTAGGGAGCTGTGCCTGGCAAACAGTCGTATCAGGCAGAGGCTGGAAGCGTTTTATATGTTGGTATCTTGTAGGAGATTGAAGGACCTTGAGACGGAGTTGAGGGCGGGAGGCTCGGCGGCGTTAACAAAACTTCCGTACGGCCAGCCTGTAGCTCGCGGCGGCGGCGGCGTACGCGCTGCAAACGGTGGCTATTATGAGCCAGTATGAGAAGCGATGCCAGTTTGATGCGGTCTCCTTTCACGCCTTCGTTGTCCTGCACTCAATTCACACTGTTCTTCCACTGTCTTCGTCTTCTTCTCTGCTTCATCAACTATAGTTATACTCATTACGTAAGCATATAACTGTCCAGCGACTTCAACAGCTGCAGAAGAAACGAAGCGCAGCGGAAGAGCGGCACAACACGATGCAAGGCCGCGAGATACCATGAATGCAGAGATCCTGGCGCCTCTCACCTCCCTGGAGGCCCGGCTGAACGCCCTGCTCGCCTCCATCACGTCGACTCCTACGGCATCTGGAGCTCCGGCAGCAGCAGTCTCACTCCTCGAAGCGGACGACGCGCTCACCAGCGCGCTGCAGACTCTGAGAACACACCAGGAAAACTACTCAAAGATCCTTCGGCTGCGTGCTGAAGCCCTCAGCCTGGAGGAGCGGGTACGGGAGACCGTTCGGCAGGTCGGGGAGCTAGGAGACGAGATCTCTGCGGCTGCGGGAGACGACGACGACGACTCGGACGAGGACAGCGACGATGAGGCCGGGGGTGATATTGAAATGAGCGAGAAGGGCAAAGATGCGACACGGAAGAATGAAGTGGACTACAGATTGCTACTTGGATTTGCCAGGCGGATAAGCAAGTACAACAACGAAGCTGCTGCTGATGCCTCCAGCGCAAGGGTGCTGTCAAAGGAGCCAACGGGCGGCGACACGGCAGCAGATACAAATGGCGAGGTAGCAAAGGAAGACGGAATAGCTTCAGGCCACGGGCAGACAACCGGTGTTGGTATTGCTGCCTTGCCTCAGGACACCGTCTCCTGGCTGGATGAGACCGCCAACTGGACACGGCTCATGTCTGCACTCCCGTACCCTAGCGAGGACCGCATCCGTATGGGCCTTATGGCCCATCTCCATGCTACTGCCGCCGCAGAAGGGAAGGATGTTGAAAAGGAGGTTGAGCATATCCTGAAGGCTGCAACGCAGAAAGATATATCAAAACAGGAGACTCAACCGGCGGGACAAGGAGATCAACCGCAACCTGATTCAGATCCAGGTGCCGGCCACCCTGCAGGCTCAGGGACTGCAGCTATCAACCACCAAGCTGGGAACAGTGCCAGCCATACCGCAGAACCACCAAAGGTCAAGCCGAAGCTCGACCTCGATCTCTATGACCCGGACGACGACGACATGTGATTTTTCACTTGAGTTCATCAGTCCTAAATATAAATCTCCATGGGGAACAGTCTATTTTTGTTTACCTTCCTTGTTTACTTGCATTTCTAGGAGCAGGTGCATCCTAATACCCATCGTTCGGCCCTTCTCTTTTTAAGGTCATGCTCTTTCCACTAGTTAAATGACATCTCCCATGCAGAAGGCGCAACAGGCCCTGTTGTTGTTTATTCTAACGTCGTGGTTCTTTCCCCTTCGTCTGTCCTTTTTCCCTTTTTTTTTCTTTTCTTTTCTTTTCTTTTTTTTGTCCCTTCTGACTCCAAGGCCTCTTCTTGTCTCTTCTGCTCGAGACATCCATGAATCTGACGCCGTGCACCATCAATTTTTCCATTTGCAGGGCCAGCCTCTGTTTAATATCCATGTTCTATACTTTTTTGTTATAGGATTATAGTTGCATTGGTTATCATCATGTCTAGCCAAAGAGTCACCACGGTTAGGATCGACACCAGCAGAAATCGCCGTTCAGATAGCTCAGCCGAAGAAGATACCGCCAGCCTTCCCACTGTCCATGAAAAGGCACCCCCTGTTGAGACCGTTTCCTCTGGCAGCACTGCTGCCACCAGTACTTTGGCAGCTGATAGTTCCAGCCAATATGGCGAAAGCTTCCTGGCCCTTAAAGCTGCTCGACTTGAGATACAAGAGTCAGAAAACTACCATCAGCTCCCGTTTTCATATCCCTGTTGGAAGAAATGGACAATACTTGTTATCATCTTTTTCGTGCAGGTCTCCATGAACTTCAACACGAGCATCTACGCCAACGCTATTGTGCCGATGGCTAGCCACTTTTCAATATCCGAAGCCACCGCCAGACTCGGCCAGATGTCTTTCCTGATTGCATATGCGTTCGGGAGTGAGCTTTGGGCGCCATGGAGTGAGGAACTTGGCCGGTGGCCGGTCATGCAGCTTAGCTTGCTTCTAGTCAATATTTGGCAGGTTTTGTGCGCTCTGGCCCCCAATTTCTCTTACATCGTTGCCGGTCGTACCCTCGGAGGCTTATCTTCGGCTGGAGGCTCTGTTACTATGGGAATGATAGCAGACATGTGGGAGCCAGATCAGCAGCAGTATGCAGTCGCTTTTATCGTTTTGTCTTCTGTTGCTGGCTCCGTCGTTGGTCCTATTGCCGGAGGATTCATGGAAGTCCGTCTCCACTGGCGGTGGAATTTTTGGATCCAGCTGATTCTGGGAGCCGTGGTCCAGCTTGCTCACTTTCTCCTGGTGCCAGAAACCCGCTCGACCATTGTGTTGAATAATCTGGCGAAAAAGCAACGGAAGTCAGGTATTGCGAATGTTTATGGTCCGCTGGAGCTTCGTGGATCCAGCCTCACATTCAAGGAAGTTATTACGATCTGGGTTCGCCCGTTCAGCATGTTTGTCCGCGAACCGATTGTCCTATTTCTTTCTCTCCTCAGCGGGTTCAGTGACGCCCTAATTTTCACCTTTCTCGAATCATTCCGCCCAGTGTATAGCCGCTGGGATTTCGACACCGTTCAAACTGGTCTTGCCTTTATCCCGTATGTTCTATTCCCTATGCTATGTTCAAATATGCTCCTAACCTCATTTAATACAGAATCATGGTTGGCTACTTCCTTGCCTATTTTTCATTTTTCCCCGTGATAGTAAAAGATAAAAGAGCCATGGCGAGAAATCCTGACGGCCTTGACCCAGAGTCACGGCTCTGGTGGCTCCTCTTTAGTCAGTAATATCTCCCTGCCTAATTTGCTATAACCATGCTGACCCACCCCTATAGCCGCTCCCTTGGAGACGATTGGTCTCTTTGGATTTGCCTGGACAAGCATGGGGCCTCCTGCGGTGCATTGGTTCGCCCCGATGTTTTTTTCGATGCTCATTGCCATTGCAAACGTTAGTATCCAGGAAATATTACATTGTAAGATATACTGCTAACTTGCACTATGTTTAGTACTGCATTTACATGGCCACCATTGATTACATGGTCGCAAGCTATGGCCCATATTCCGCCTCAGCAACCGGCGGCAACGCTCTAGCGAGAGACTTTCTAGCAGGCATTGCTGCTCTCTACTCCACGCCAAGTATGTAACTCATCATTATTCACCGCGTGGACTAGTAAATCGCTGATAATTCTAACTGTCTTCTTCCCAGTGTATCGAAGCATCAAACACAAGTATCACCTCGAGATGCCCTCCACCATTTTAGGGTGCATATCTTTTCTTGTCACTGTACCCATCTACATCTTCTACTGGAAAGGCCCCCAAATTCGTGCAAGATCCAAGTTTGCACAGGGTGTGGCTCGTAACAGAAATGAACTCAAGCATCGCCGTGCTATCCATGAAAGAAGTTCAGTTGATGCTGGGAAATTGACTGATGTTTAGTCTCTACTTGATCTTCTAAAATTCCAAGGGTAAAGCAAGTGTCCATCGCTTGCTAGACATATTGTCACCGATGCAAGATGCAATGGTTGATTGACTCGGGTCCAGTGACGATATGCATGAGCATACTCGAACAGCGGTTACCATCATATTATGCTTTGTTTCTTCGTCCTTGTTTTATTACCGTGTATAATATTTGGCGCCTGTTTCCGTTTTACTGCATTGTCTTTGCGTTAACTTATGGATAAAACAGTCTTCTGAGCCGAGGACAGGATGTTTGCGGCCCTAATAAATCCTTTCATTCGAGCCACACCATTTCACCTTCGTCCTGTTAATTCGCTATTCTCCAAAAAAAAAAAAAAAAAAAAAAAAAAAAAAAAAAAAAAAGAAAGAAAGAAAGAAAGAAAGAAAGAAAAAAGGTCGTTTGAAGAAAGGAATACACTAATATTTTTGGATGGCGAGTGCCCCTTAAGAAGTCATTGAAATAGTCAATCCACCAAACCGCCTTAGGGACAAAACAAAGCGTCCAGTTCCAACGTATCTAGTGCCCTCTAGTTGCGCCATGTGCTAATTCCACCCAGTTTGCACAGAGCCCAGCTGCCCCCTCGGCGCCTCCGTTCTACCAGAGAAAGCGTGTCAGATAACTATACACTGGGTTTTCAATTAAAGTGATCAGGGGTTTTGTAAAGTTACCTGACAAAAGCACTCTCTGCCGAATCTGGTGCATTGTTCCTGATGGGTACAGGGGGTACCATTGGAACATACTGCTTGCTAGGTCATAGAAAGATATGCGTATTAGCTTGAAGTCAAGCACACGGTTAGTTAACTATATTGCCGATTTAATTACCTGAGAAACGACGGTGCTGGGAGTCTGGCCCTTGGGCAAAGCCATGGTCACGCCCACGAAGGCCACGGCGAGGATCAACGAAGTCTTCATCTTGGATCACTAACTAGTTGGCTCTGGTCTTCACTTCTGGTTGACTGAAGTAGGTAGGTAAAGGAAGGACGGAGATGCAAAGTAGCTTTGTAGTTCTCTCTTCAGTCAGCCACGGGCGTGCGAGGATAGGTTTATATACATCCACCGAAGCCAGTATTCACATATTATTATTATTTGACGTCTCAGCCATTCTGTTTTTAGATCACTGAGTCTGCGGCAACTAACAACAGCCCCAGATTCTCCCTCGCTCTACGGAGTACCTGACTGCCTGTACGGAGTATGTGTAACAAAGCTCATTCGTGCATCCCCTGGCGGCTAGCCCCTGAGAGCTGGTTCTGAGCACAAACAAAGCGCTAACCAACCAACTAGTTAGTTTAATCAAAGAGACAGTGGGCGCTATCTGACACTATTTGATGTAGTACTGTCGGTAATTATTGACGCCCGTTTGACATTTGGCATGTGTAAAGAAGCCTAACAAACGCTATGGGCTCGTCCCTACAAAATTGCTTATTTCAGGGGCCGTGCCTTAAGCGCCGTGCTTGCAAGGATACGAGATAACGGGAAACACCCCAATATCTATAACCAATGAATTCCCATTGCCAGTTCGCGCTGGAACTATTTTTTAAGTGACATCACGAAAGGTAAGGGCTATATATAGATAGAAAAAGAAAGTAAATACATGGGTTAACCCATTACTGTTGGGGGTAAATGCGTAGCTAATTAAGAGATTGGCCAAGATCAAAAGAAGAATAAAACAATGCCAGGAGAAAGAATGGAAAATGAAGGCGTGATAAAATGGGGTATTTGTACAGGCTGACACCAAATGTAGGGTGCATATGTTTGTGTGATCGCTATGCTGGCAAGGATGTAGTGGTCTACCATGAGACGGTAGATGGTAAAAAAAAAAAAGTAAACAGCTCAAAATAGTCCTCCAATGACAGTATACCACATCCAAGTAAAAAGATCGGTATGAAGCTCCTTCAAGAAGATAAATAGGAGCTGCAAAGTAAATGGTTAGTACAAAATGATTTCTTTTATTAGTATGTCCAAATATGAAGCTTTTGTTTGAACGCGCAAAACAGTCGCATGCTGGACACAAAAAGTAGCAAAAAGGCAAAAAAGCCAAGTTGCGAGCCTCATGTCGTTCCATAGTATAGTTCAATGCTTCACTTGGAGTCCGGTATGACAGCGCTGGTGGTAGATGCCGTCCGCCTAGTCCATCCGGTGAAGAAACCGACAGGCGATGAATTTTGGGACTTGGGCGGGGCGGTTGTGTCTGGGCTTGATTTAGATGCAGTGACGAGTATGCTGGGGCTGGAGTCACCGGCAGTGGAGGCGGGCGAAGTTGCATTCGTAGAGCGACTCATCAGTCGTTTGAGAGTGTCCAATTTGACCTTCATTTCTTCCAGCTCCTGTCGTGCGACCGCCTCTGAAGTCTTCGCGTTAACAAGCTCAATGAGCAGCCCTTCCTCATCGCCAACAAGGGACTTGGGAGCTCCCAGGCTGCTTGTTCGTTTTGAGAATGTTGGGGTTTTAGGGGAGTTGGCCTTTCCAAGCTTGAACTCCCGCAGGCCGTTTGCGGACCCGTCATCCCCCGACCCGACCGATTCAGGACGATCAGTTTGCAACTTTGAAAGGGGCGGTTTCTTTGCTCTAAGCTCCTGTACTGTTCGTTCAAGGCGCTGCTTTTCTTTATGTGCGTCCTGAACCCTGCTTCGAGCCTCCTTGAGCTGTTCCTTTAGCTGGGCATTTTTTTGTTCGTGCTCGTCAATGGTTCGGCCCATGCCCTGACATCTAGTGGACTCGAGCTCATATTTGCTCTTCCACATTTCAACATCATCCAGCAGCTGCTGTTTGGTTTGCAGCATCGACATGCGTCGTGGCTCCGTTGACGCAAACCTTTCTTCTGCTTTGAGGATGAGTTTGGGATCAGGTTGCTCGGCTGGAGTCTCTTTCATATGGGATAGCAACTGGGCAGCTACGATCTGATCCTCCTCACGTTCCTCTCGTTCTTGTTGCAATCGCTTAGCCAGAGCGGCCTGCTCTCGCTGCATATCGGAAAGAGCAAGAAGAAGGTCCTCTATTTGGGAGTGCAAATCCTTGTCGCTGGTTTGTAAACGATGTGGCTTTGGCTTCGGCGTCGCACTGTCAATGTTGGAACTCGATAAGGTAGATGCCTCGGTCGGTGCTGTACTGGCTTCCGAGGTCGATGACTCTAAAGAGTTGAGAGTTGAAGCCATGCTCTGTTTCGATGGCGTTCGAGTAACACCCATGCAAGGGCTTGACCCGGGAGTTGGAATACCAGGGCTTTGAGCAACGGATTTGACAGAGCTGTGAGAACTCGAGCCAGCCCAGAGTCTACCTAGGAATCGGGAAGCAATAGCTTGAAGCTGAGGCAGTGACACACTTTGTGCAGTACCTTGGGCTTCCTGGTATTTCACTTCGAGAGCGTGCAAGCTTTCGTGAGTGACCAGGGAGGTGAGTGACACAAAGTCCGTAACAAGATCATCAGCATTGCAGGCATACCTAGAGGGCGGTTTTAGCAAAGCTCACGAGTGTCTCAAGCATTACGGAGCACTTACGGATCCCATAGGCTTCTTGATAGCAACAGTTGCATGGCGTCTTCGAATTCCGTGCAGGCCATAATTCTGTGCTGATTCCGCTGCATAAGAGACAAGGCAACACGCATCAACGTCTCGCAGGCTCCTTCAAGCAAAAGAACATCATATATACGCAGAAGCATGGGAAGGGGACAGGTAACAGCAAAGAACGACAAGAACCATTGTGATACATAAACTGGCTCAATTTTGAGTGAATCAAGGTGAGCATATAGCTCCGGTGCGTGATGTGAGAGTAATGACTGGAATTGGTAGATACGGAGGTGGAGGCCAGATAAAGTCGGCAGGAAACAAGATCGCAAGTCATAATGGTCCATCAGTCTGCATCGGGAATGCGTCAGTAAGTATATTGCTAAGCAAAGGGAAGCATTGACGGTAGACGGACCTAACAAGGACACAGAAAGCCTCAGCTTCACTCATATGCATTAGCAAGGGCCCAACGACAAAGCCTAAGCCCTGGCAATACCCGATCTTGCTATCATAAAGACTGAAGCATTTGAGGACCCTTCCTAACATCTGCTGGCCTTCTCCGAGCGGATCTCGAAACATCTCTACGTTGGGGAAGCTTCGTCCAATATCCTTGCCGATAAGACCCTCGTAGGGACTTGTCTCACCACACAGCTTTTCGTACTCGTCGTGGAGGTGAGAATCTCGAGCTCCAGCAATGCTCGGCCACACGACCCCTCTAAGCGGAGGCGGGACACCCCCTCGGATTTTATGGGATGTAAGAGTGGGGAGCCGCTGGGCGGTACGAGGATAGTCGGCAACAAGAGCAGCCCAGAACTCAAGCTCGGTCATCTGGGGAGCAGGCAGTTGGGAATACCGGAGCGAAGATCTAGGGTCATTAACGAGATCTTTGAGTTTTTGGATGGATGGCGGCCTCGAGTTGCGGACGGATGCCTTTTTTGCCGAAGCAGACTTTGGGTCTGTTGCTAAAGCGTTGTTTTCCTGTTCTAATCGTGCTAGGAGCAATGTTGTCGACTGTTCGGCTTCCCGGTCAGCAAGGCAATCATTACAGTCTTCAATGGCTTCTTCAAAGCAGCCTTGGGGTGCCTTCATCTTTTATTTGGCTGTTAATGAGGTCGAAAGACTCACCACATCGTCTCCCGATGCCTTTGACTGGTTGACTTCGCTCTCCTCCAAGCCGGCCCAGTCAACACTTCGACCATCATCCATGTCGGATTTACTGCTCCCACCGATGCTTTCAGCCTTGCTAGATGCGACTGATGGAGCCCTAGAGGGAGCCCTAGAGGGTGTCTCTTCGGCCTGTAGTTCTGAAGCAGTCTCGAGCTCTTCAGCATCCTCTTCTCCATCATGCTGCGTTTCATCTGGACTCTCTAGCCCAAGGCCAACAGGAACGGCGGTTTCTGGACAGTATACTGCATCTGGCAACATGGGCCCTTCTCCCGAGATCCCAGAGCCCCTCTGTATGTCTGAAAGTGGCACGGTTACCATCGAATCGGTTGGTAAAGGGTTGCGTTCTTCGTCGTGTTGGGGCACTGGCGGGGGATCAGGGGAAGTTGTTGCAGGGGAAACTTCCATCTCTATTGATCCCTGGGTTGTTTCTGGCTTATCCACTGCCATTCTCTACCCTTTGTAGTTCTTCTTATAACGCTCGGCAGCTGTGAGAGAACGAGTGTGCAACGGTCGAGCTAGGAGCTGTGTATCTATACAGAAGCCGATGCGTTAAGCAGGTGCTGTGCTGCCATGGGGGCTACCTGACGCGTAGCCAGTGAACGAGAGGATGCCAGCCGTGACCAGCGGCAGCTTCAACTCGACAAAATTAATGTAAATGAGCGTTGGAAGTGAGTGTGAAACGAGATATCATGCCATCCCATCGTCTCTCCGTCTTGTGTCTTCGTCTACTTCGTCGATGCTTTTTTTATGTCGATAAGGGGGCATGCTGACTAAGACACGCCACAGTCACGTGGCACTCAGGGGGCGAAAGACCGTGGAAGAAGGTGAAGCAACAAGAAACAAAAGACCGGGAAAGCGATGCATAAAACGGCTGTTGGTAGATGGACAGAGTACTCCGTAGCTAAGTAGAAAGAGAAGATGTAGCAGAGAGGAGGAGCCTGGGGATGCGACGCAAATTGTGGTGGTGTTGGCGGGAGAAATACGGGCAAGCGGCCATGACAAGCAGATCTCTTCAAGGGGGGCCCCCTGCTCCTGATAGTAACGACATAGCGAGTCAGAGAGTGATGGGAGGGCGATGAGCACCATACGAGAGCATGCACCTTACTAGTGAAGCCGTTCTCGTATGTACCGTACCCTGGGCTGGTTCGTGTGGGCTCTCTAAGCGCGGAGACGCTCGTCAGACGGCTGATGATCTGGTGTCTTCCCGTAACTCACTTGTTAACTGGCTGACTTGGTAGTTAACTAGTTCGTTAGTTACTTGATAGCCTCGGGCTAATCTCAAACTCGAGCTGGTCCATCTGACTGATTCCTGCGCCTGGAGTGCCTGTTCTGCAGTAGTTAACTGACTAGTTAGGTTAGTTAACCGGGTCTGGCCGTCGTTTAAGTGAGATTGCAACATTGCAGATATCCCGAAAACAACGGTCATATTGCCGAAGTGCCGGTCGGATAGTTAACTATCACGAATACCACGGAGCGCTCCGTAGTGAAATCCTGCTCGTGAAGGGGGAGAAAGGATACCCATCTAAGGCGATTAGCTGGCCCATCCGCTTTGACAGTACTCCCCTCTGGTGGTGGCCGACATGATGGTGGGCTTGCGGGCGCTATCTCAGACCAGCAGGCGGTGGCTGAGCTATTCTAAAAGGAGGCAGCCATGGTCAAGCCAGAGACGCCCGTTCTCTGTCTCACGGCCCAGCCAAATCATGGACCTCAGTTGCTTTTCGCCTGAGCAGCTGATGGTGCGTGAGTCGATCAACAAGATCTGCTCTGTTTTCCCAGATGTAAATATGGAACCACTCCCTGGCACCTAACTACCTGGCTTGCCGCATGTTAACGAGGTGTTGATTGACAGGAATACTGGGCTGAACGCGATCGGACGGAGGAATATCCGCACGAGCTCCATGCTGCCCTGTCGAAAGATGGCTGGATAGGCATTGCCTTGCCAGAGCACCTGGGTGGTGCCGGCCTGGGCATATCTGAGGCCACTATGATGCTGCAGACTATTGCCCAGTAAGGCTGCATCCTCCTATGTCCTCAAGTGGTTTCGCCAAAAGGAAAGCAGCTGCTGATAGATGTGTTTATAGGAGCGGAGCTGGCCTCGCCGGTGCCCAATCGATCCATGCAAATGTTTATGCAACTCAGGTGTGTTGAAGCTGCTGTTAGGAAAATTAATCGGAACTGCATTTCTGATATTGACCCTCCGTATAACTAGCCGGTTGCAAAGTTCGCCTCGGAAGAACAGAAGAAGAGGATGCTGCCCCGGCTGATTGCTGGGGAGTGGAGGACCTGTTTCGGAGTGTAGGTTCAAAATTTCTCTGTCATGGTGGGATAACCAGGAGATGCTAATTAAGGCGTAGAACCGAACCGAACACAGGTCTGGAAACCTTGAAGCTTCGGACAGTTGCTGTAAAAGATGGGGACTCGTACCGGGTCTCCGGCCAGAAAATGCAAGCCCCCTGATAGCAAGTGTCCAGTCAGAAGACAGTAGCTAACTAGCGAGCACAGCTGGATCTCGTCCGCCCAAGTAGCCCAGAAGATGATTCTCCTAGCTCGAACCACGCCGGTTGAAGAAGTGAAGAAACCGTCGGAGGGCCTCTCGCTCTTCTTCATCGACTTTGACCGGGCCGCCCCCGGTCTAGACCTACGGAAGATCAACAAAATGGGGGGCCGAAGTGTGGATGCCAACGAAGTCTTCTTCGACGAGTACAGAATACCGGCAGATAGTTTGATCGGAAACGAAGGTGAAGGATTCAAGACCGTGAGTATCTATATACCCCTCCGTCCCTTTAGACTGTGATGGACCAGGCCTCGCTTTGTTGACACCCTTTAACTAGGTACTTCACGGGATGAATGCCGAGAGATGTTTGCTTGCCGGGGAAGCACTCGGCCTGGGATACGTTGCCCTGGAGAAAGCGGCCAAATATGCCAAAGAGCGGGTTGTCTTTGGGCGTCCCATCGGACAGAACCAGGCCATTGCTCATCCCCTCGCTGCGGCATATATGAGCCTCGAGGCGGCAAAGCTGGCAACGTACCATGCCACCAAGCTCTACGATGAGAGCAGAAACGATTCATCCATCACACAGCAGTCTGTCGGCGTAGCATGCAACTCAGCCAAGTATCTCGCCGCCGAAGCCGCCTTTGCCGCCTGCGAGCGAGCAGTAAGTCACCTCCGGTATAGCGTGACACGCATTCAAACATGGAAAACCCAACTGATCAATCCAATAATACTATTCACAGGTCCTCACTCTTGGAGGAATGGGCTATGCCCAGGAATATCATGTCGAGCGGTATCTGCGAGAGTGTTTCGTCCCCCGAATCGCACCCGTCAGCCGGGTAAGTGTCTCCCTCGCTGCATAGTATTAGTTATACGATATGTGAAGCTGAGCATCCTACTCGTGAACAGGAGATGATCATGAACTTCATCAGTGAAAAGGCTCTTGGTCTCCCTCGAAGCTATTAAAGTAGAAGCTTTCCATGTAGTTAACTAGCAGGCTGTAGATCTCTCTCAGGGGGTCCATCGTATCCTCGGCCCGGGGTGGCCAGAACCCATGTAACTATGTAGTTAAGTTGTTAGCTTGCTGGGTACGAGAATGACCTCACATCCAGTAATCTTGGAAGCCGTCAAGTAGTTAGTTAGCTGGTTAAATAGTTAACTAGTTTGCTTGATAGGCAAGTTACTCCGTGGTTATAATATAGTTATCGATGACAGACTGTCTCGGTGTCTCACCGCAGCGATTCCATCCCCGCCACGGCTTCATCCGTCCTGTTTGGTGCCCAACTGCCTTGCCCAGTGACGTTATTTCATATCTAACCGGATTATCGCCTGAGAATCCCTGCTTTGCGAGTCGGGTTGCTGGGGTCTAATTCTCTTGACTTTGGTGGTGAGTTACTTGGTGAATCCAGTTCAACCTCGCTGCACACGACCAGCCTGTCAGGCAGCAACAAAACAAGCAGAAGACGAAGCAGAGTATTAGACCAAGGCCAGACCTCCGATAACCATTAGCTATTGTCAAAACCGGCGTCGTAGTGAGTTCTGAGTCCGTACTTGAAAATTAAGTGACCAAAAATAGTATTACATCACATGCTCCGAAACATCGACCTCTGGATGTTTTTTTTTTTTTTTTTTGCTTTTCTTTTCTACTGACGACCAACAACATACACACGAGAAACAGCAGACACAGACAACCAACTACCGGATCATCGCTTCTTGCATCGCATCGAGAACTGTTGCTGACCTCTGGCTATTGAAGCGGTCTTTTGCTGAACTCCTGGCTGGTGATTTACACAGCTTGACGAACAGGTCGCCGGCCTACGCAATCTATACAAAATGGCCACCACCAACGGGGCTCACCACCCACATTCGAACGGTAACCAGACCACCCTCTCCTCTCTTACTATCTCACCCTGTTTCTTTCCATAGATAGATGTGGTCTCTCAGTCTATGTGTCTCAGTGGATTGCCTGAACGGCATCGCCTTGGGCGTCATGGTCGAGCTGTGGCGAAATGAGTAAGGTAAGGCTTCCAAAAGCCCTCCTCCCAGGCAGCTTGGAGTTTCACTGACTTCGGGGCTTTTTTCTGTTCTCTAGTTTACTGTTTCCCGCCCTTGATTCCAATCTCTAGATGAAGACACCGGATTCTCATACGCGGATGCTAGGACTGTACTTGTTTTGATCCGTGATGAAGCAAAGTCTGACATCTGGTATGGCTACCCCTGTGTTGTACGAAGGCAAACGCCCAATGGAACCCCCATGCTGACGGTTATATGATTATCACTAGATACCGAATACAGGAACGACTAAGCCTACTTCCAATGGCACCCCTTCCTCCCCTTCTCCCCTTCCACAGACATCCCAGCCTTTGACTCGTACGTTCCAGCTATAAACGACTCCTTACCCCTTTACACGGCCACAACACTAAACACCTTCCTTCACTACAGATTATCACTCAAAATTATACAGCCTCTTGAGCGTGAGCATCCCCCGATTTCCGATGGAACATAAGCGTGCAACAATTGCCATTAGATTCGGTTATTGATATTCGACAAATATTATAGTGGGAACGGCCAAGTGCAACCGCTAGCTCCTTTGCTACCGTTGTCCTTTTTATAGTTGCAAGCAGATATCTGCCTCTTATTCGATGGACATTGAAGTTCCTCTATCTCGCTCTAGGAGGTATGCTCGCATTCCCCTGAATGTCCCATGAATGCAGTACATTTGATGATATACTAAACCTGGGTTGCTCACGATAGTGACTGCTTCGGCTGAGATTGGTGGCCATTTTCTCTTCTCCCGTGGGCTAACCAGCTCCTCGCGTCCTCGGAAGTACTACACCATTCCTAAGGATACCATGGACAGCTTCTTGGAGGACCTTGAGAACTTGGTCGAATTCTTCCTCATCGAATTCCAGCGGATTCTCTTCGTTGAAAATCTCAGCTATACTATCTCCGTATGTGTCTACACCCACACCCACCTATTTGAACTTGATTCAGCGGCGCTTCTAACATCCGCATAGGCATTCGTTACCGCCTTGGTTTCATACTGGCTGGTAATGTTCCTACCCCTGTGGGGCTTGGCTTTGATTGCTACCTGCGTCGTCTACTTGGCCCCGCTGGTTTATATCACCAACAAGGAATTTATCGACAGCCAGCTTGGAAATGCACAGGAAATCGTGGCTAACCAAGCTTCCCATGTAAAAGAGATGGCTGAAACTCAAACCGCACAAGCCACCCACATTGTCAGGCAGTATGTCGGAGAGTATCGAGCTAAGGCCAACGGCTACATTGGATCCACCAATGGTGCCGTTTCAAACCTCACTGCACCTAAGGCTGAACCCGAGCCCACCCCTAAAGCTGCCCAGGAACCTTCCCAGAAACCAGCTCAGGCACCAGCTCAGAAGACCGTCGAGGAGATCGTCGAGGAAAATATTCACCAAACTTCTGCTCCTGAAGCTGCTCTCGAATCTCTCCCAGATATTCCAAAGACAGAGGAACTCCCTGATCTGCAGCAAGTCGCCCACGCAAATTTTCCTGAGGCCCCTACTGGCGAGCCTTCCGGTGAAGTAAAGGAAGCCGACAAGGTACCCGAATTGGTCCAGATCTCTTAAGTCAAGATCTTTCCCTTCTTTTGTTTCTCAACAGGCTGTGCCTTAGCGAAACACTGTCTGCCGTGACAGATTTACCCTATCATGCTAGCCGCATCGGCCAGACTACTATAAAAAGTCCTTCCATTACCTTCTACCTTTTACACCCTTGTTACTTGCGTTTGGACTGGCTGGTTACTCTACCTACATATTGGACCAATCCCTGAGCAACCAACCCTATCCATTACCCACTTTAATTTTCTCCTTGTCAAACAACAACCACTTCTGCTTCTGCTTCCCTAAGTGTTTAAGTATTTGTTTACTTTTGCTCCATTCGTTTTTATTGGTTTTTCTTTGTTCTCCCATTACCAAAATTCCGTTTCATATTGATTCTATCCCTCTACAAGTTGTCAAAACTGAACCTCTGCCTTTTCTTTTTTCTGTTTACTTTCTTGTACTAACTTATCTTCAATTTTCTCCTTAACCCAAATTATTAATGAGTATAGTTAGTTAAAAGCATGTTGGTGAATGAATCAAAATTCTTCTAACTACCCCAAGAATAACTTTTCTAGACTTGAGTAAATTATTCTATTTTGAAGGTGAACTTCATTAATAGCCATCTACAAGAACCCACAGGCATAGTTACTCAGTATTACAGTAATATGGAATGGAAGAGGATAATTATTATGATAAAGTGAAGTGACAAAAATATGAACCAAATAGTTAGTTGGATAACATGACGAGTCCAAATTATGGGCAAACAATCGATCTCATGGAAGAAAATACGCCCGCCCTCCACCATTTAAAAGTTTCCAGCCAGATTTTCATGCATCTGAGGAGACAACTGGCCCCCTGTGAAGATAAATAGGAAATTAAATGAAATCAAGAAAGGAAAAAAAAAAAAAAAAAAAAAAAAAAAATTCGAGTCAAGTCGGAACAATCTCAATGCTCATTGCGACCCTGGGGTTTGTGTTTTAATTCAATGCCATTCTTTCTATGCTGATGCACGCCTCTTCTTCCTTGCCGGGTCTTCATCTAAGGCCGCAGTGTTGTTGCCCGCTGCCTCCTGCATATGTAGTTTCATCAACATATACGCTGCCCTGGCATCGTTTGTCAAGGGTAGAGGTGACTGCCTCCCTTCCGGCTTTGGTTCGGCTGCTGCCTCATGCTTTTCCCTCGTATTCTCCTTTTCCACCTCATCGTTTCCTGTCACAGACCCCTCCGGATTTGAGTGTCTAGTATGAACGACGCTTTCATTTGTGCCCTCGCGCGGTGTTTGGGTAAGAGGCAAACATAGGGGTGTTTTTTCGTCAGGCATTGCCGTATCTTCTTGGTCTGTTTCACCGTCGGCCTCGGATTCGAAGCTGCGGTCCACCTTAGACCATTGGGTAAGCACTTTATTCCCAGGCTCATCTTCAGATGTCGATGCATTGATACTATCATCGTCGCCGCTGCCGTCATCGCTGACATTCTCAACTTCATTGAAGGCTAGGTATGACCCATTGGGGCGAGTCGACAGTTTAGTGTTATTCATCCGAGAAAGTGACTCAATGATGTCCTTGGGAGACGGGAGAATGCTCTCATTTCCGTTATTCATGAGACGCCTGAAAGGCTGGGAGGTACGTGGCGTATTGGCAGGCGTCCATCCAGAATTTGGTAGGGTTGATGGAGAGTATGCTTGGTGGTCATAGTAGGAAGCGCCCCTATGGGGATTTGGGCCTCTGTTATCAAAAAGAGTGACATCCTCATCGTCTGGAGAACTGTCGTGGGATCTAGAACGCAGTCTTTTGACACTAACATGCTCTGCCCTAGGTTTCAGGGGTAAGTAGGAAATGTTAGAGCTCGCAAGACGATTGGAGGATGCCTTCTGGAGCTCAAGATTGCGCTGCTGATGTGCTGTAATGGTTGCAGCTCGAATAATTGCCGGGTCAATGATCATACGTCCAAACATCTCATCGGTCGGCTTAATACACTCTGAAAGAAAACCGACCCCAAATAAAGGGGTTAAGGCATATCGAATCTTCCAGCAAAAGGTGGCAGCCACTGCTTTAGCAGCCTCAAACGGCATCCAATACCCTTTGATCATTAGCAAGTCAAGTTTTTCTTGGAACGGGGAATTGCCTTGTTACCTTGCGCTGCCAGTGCACCGCCAGTTATACTGTGGCAGATTTCTCTGAGACCGGGGTTGGCATTCAACATTTTTGCGGGCGCAGTCTAAGGGGAGAATTCTCGGCTCAGTAAGTGTAAACATTGAGTAGTGGTTCGATAGAAATCTCACCTTTGAGTAGTTATTGCATCGGAATAGGGAGGTCGTCCGGACTAAACCAATGTTGTAATCCCACATTACAGTGTATACTTTATCATCACCAGGAATTTTGAATTCATATTGAAATACTATGCTCCGTTAGCTTCAAGCATGGGTAGAGTACAAATATACTGGAAACATTACCTTCAAAACTTTCCCTCCCAGTTTTTTCAAGGAAGGACTTTTTCTCACTGTTGTATGGTATATGTCTGGGGAATTCTGTGATATGGCCCATTGGGTGAATCTCAAACAATTTGTGCGCCTCAGCCAGCTTTTCGTCCTGCCACTCACAAGGAGGGTACTTGAGGGGACCCCGTACCCTTCCCCTGGTAAAAACGGCTGCATCCTTTGAGACCTTTTGTTTCTTTGCGGGGGGAGAGGACTGGCTCCCTCTTTCGTTCCCTGGAGAAGAACCGGGAGCTAGCACTTTTTGGTTCTTTTTGGTAGAGTCCGGCTCTGGATTGAGCAGAGAGGCGATGGATGTCATCGCGAATGAGAAACTTCCCCGATGTCGATCTTCCAGAATATAACCCCTATCGTCGAATGGGTCGTTGTCTGAGATCGATATTAATTTGACCGTGGATTTGTACAAGGCGGAAGAGTTAAGAAAGTGTCACAACAGATGGCGCAGTTTCGATAAAAATATAGTTGACAAACAAGGAAAAGGTAGAGCCACGGGATATAGTCTCCTAAGATCAAGCCTCAGTAGTCAGGAATAGCTGATAATGGGAGAGAAAGGCTTGAGACAGAGCTTGAATGATAAAGAAAATGTCCAGAAGTTGAAAGAGGGGCCTGTTCTACAAGAGTAGTGAAGGGAGGCATAGGCCAGATGCAGGACATTGCATCTAGTGGGAAAAGGGCATCGCGGTTATTGACAGGCAGAAGGGGAGATAATAATGCTAGATGAGGAGACACGCAATACTCCCAGTAAAAAGATACGTTCCCAGAATTGATATTTGTTTCTCCGGAGGTCTCTAAGCTAATGGCCTTGTAAGAAAGGTCAACTTGCTTTAGGAGAGCAAAGTACATTGGGTACTCTGGAAACTTATGGGCCTGATGTAACTGTTTGTTTGTATCGTGCAAGGGACCACTAGCACTTGATACCAATCATCGAGGCTACCTACCACAGTTGGGCAAGCGGTGAAGGGAAAGGGTGAGATGGGAAGCTGTGGAGTTTAGTTAGTGCAGGTCTCACTAAGAAAGACGTAGAATAATGTTCGGCTTTGGTCAATGCCATGAAAGCATCAACAACCATTTTGCAAGATGGGGCATTTTCTATCAGCTAGATGGCTCTGATAGATACACCCTTGGAAATGTTTTTGCAAGTACCTCCGTTCCGATCCCGATATCTGGGAACCTGCGACATTGTTCCGATGGGATTTTTTCTTCTCCCCTTTGATGTATCGGAAGGGGTGTCTACGCCTAGCATTGTGCGCAAAGTAGGCCTCTAAACTAGGGTCCCGTAAAGTGTGAGAATGTCAGGGTATATTCTGCTCAGGATATAGAAATATCCCAACCCTCTCTAAGAGGGCAACGGATGGGTGTACTCCATCGAGGAGAGGCGCGTTTCAGTCAACGTATGCAGATACCCGAAAATTGCTAGTTGGGCAACACAGGTTCCTTAGGCATTTGAAAAGAGGGCGTTTATCTAGTAGGTGTCTCCTCTAACGCACTTACATTTGGATCCAAAACGTTTTTGCCTTTGTCCCTGGTCCATTAATCCACTAAAGGCGAAGCTTTTTATCCCAAAGACACTGTGTTCCCCAATACTGAAGACTTCTGGCACCATCCACGTATGACAAAATGAAGAAAGAGCTATCATTTAAGGAACCCACCAGTTAAATGAATGATTTATGTTCTTCAACTGGTTTGGTGATAAGGTAAAAGCGTATTCTGTTCTCCTTGTTCCATTGTTGGGGTCGCGTCCGATCCCGCTATGGTCCCCTATTGAACCGGTCACGCATAGAGGATACTGCCATAAAAATTAGAGCCCTTTAAAAAAAAACTGTCATAGCTGGGCTAGAAGGTGGTGAATATGCCAGGAGCCTGAATGTATGGCAAGCTTGGAATCTTGCTATACTTGATCTAGCCAAGAGCCAGAAAGAAAATAAAGGCGGTTGCCTGATCCGTGGGCGTGTTGCGGGAAGCTGCATGGCTTGAAAGCTCGTGTGACGGATAGATGCTTGTCAGCCCCCACAGTTTCGACTCAACAAGGCCTGAAATGGACACCTAGCGAAGGAGGTTGAAAATGGCAAACATGGGCAGACCTGGTTAAAGGATCAAGCAAAATACAGGGTATCAATAGCGTTGGATTAGGCCTCCACAAATATAGCTTGAAGCCTTATACCAAGCGGGAGAGCCTGAGATGGTGGTACGTAAAGCTTTCGGCCAGCTGACGACGGTTTAGCAAATCCCACATCCCCAGGACATTCCCCGGCAACTGTGCAACTCCACAAACACTCGACAGAATCTCCAGTTCTCCTGTATCTGACGTTAATATTAAGTTAATTATATGGCATATATGCGAGAACCTGCCAGACTTTTGATGATGTTTTCCGGTGCATCAAGCATATCAGAAAGAACTCACGCTCCATACGTAAAATACTTCGGAATTAGTTATACTTCTCCCGGCTCTGCTATATCAAGGAGCAAAGTAGCTTATCATCCCACGGGCCCTGAATATGAAACAGAATATATGTAAAACTGAGCATAATGATAGGACAAATACCCGCATTTCCGTCTCCAGGAGCCCATCATCTTCAGGGGCCGCGGGAAAGCCTGGCGCTCAACTGAACGGTTTGTTATGGCTCCTGTCTTGTGTTGCTTGAATAGTCAACGATAAAGCTATCCACGCGGCCGGTAAATGTCTGGCAGCAGCACTTTTCATAGTAAAGCTCCATCGGGGCGCGCTGTTGTTGGCGCTTTGGTGCTGAAGGAATCATCGTGTAGGTTGAAGTGAGGTTAAAAAAAAAACAACTAAGTTAAGGTCGACGCAGTCAGCACCACGAAAAAAGTAAAAAGACGACCAGCAGTACAACCGCGAGGGCGACGGCTTTATCACCTTCCACGGCCACAAACTAAGACCCCTTAAATTTTAAGAGCCTTCCGTCGGCGAGAATGGTTTCAAATGAAGATAATGGTCTAGATCTATCCTGGCTGTCATGCTGATAGCTAGCTTCGCAGGAAGACACAAGTCCCCTGAAAAGGGGCCGGGAGCTCCCCTTCGAGTAACGAAATATTGCAAAGTCGTACATTGAACGGGAAAATGTCGTTCTGTCTCTTCTGATGCCTGATGATGGGACCATGGACGTGGGGAGGATAAGGGGAGATATAGACATAGAATATGGACAAGTATGTTATGGAAAAGGTACCTCTATACCAGCGGAGGAATATTAACAGCTGAAGAATGTATCAAATGCATGCCATACAACCATGTGAGAAAAGATGCAGGAAATGGATAATGAAATAGTTAAATCGAGCCCTATCCCCGAACACCGGCCAGGGGCCCTCTTATTTTCCCCATGAGGTTGACTCCACGAATACCCCCCCAACAAATCAATGACCCGTACCCATTAAACTACAGACTTCTTAGTCCGAGAAGTCCTCGCTGGAAACTGCTGCATCTCCGTCTTCTTCACTGCTGTCGTCATCAAGGGCGTACACAGGCTTTTTGGCAGTTGTAGCTGCCCGACGTGCAGGTCTCGCCCTAGACGATGGTTTGACAGCTTCCTCGGGTTCCGAGTCGAGAATATCATTAGCCATGGCGTCGATATCGTCATCAGACATATCGTCCACTATTTTCTTGGCTTTGGCCTTTTTAGAAGCATAGACCTTTGCTGCAGGTGAGAGTTGAAGGGCCTTCTTCTCTTTCTCTGGCGCGGCAGCTACTGCTTTCTTTGGCCGGCCTCGAGCAGAAGTTGTTGAAGTCTTTGCAGCAGGTTTTGAAGTTGACTTGGAGCTGGAAGAAGCTTTAGCCTTTGCAGTCGATTTAGCAACAGGTTTAGGCTCATCTTCGATGTCATCTTCTGCATCTGAAAACACCTTGTTTTCTTTCGGCTTCACAAGTAGAGAGCGTCTTGGAGAGTTTTGAGGGATAAGTTTCGAGTAGTCAGTTTCATCTGCATCAAATTCCATCGTCTCCTTTGCCGGCTTTGCAGGAAGTTTCGAGCTTCCACCGGCCGGGCGAGAAGGTTCAGAGAAAAGAGTTGGCCCTGTGGAGACTGTGTTTGGCTTTTTCTTGTCTATCCCCTTGACCATGGCACTGACATCAAAGTCATCATCCTCTTCATCCTCAGATGTACTGAAACCATGGTACTTCTTAGGCTGCTGTTTGTTTCGAGCGCTGCGTTGCGTGGTGGGCTTAGGGATCATCTCGATATCCGAGTCATCATCAACCACCTTTGGTTTCTCTACAGGTGATGGTTCCCGCTTCGGGTTGTCAGTTCCCATAGAATCAATGTCCAAGAAATCTGCGTCACTTAGTCCCTTAGACACAGGCGCCGGCGCAGGCTTAGCTTTGGCTTCCTTTGCGGTTCCTCGCGATTTCGGCTTCGGCATAACTTCATCCTCAAAGTCATCCGAATCATCTGCACCATCGACACGGGATGTTGCCTTTGGCTTGGGCTTCGCTTTACTAAGGAAATCAAGTAGCCCGCCCTTGGGTTGAACGCGATTAACGGTTGCCTTCTTCCCCTTGGGCACATCGAAATCACTGTCATCACCCGAGCCCGCCTTGCGTTTTTTGGCAGCAGTAGCTCGGCTGCCAGTTTTGACCTTGGATGATAAGCGTCTGCCACGGCTAGCTATTTTCTTGCGGCGGTTGTCTTCGTCCTCAAGCTGGAATCTCCATTCGGAAATGAACTCGTCAAGGTCCTTCCTCCAGAGATCTTCCTTTGTTAGTTTGATCAGCGCATCAACTTCCATCTCCTTGTCTCCAATTTGGCGTCGCAGTTTGTCAACACGTTCCTGGGTCAGGGACCACAGAGGCATCTGTAGGATCAAAGGTTAGATTGAAAGCGTGATTAGTAGGGCGTGGTGGAACTTACGCTCAGAAGGTAATCATATGCATCAGAAGAAACGGCGGCGGTTGTGGTCTCCTCCTCTTCGTCTTCCTCTTCTTCAACATCACCAGCTTCCCCCGGTTCTGGAGTACCGACAACCTTTGGGAATGGCTTGAACCCCTTCTCCTGCAGCTCTTGAATGAGAACAGCTTTCTTCTTCTTTGAGATCACCAGTTTTCCATCTATAATCATCTGAACAAAGCGGGCTTGGTTGCTTAACTTGTCGAGCTGGGTTTGAAGTTCCGACAGGAGATATTGCTATAACTACCGTTAGAGACATAGAGGCAATAATTGTGAGACAAATATGTATGCTCCGTACCTTTCGTTTCTCATACAGTTTGATACGGACGGCATAAAAGGCCCGCAAAATGTCCTCTGGAGTTTCGTAGCGTGTAATACGCCCTTCAGCGTCAAAAGCAACCATGTTCGAAGTTGCTATTTGTTTAACAAGCTTGAACTTTTCCTCAAGGCCTTCCTCAAGGGCCTTCTTCATGTGTTTTTCTTCCATCTGAATGATGAAATGAACATTGGTGTGGGTGTTGTAGTCCTTGTAATCTTTAATAAATGAAGGGACCTTTTCAGCCTTGATGATTTCCTCAAGCTTGTCCTTGAAGTCTTGGGTCCAGGTACGGATAGGCAATTCGGTGATTTCTACTTCGTTGTCTGCAGTTTGTTTGATGATCCCACTGAACTTGTAACGATCTCCAGACCCAGTAACTTCACCTTTAAAACCGCGGAACCATGGCTTCATTGGAACAAGCTCCTCACCTACCATCAGCCGCTTGAGGTTGTCAACTACTTCTTCTGGGTTATAATTTGGGATTGAGGTGCTCCAGCCTGTTCCAATACCATCAGCGCCGTTGATGAGAATGAGTGGAACAACAGGAACGTAAGTTTCAGGCTCAATCACTTTTCCATCGTCAACGTTGTTCACCAATAACGGCTCATCAGCTGGATGGAATAATCGTCTCGCAAACGGCGAGAGACGTGTGTAAATATAACGAGCACTGGCACTGTCAGAACCACCTTGGAGACGACTTCCAAAGTTACCGCTAGGTTCCAAGCAATTGATGTTGTTTGACCCGACGAAGGTTTGAGCCAGACCAACAATAGTGGTATGCAAAGAGTTATCACCATGTTGATAAGCCGTCATACCGGAGACATAACCAGCAAGTTCGACAACCTTAATGTCCTTTCTGACATTGCGTTTGAACATAGTGTACAAAACCTTCCGCTGACCAGGTTTCAAGCCATCTACCACTGAGGGAATGGATCGAATGTTATCGGCCATACTAAAAAGAATAAGCTCTTTGTTGATGAAATCAGTATACGTGATTTGGTCGGTGGAATGGTCAAGGTATGTTCCTGGCTTGAATTGGCGAAGCCACTCCTTTCGTTCGTCGGCTTTCTTCTTAGAAAAAGCAAGCTCGATGAGCTCTGCCTCCTTATCCTGCAGTGTGTGAAACTGTTTCAGGTGCCTGTCCAAATCTTGGAAGTAAATTTGGGCGTCCTCTGTCGAACTAGTACCCAAACCTTTGTAGTACTTCTTTTGCCACTTCTTATCATGCGCATGAGCTTCCTTCCACTCCTCATATTCTGGAATGGTGAAGAAAGATTTGGAGTGAGTTGGATTTTTAGGATCTCCCTTCCAAACTTTAACAATAGGCGTGATGAATTCGATCAGGAAGCCGGGTATTTTCAAGAGAGTTGGGAATGCAACCTGAAGATAATTGATGAGCAAGCCCTTGATATGACTACCGTCATGATCCTGATCAGTCATAATCATCAAATGGCCATACCGGAGACCACGAGTATCAGTATATTCCTTTTTATGCTGTAAGCCAATGAAATTTTTGATGTTCTGGATTTCAGCATTCTTCGAGATTTGGTCTACAGAGGCATCTCGAACGTTGAGAAGTTTTCCTCGAAGTGGAAAGACTCCGAAAAGGTCAGGTCCCACAACTGCTCGGCCGGCCATAGCCAAACCCTTGGCGGAATCACCTTCAGTTAGGATGAGAGTACAGTGATGTCCATCTTTAGTGCCGGCCTTATTTGCATCTGTAAGCTTCGGGTTATTCATACGGGAACGGCGGTTTCCGTCCGTTTTCTTCAAAATTTGATCAGCTTTCTTTTCTGCAAAGTGGAGGATATCGTCCATGACACGGGTCTTCATGACCTTCTTCAAAAAGTCATCAGAAACAACACATTTGCTTCCGAATTGGCTTGGTCTGGTAGTCAATTGCTCTTTGGTTTGAGAAGTAAAGGCTGGATTGACAATCTGGGAATTGACGAAGAGGAAGATGTGGTTCTTGATCTGGGCAGCCTTGAGAGTTGCCCCGGTCTTGTTTTTCTTTTTCAGAGCGTCGGCAAGCTTGTTGCAGATTTGGTCACTGATGTAATTGACGTGCGTTCCACCAGATGTTGTTGCGATGGAATTGACAAAAGAAACCTGTTGAAAAGAGCCATCCGATACGGTGAATCCAATTTCCCAGCGCCGGTCCGGGCTTTCTGTAATTATATCATTTTTGTCAGAAGCCGAAGTCGGATCCTCTCCTCGCTCAGCCTTGATTGCTTTGGTGTACATTTCCATGTATTTTTTGAAAGACTTGATGGGGATCCTTGTGCCGTTTAATTTCACTGCTGTCCCGCAGGTGCCAGCCATGTCGTAGACTCTTCTTTTAACCAAGGCCTCGAAATCATCATCCATTCCGTCCATGCCGAACTTTGCAAAGTCAGGTTTGAATGTAACCTTGGTATAGTCGTCACCTTTGCATTCAGTAATCTTGGCCTTTCCCATAGTTGACATATTATTCGTCCATGTGAGTTTGAATTTCTTTTTCTGCTTAGAGTCAGCCGTTTCGACCGTGAATTCATTACTAAAAATATTACAGAGTTTTGCTCCGTAACCGTTTCGTCCGCCGGTGACTTTCTCTTGCATATCGTTGTAGTTCGATGAAGTCAACAAATGACCGAAAATAAGTTCAGGAATGTAGATTTGCTCTTTCTACAAAAGACTTAGCATTGCACTTCTAAAATATGTACTATAATCAAGGAGAGGAAAGTACATACCTTGTGTATCTCTACTGGAATACCACGACCGTTATTCCAGACGCTAATTTCACCAGCTTCCTTATCCAAGGTAACCCTGATCTCACTCATGTTGGGGTCATTTTGTTTGTTGTCCGCCGCGTTGACGAGGATTTCATCGAAGATTTTGTATAGACCAGGAACGAAAGAGACCTCTCTATACTCCATCAACTCTGTTGTTGAGTTATAAACCCACATGTGCTTCTCCGTTCGTTCAACAGAGCCGATATACGTGTCTGGGCGTTTGAGGATATGCTCTAATTGGGTGATCTAAACCGGCATTTAGTGACAAGAGGGTGTAGGATGGTTATATGATAGGGCTTACCTTCTGGTACTTCTCGGATGAGCCACCTCCCTCTACCGTTTCCGTGGCGAAAGACCCATTCTCCACATTAGCAAGAGGTTTTGAGGCAGCCTTCTTGGGAGCAGCTTTCTGCTTCTTAGACGCGTTAGGGGGAGTGCTGTCAAGAGCGTCTGCATCATCGGAGTCCGCCTCCTCCGCTACTGAGTCCAGCTCATCTTCGGGATCAGGTCGGGCAGTTTTCTTAGATGATGTGGCTTTTGATGTCGTCTTGGGTTTGAGAGTAGTTTGGGTTAGTTTTTTGGGGGCACCCTTTGCTTTGGGGGCGGCAGCGGCTTTCTTTGGGGCCGCCTTTGCCTTTGGTTTCTATCATGGACACCGTCAGCATTTGTAGCCAGCAAACGACAAACAAATTGAACACTTACCGGGGCAAAGTCGGAGCTGAAGCCGTCGCTCTCAAAATCGCTTTCGCTCGCCATCGCGCCGGTATTGTCTCAGCAGTGTCTCCAAGGGGCGTTCAGGGGGGGGGGATTGAGTAGCCGTGTCAAGCGTTCAGAACAGAGTAGGTCTGGCTATTGACCTCAGGCTCATTCGCTCTGCATGTCGCTCCAGGCAATAAACGAGTGACAGATATCGCAGATGTCGAGAAACTCGACCGTGGTTGTCCTTTTGTTGTCTTTTATGTTTTCTCCTTCGCGGCGGGAGTTAGGTAAGGTTGGCGGCCCTTCCAATAAAATTTTGGCGGACAAACATCGGACCGACAAATTCTTACCCGAATAGGAAATATATAAACACTTGGCGCCTCTATCGATAAACAATTGCGTTTTCTCTCTCTTTTACAGCTGGAAACGGACGGCGGTAAAACAGCAGCAGATTCACTCTCAGCAATTGCGGCATCAACCTCGAGCGACACCGCTTGCTGCATTGTTATTGTTAACTGTTGACTTCTTTTGCGCGGCATCATAAATCTTCACATGATGGCCCGGGCGGAAATGGCTTCCGGAGTAACTATTATCCGCATGACTAAGCGAGTCGCGTTGTTTTGATCCAACTTTCCCTTTTCGGAGGTGGAAAAACACATCGAAACATCCAAAGATCCAACTTCGACTTCGACTCCGACTTCGACTCCGACTTCCAAGGACAACGTCAACAGACAGACGGACAGTCGGCTTGGACACTTTACACAGCACATCTCAAGTTCCAGTCAGCCTCATGGAGTGTTTCGTACCTCGACGCAGCTGAGATTCCGTGTTCTCTGCACTTTCCGCCACCAAGAGCGGTTTGTTTACCCTCGTTTGACCTCCTCGATTAACTACGACTCGTTATCGGCCCATACCAGCTATCCCAACCACCACACTACAGATCAGCTATGGCGAGTGCTATAGCAAGGGCGCGTAAGCCCGTTGGCTCGAAGGAATGGATTGCCGAAGAAAAAGAGAACTGCAGGCAATTAGTGCAACAGGAACTGGACGAAGTTGAGTTCCCAGTGCGACATGAGATGGACTGGCTTAACGAGCATATGGCGGAGATATTCACCCGTGATCAGTTGTATGGCTTATACTCATGCTCGTCTTTCACATATGTTCTTAGATCTTGCTTCCCTGTCTAACCAGTTAAAGCAGCAGCGTTACCGAGCTATTCAAGACTCCTGGCAAAATGCGCGGCAAGACTCCCCGAACAGCAAGAAAGATTCTCAAGACGCCGCGAGAAGCGCGAGTAGTAAGTTACTCTGGATATATCGCATTCCTACATATCTCCAGCGATATTGTTACTGTGAAACAGCGCGCATTATTTCTAACATTGTCGTAGCCTTTGAGTGATATATTCTCCTCCGGACACAATGCTCGACACAGCTCCGGACCTACTAATCGATTTACAAACGAGATCTCGAAGCTTTTGACTAGCAATGAGAAGCTGCGATCGCCTCTTCCAAGCACACAGAATTCGAACCCGAATTACAATACCGACTCCGGCTACCATGGAATGCCGGATTCCCTCCCAACAGACACCAACGAACCAGATCATCAAATGGAGGTAGAAACAGCTACCCAAGTCATCGAGGACTCAACAATACTGCCCGTCGATGGAGGCCCTAAGAGCCCTGCCAATGTTCGTCGTATTACCGAAGACTCGTTTCACTCCGCGAGAGAAGTTGCACCAAGCAAGGAAAACACGGCGGAGCCAATGGAGTTCGAATATTCTCGCTATATCCCAAAGAACACAGCTTTGCCAAAGCAACATCCTCTCAGCACCTCTCCTCACCAGGAGAAACAGAACGAGAGCCAGAATCGCCCTCAGCCCTTGGCCTCGCCCCATCAACCAGAAGCTAAGGAGGATCTTGACGATCCTAATTTCGATGATATAGGCTCACCTTCAGATGGTCCTACTCCGGTTCGAGCACCAATTCGAAAAAGTAGTCTTACATTTGCATCCCTACCGGCAAGAGAGCCACTCACTACAAAGCGCAGCATGGGCGGACGAATGTCCAGGACTAGTCATATTGATCCCCCTAAGATGAACATGAGCATAGTTGGCCAGCCCGGCTACCTTGGGAGGCAGACTGGTGGGAACCGATTGACACAAATGCTCTTGGACAATGAGAAAAACAACAAGCCTCTGGAATCTAGTGACAAGGCCGGAACTGATGATTCGGCTGACAATGACCATGATTCTGATGCAGAAAATAAAGCCCCAAAACGATTGAACAAGTCATCAACACAGCTTTTACACGAGAAAATCAATATGCTAGGGAAGACTCAGGCCCCTCGTACCACCAAATCTATTGCTCCCGCTCCATCACTAGGTACACAGCAACTCAGCTATCCAGACCTTCCACCGCCTACTGCTGCCTCTTCAAATGATAATACACAGAACGCCTCTATTTCTAGGCCCTCGTCCGCCATGGAAGCTGCTCACGGCTCCCCTCAGAGATTACCACCGACACCAAACCATTTTACTTTTCCCGCTGATAAGTTCCAACCAGAGGCCCAAATTTATAGGGACACTCCTAGTCCTGCTTCAAGAGCGCCTTCAGCTCATCCCGTTTCACCTGAAAGGCGCTCGCCGGGCCCAAAATCATTCCGGCCAGGAGGCTTTTTCCACAGCAAATCTTCTTCTGTCCCTTCGTTTCCTATCTCCCCACGGCCTGGCACGGCTGGCTCCGCCCAGAAAGCACCATCTGTTGTGGATACCCCTGGCGAGTCCACTACACCGGCTGGCTCCCCTAAACGCTTCGATGGCCCATTAAGTGCATCTAAATCAAAGCTTCAATCCTTAATGAAGAGCGCCAGAGGACTTTTTGGCAGCAGCGCGAGCGTTTCTGCTACTGCCAAGTTGGAGACTCTTTCACCTACTTCGCAGCGCACCCAGGCTAGCACACAGAACCAGCCTCAAGCAACAGCTACTGTCCCACCAAGCCCAGCTAAAGCTCCTCGAACCCGTGGCTCTATTGAAAGGGAGCATAGACGCAAAGAACAAGAGTTAAAAGATCGCAAACAGATGGAAGAGCAGGAGCGAGCTAGGGAACGTGAGAAGCTACACCCAGAACCCACCAAGCCTGCAAATTTACCCTCCAAACCTCAAATCCTAGATAAAGTGGAGGTACCACAGCATTCCTCAGAAAACCTCCCTGCTCGAAGGGTAGAGCCAGTGCCCATGGCAGAACCTGCACGTCGTGAGCTTGAGCCCAGTACAGAAGAAGGACGGGGAGCAAACACTCATGCCACATCACAATCCCACCCGTTGCCCAATGAAGGTCGTAGGCCTGCAAAAGCCATTAGAGAAATGCGAAAGCCAAAACCACAGCCTGTCAACATACGCGTAGGAACTCTATCTTCACAGCGAATAAGGGCAGAATCGGCAACTCCAGCACCCCCTTCAACCCGTGAACCGACTGTCCAGCAAACGTCGGTTTCCAAAAAAGCTAGCAATGCCTCTCTTCTCACCACGGCATCTTCCAGTGGTAGCCTGAAGAGCTCTGCATCTTCTGCGTCGTCGAAATCAAAAGCTCTTCTAGCTGTGGAAAGAAAGAAGGAGCAGGTAAATGCTTCTAATACCATATTATCTTTATCTCATTTGATACTTACTTATCTGAACAGGAACAGCGAGAAGCCCAACGCAAGCTGGACCAGCGCCGTGAGGTCGATCGTAAGAGACTTGCGCAGCAAGAGGAAGCCAGCCGACAGCTACAACAAGATAAAGTCCGTCACGAGCGAGAGCAATCTGTTACCGACGATCCAAAGACGCTTGCAAAGAAACAAGCGATTGAGAAGCGGCGACTCGAGAATGCCAAAAGATTAGAGCAACAGCGCGGTCGACAACAGACTCCGTCAAATGATACCGTATGTGTGATTATCTACCCACTACCCATGTGTTGTTTGATGCCGCACTAACTCTGCATTAGAGCTCTGTTATACACAGCGAACGTTCAATTCTCAGCGAATCTCAGGGACCGGCACGACCTGGCTCAAGGTTAGGCAGTGTTCAGCCTCCGAGCCGACCACATAATTACCCACCACCAAACCCTGCAAAGCCTCCCAAGCGTGCACACGAGGAGCAAAACACCGTCCGACCCCCTGCTACAAAAGCCGGCAGTGTTCATCAACTTGACGGCAAGCGGAGGAAGACTGAAGAAGAGATTGTTGCTCCTGAACCCACCGCGGTTCGACCAGCTATGGCTCCTCCTATTCGTCAGTCCAACGCGTCAAAACTTAATAACTTCCCCAGTGTTTCCAAGTACCCAGCCGCTCCTCCTGTGAACTCGATGCAAGGCTGCCCCCCAATATTTAAGAACTCTGTCGGCGCACAGAAACCATTTCAAACCCTTCCTCATCAAACCCAGGGCAACCGGCCGGCCCATCCCTTGGAGATGGCAAAATATGCCAATGGAAAGATTCCCTTTGCGGAACCTAATAATGTTCCACCCCAGCCGAGCTCTGCTCATCTCAAAACGCCTGGTCAAAACAAACATGTCATACCTAAATCTTCTCCAGCCTATCCAAACGGCGAAAACATTAAACTTCCTGATATTCCTACTGACAGTGAAGACGAAGACTCCGATGCTGAGCCATGTCATGTCCCAGACTGGGCCAAGGAAGAAAACCTCCATAACATTCTTGTTCAGCAAGAAAGCCAGGATGGGGAGATGGTCTTCGGCCCATCTGCTCCCCTGCGGATGGAAGAGATCTTCAAAGGCAATAAGGAGAGATTACGCAAGTTCCGTGATCGTACTAGCAGTGCGAATTGGAACGGTCCGGACGGCTTGACACAGGATGAAATTAAGTGGGACATGGCTGAAAGAGAAAAATTGAAGAACAACGGCGGCTGGGTCTTCAGCCCTCATTGAAACCACACCAGTCTGCTTTCATAGGGACGAGTTATTTACATATTTTCATTTCGGGATAATAATATCAACACGCGGTTGGATGAGGGTCCAGCGGCATATTTTCCAGTGTTGATTTGATAATTGGAGTATCAGACACTCCATTTTGATTGTTTTGTTATATTGCTAATACATGGCGAGGGGGCTTTGACTCTACTTCTCTATACTTGTTTTGTACTTTTTTGAATGTGTGGAGTTTAGATTTTGATTGCATACCTATATGGTTTTTACTACATATTAGCCTGCTGCGGAGTTTGTGGTTTAAATGGCATGGCAAATCAATATGGCTTTTTGTGTTCGTGGAATTATGGTTACAGATTATTACATTAGGGAGGTTTGACATATGCATCTTGAACCTATAAAAGTCCCAATTCCTACAGGTATCAAATCAAACAAAGACCCCAGAGGACGTTGTTAGTCTCTAGTAATATCCGGTAAACCTAGTAAACCAACATTCGGTTGCACTCATACATTGTCCCATAGTTATAGCCCAGACCAATCAATCTAGAAGTAATCCAAAGATATAAACCCAATAATAAGAATGAAGACAAAAAAAGAAAGCTTTTTATGGCATAATGTTACAAGATTCTCACTCATCTTCCTCAGGCTCTACATCGCCTATTTCGACATCTCTATCTTCCATCATAGCATCAGCATTGGGGTTATTTGTATCATACGTGTCTCGGCGTTTTCTGTCAGGGGTATGGCTGATTGTCCTCCATCCTAAGACTGAAGTAGGATCTTTGACATATTCAGACATTGGGAACTAGATATGGTATATGTTAGTGCTGCCTTTGTGTTTAACTTAATAGTCAGATATAGATATGGATTCAACGTACGTAGTGGTCGTTCTTCTTCATTGTAACAACCCATGGCACGTTATCGAATGTGACAGCGCGCAAACGGAAGTATGTATTGTTCGGGATCATGTTGACTTGCTGAATAAATGAGTCCAGATCCGGTGTCTTTACACCATTGACAGCTGTGATGAAGTTGGTTGGTGACAAGCCATATTGATAGGCAGGTGACCCGCGGCTCTAAGGACAGGTACAGACATTAGTTTGATATGTAGACGAACAGAAAGCTAAAACGAGAGGTCATACCCTTGCGCTGACATATACGTCGGAGTGCAGTTTAGATATTTGCTGTCTGACGGCGTGGTGGGGTTTCTGCAAGACTGCTCCGCAGAAGATAAGGGCTCTGTCGGTCTCAAGGTCCTCTGTTGGGACGGTTTTGATTTGTATCTTCATCTCTTCGCCGTTACGCACGATGAGAGCGTCTAGCGACTCTTGATCGTACATAGCGTCAAAGTCCGAGACGCGAGTGACAAGTTTGTCATTCAGTGTAAGAATAATGTCTCCTTCCTCCAGTGGCCTCGTATCCGTCGACGAAGGAGAAGCACAATCTACTTTTCGTACCATGAATAGCTCATGACGCGCTGGGTTAGCGATGGCAACCTTGCGAATCCATTCTTCAGATACGCCCATGACGCGAGCCTGGCTCATCTGGATAACGTAGGTCTCCATGTCGAGGATTCGAAGTTTGGGGATGGCACCGCTTTGGATCTGAGAAAGGACTGGGAGGAGAGATGGTGTAGCGAGACCAAGATGATACTCAACATCTTTGTGAGAGCTTTCAGTTCGTTCACCCAGGTAGTTGAGCCAGAGAGCCTCGACGACGCCATCTTCTCCTAACAGAACACCGCTGGTGCACTGGGTGCTGAGTCCTGTATCGACAGTGATAGCATCCAGGTTGATAGCACGGTATCGTGGAGCAGCGGCATTGGGCGGGATTGCAACAGTGGTTATATCTGTGACAGTCGTGGCCGTTACAGCAATACGGAAGTTCTGGTTGAAGCCAACGAATAGGGTTCCAGCACCCTGCTGCATGTATTCTGTGCTCAATTTGGCGGATTTGACGGGAGCCTGAACAAGGCTGGGGTCATACTGGATGACCGTATAGTTCTGAAGCGGGTGCATGAAAACAACCTTGCCTCTAACTATGATGGAATCAGCGACTGTGATGTTAATGTCACAGAGATCAAATGGAATGATGGCTCGAGAAATAATGACAAGCCCCTTTTCAGCGTCGATGACCAGACCGAAACCATGAGTCCGGGCTTGTGGGAACCCATCGAGCCTGACAGGCATGGTACAAGATACGCGGACAAAGCTGCGAACAATATCGTTGGCAGCAGCGTGCTTGACACCATTGAGATGGATAAAGTCTGCACGTCTGGGAACAGGAGGTTCTGCAGGCAAAGGATCAGCCAAGTCAGTGAAATCCCAGAGACCAGTAGCATCGTTTCTTTCGGCAAGCCTCATCTGAGGGTGCCAATGGCGATCTATATGCACGACGCTGGTCCCTCTCGTGTGAAGATCACGGATATGTTTGTATGATAGGACCACTCTCGCACGATCTAACAAAGTCAGTATAAAAAAAATAAAAAATAAAAAATACATCAAAATATCATACCAGGTATGGTCTTCATAACTTGGATGAATTCATCCAAGTTCTTGGTCGGCCTCTTGTCAATGGCATCAATAATCCAGCCGGAAAAGGCGTTTTCCAGCTTAAACGAACCGGCGGCTTCGCAGACGTAGACTCCACGGCAAGGAATGGAATACAGCCTTGCCTGCTGGTACGATAAGTCGTGGAAGATGGCTCCAGCAACGCTGACATAGCGTGAAGGAGTAATGCCATGAAGGTCCTGTACCTGACACTTGACCTCGAGATCCTCGCCGCCTCGTTGTACCAACAAAGTGACGTCCTGTCCTATAGAAGAGTCCAGGATGGCATCTAGCTTGACAAACTGAGTGAGGAGATCTCCATTGACCTTGACCAGGACGTCGCCTTCCTGCAGTTTACCATCTCCGGGGCCCTCTGGAAGCACGATCTCAGCAACAAGCATGCCGGTCTCCTTGGGTGCAGCTGACCGTACAGCAGCCTCCCATTCCGGAGACAGGCCAAGTCTTCGACACTCGTCAAACGGCTTGATGATCCATTGGGTCTGTATGGTACCGCGGGTCACTGGCTGGCCGTTTTGGATGCACTGCAACGCGCGAAGGGGCCGGTCAAGAGGCAGGAAATAATCCGTGGCAGCGCCGTCTGCACGTCCACCGGCCTGTAAAGCAATCGCGTAGCCATCAATATTGACGACAGGACTGCCTGAGCTCCCACCACTGGCTGCAGCAGCTGCCTGGATGTAGTTTGTGTTGAAATCGCTGTACCCTTCACCATACTCCGGGGCGTTTCGATCCAGCCGACTGATGACGCCGGACAGAATGCTCAGCTTCTCTCCTGCGTCGTTTCCTACCACTCTGATCTCCACGCCTACTTTGGCTGAGTCAGGCCGTAGCTTCAGCTCGGTCAGGGGCATATATTTGATTGCGGCAGGGTCGAATTTCAGGATACCAAAGTCGTGGACGGGGTCTCGATATATTGGCTTCACATCACACTGCAAACAAACAAATTTAGCATTCTTTCCAGTAATAATGACCAAAAAAATAAAAATAAAGGGCAAAAGACCCTACCTCTTCATGGTTATCGAAGATGCAGTATCCCCAAAAGGGCCCGGCGCAGACCACATGCCTGTTGGTCATGATATAGCCGTTCTTCGCATCGACCACGAACCCCGTTGCCTGGCTGGCCATGGACAGGTCCGTATCAAACGAAGCCGTCTGGCAGAAGTGAATCGAGACCACGCACCGCACGACCTTCTCGATGGTCTCCTGCCACTCTGCCGAGTCTGTCTGCACCTGGCTGACGGGCAGCATGGCTCTCGCCGCGGCCTCGGGGTCTGTCTCTGCCTCGTCGTAGGCGTACATCGTCACATCTCCGGACGGCTGGCGGTCCTCGGAGGGCGTATGGCTCGCGGCAGCAGCAGCAGCGGTATCTGGCCTGAAGTGTTTGGCAGAGGGCAGGGACATGGCGCTGCCCGAGTGCTTTCGTTTGGCGCTGCCGTTCATCTCCATGGCGGCGGTCGTTGACGGCGACGGCGTAGATTCAAAACAAGGCCGTCTTCTTCGTCCTTGCGTCCCCTTTCCGTGTCTCCTTTTCGTTTGTAACGATCTCCTTCTTCAGCTGGTTATCGTTCAACGGCGGTGGTTTGGTCGGCGGTTCGTGGTAGTTATCTAACTATAGCTTTTTTTTTTTCTTATTCTTCTCGTCTTTAGTTAACTGGCTCGGTAGCAGGCGACAGGCTGAGCACAAACAAAAGCCCCCTGCGGTTTGCTGCGAGGGCTGAGCGGTTGGCAAAAGGAGCCAGGAGGAATGGATACAGGGCAGAGGCAGAAGCGAGATAGTTAGTTGGCGCTGGCAGCGGCTTATCAGGTTCGGCTGGCGATAAAATCCATCACTAACTAGTTATTTATAAGTTGCCTTTCGACTGAGTTCATCCGAGGATGCAGCAAGTCATCTGCGCAGAGTCAGGCGATGCCCCTTTTCTGACCGCTGCGAATGTTTTATATTAGTTGGCGTGTTTACTGCGTCGATTAGGAGCCGGGGAGTCCATGTCTGTCGGTGTTTCTGGTGCCTCTGCGGCTTCACTGCTGCTGCTGTTGGGAGTCACAGCCAGAGTTGGTAGAGAAAGGCACAGGCTGTTCAATTTACTCCCGATAGAAGAGGCAGAAGTGCGAGGCGGAGTTCTATAGTACAAGAGGCGGGATTATATATTCCAAGTTCGTCTGATTTTTTTTATTATCTTCTCTCTAGATATACATATAACCAACACATTCCATGCTTTAAGTCAAGGCCGCCCGAGGGGGGGGCCCATGGACGTTTGTCCTTTGTATATAATACACTGTTGTAGTCGACACGTTATAGATCTCCCCCGAACATCGTCAGTCAGTTAGTTCTATTCTGGACGTCTCATGTCATTGCATGGTTGGCACTATGGGAGCTCATTCAGAGGGCGCAAGATCCTTGAGCAGGGAGAGTCTCGACAGAGGCTCCCACCAGAGACCCCCGGGCATGTCATATAATCGGATAGGGGGGAGGTTATATATACTCCCAGTGTAGTCTCTGGAGCCTGCTCTGATGCACCACAAGGGTCGCCTTACGAGACATGGGATAAGAGTTGAGTCTGAACATTTCATTCTGGACCTAGAAGGGGAGCGTCTCATCCAGCAGCGGAGCCGGGATAGGAAAAGTCGGGCTGTTGAATCATCTGAATCTGGCCCTGGCGCTGCCGGTAGAGCTGCTGCTGCTGCTGCTGCTGTTGCTGCTGGGGGGTCATTGGACTACCTATGCCAGTTTGTGGCATTGGTGTCGGCACAGGGGCAGTAGTGGTAGTGGTAGTGGCGGCGGCGGTGGTGGTGGTGCCGCCAGGGGTGGTGGTAGCGGTGAAAAGCTCGTTGAGAGACGTGTAGAGCTGGTTGAGCGAGGGGAGATGCGGTGGTGGTGTCATGATAGCGGGAGTCTGGGGCCCGGTGGCACCAGTCTTCTTTGCGCGGTCTGCCACCGTTGCGAGGTAGGCGAGGTTTGCCTGAAGCCGGCGCATGCAGTCAACATATTCCTGCGACGGCTTTCCCGCGGGCGCAACCGCCTTTGCGCTATCGGACCCATTGCTTGACTTTTGGGCGTCCTGGGGTGACGACGGGGAGCCTGTGGTACTGGGCTGGTTCGAAGCAGGCCCGGCCTTGCCGCTAGCCTGTAGGTTGACCACTTCCTGTAATAGAGCCGAATTGATGTCCAAAAGAATAGTGACACGGGCACGCTCGCGGGCGGCTGCCTGTGGTGAAAGAGTGCTGCTGGGTGTCTGGTAAACGGGTGAGGCCTGGGATGGAGCCTGCATCTGGGCCGGTGCCTGTGATGTGGGACGGTTTGGGGTCGAATACATGGCCTTGGAGGACGGCATAGCCGTCGTCATGCCGCCCTGGGCCTGAGGGTCAGCAGAGGGCGAGCGGGTGGATATATCATCCATTACCGGCTGGGGATGCGCGGTCTGTGGTATAGAACTGGGCATGATCGGGTTTGTTGTGAATGGTTGAGTGGTAAAGGGAACTATACAGCATAGATTAGCCTTTTAGCATAAACCAAAAAAATAAAAAATAAAAAAATAAAAATATGAAAAAAATAAAAATAAAAACAAAACAAAACAAGTACCCTGATATGAGGAGAGGTAACGATAGAACAGGGAAGTGTCATTGAGGAGATAATCCCCAAGGATATGAGGCACGTCCTTGACGCTGCACCACACACACACACAAGCCTATCCACCCATCCACACCCACCGCCTGCTGGTCGGACAAGAATACACAACCACGGCGAGGATCTGCTAGGAACAGCAGGGTTGGAGTGGGCCAGGGCCACCAACCAAGAGCGGACAGCACAAGGCAGACGGAAGATATAATAATGACCATAAAAAAAACGGATGGGAGATTCTCTGGGGGGGTTGGGAAGGTCGAGCTGCCTACATACCGTGAGACATGGGAGTAGCAGAAGCCATCATGGGAGCTACGCTGCCAGCAACAAGATGCTGGGGAACGATCTGAGGCTGCTGCGGGAGATGGCCTGGCTGCGGCTGCGGCTGAAGCTGCTGCTGCGGTTGTTGTTGTTGTTGGTGCGGTTGGTGCTGTTGGTGCGGCTGCTGCTGCTGCTGCTGGAGATGCTGCTGGAGCTGGGGATGCTGCTGCTGCGGTTGAAAGGACGCAGGCGGCTGGGGGTAGGCGCTTGGATTCTGGTAATACGGCGGTATATGGTGAGCAGCTCCAGGCAGGGGCTGCTGGTGCTGCTGCTGGGCGGCCTGGAAGTAGGCGACCGACGCGTGGGGGCCGACGACGGACGAGGAGACGGGCAGCTGGTGCGCCTGGAGCTGCTGCTGGTGAAGCTGCTGCTGGAGATGCTGTTGCTGCTGCTGCTGGACATGCTGCTGCTGCTGCAGAGGGTGGTGGTAGGCCATGGGCGGCTGGTTCATGGCTGGCTGTCGAGGCTCGCGCTGGGCCGGCGAGTCCACGGCAGGCAATAAGGCAAGCTTCGAGGGCGAAGGGCGAGGCCGGCGGGAAAGAGACGGCGGCAGCGGCAGAGTCGGGTCGGTCTTCGCAGTGCGCGTGGAGGAGAGCGTCTCGAGTCAGCGCTGCTGCAGGCTGGGACTTGCTGGACGTTGACTGGGCGGCTGGCGAGGTCGAGGTTTGGCCCCCTGGCTGGCGGTGGACTTTTGGGCGGCTGGCGTATCAGCAGCGCCAGAGCATCGCGGGCGGGCGATCAACGAGAGACGTCGTCCTGCTTCTTCGGGGCTCTTTCTTCCTCTCTTTCTTCCTTGCTGGACTTCCCGTCCGTCTCGCTCGGCCTTTTTGCTTCTGCTTCTTCTTCTTCTTCTGCTTCTGCTTCTTCTTGCTGGCGTTTTTCTTCCTCGTCGTCGTCGCGGAAATTCGACTTTTTTTTTCCTCCCAGGTCAAGTCACGTGTTTAACTCGAGGCACGTGATGACATGACTAAGACAAGCTCTAGATGCGGTTAGATAGTCACGTGTTAATGACTTATATAAGCAGGGTGAGAGGTCAGGATAAAGTTCGCCCTATTCCCTGTTCGTCCAGCTGCCGCCGTTTTGGGTTTGGCTCGCCCGCCGACCCACACCCGCCGCTATCAAAGTCTATCGAGCTCGCTCAAGATGCGAGCGAGAATATCAGACTACATAGGCCGTTACAGTGGCATGCTGCAACAGGTCTACAAGAAAGAAGGAGAGAAGAACGCTTTGCATTTCCGTTTGATCGCAATCTCGCAGTTGATCTTTTCTTTCAATGTATGGAATGCCTATACCACTCGAGAGTAAATCCGAGTTGCTCTGGCTCTCCTGATGAAAGCATACGAAGAAGTCCGCGCTTCTCCAGGTCCTGGCAGAATGTCCTTTTGGAAGAGATATCCTCCAAGTCGTTTTGGCGGCTTTCACGGCTACAGCCATCCAGTTCTTCACCATTAGTTATTTCGGCTTCGGTCTCTCTGCCGTTGTTTCTTCCAAGGAACGTCTCTGTGCATGCGGCCAAGTCTGCGATCGTGGCATAACCGTTGTGCCAACACTTGTTGATGATCTCGTCAATTAACGGATCATCACCATCTAGCTTCGGGAATTCCATGTTCTGCAATAGTTCCACAACTTTGCGCCCGTGCTCCTTAGGATCCTCAGTAAGACATTGATCATCGTAAACCTCAAAGCCATAGTTTATAAAGTAGTATAACGAGCCTAGGGCGAATTGTTCGGTTCGACAACCTAAGAAACCAGAACTCCCACATGATCCTTGGTCCTGTTCATTACTATTGAGTATTCTTCCATATGGGGCCATACAGGTTTCAAAATCAGTCCCAAATTCTGCAGTACAATCAAAATCCGAAAGTTTTAATCGGTCGCGATCAATCAAAATATTTTCGGGTCGTAGATCACCATGGGCGAGATTAAGCGATTCCAGAAAGGCAACGGCCTGAGCGAGGTCGTTCATCCATTCTTTTCGGAGGGGTAGAGGCTCCAGTTTCTCCACTTTAGTAACCACATAAGATTGCGGGTCTTGAGTATGATTATTTTGTATCCTAGAACAGAGGGTGACATCTTATAAGCCGGTTAGTCGGGACAATTATAAGCGCTAATATGGACCATTATACCTCTCATGTACTCAAGGAAAATGCCGTTATCCGTATAGAAGAAACACTGCACTATCGAAGGGCATATCGGACGCTGAGAAAGAATCTCATATATCTTGAGTTCATTCTGAAATTGCTCTCTTTCAAAGTCGCCAGATTTCGGGATCTTCACCACGATGCGAGGGTGGACCTCGTAGACAAACGAGATGCCCCCTTTCCAGATCCAGTGCACCTCAGGGAACTGCTTCCGGATACTCATATTAATGATATCATGTAGCAAGTGGGACGAGAATGTGCAGTAAAAGCATTCATGCGTACGTATGGGGAGGTTAGTAGAGAGGAGAAAAGGATATACAGGCAGGCTGGGTTAGTGAGCTTGCTCGCGAAATTGCCCTCTACGTCGGAATGTTACTTGTCGACTTGCCAAGGCTTTTCGAATGAGGCGCAAGGGCCGACGGGAGCAGCGGGGGACCCACCAGCCCGAAGACCAGAGACTGGAGCGTCACTATATCTCGTCTTCCATTTTAGCTTGTCAATGGGCCAGATTTTGTAGAACAACCTAACTGTATCTTGGTATAAGTTTGTCATTTAAATTTAGAATGTGCCCCTTTTCCAACGGCCCAGGAAGGGGCGTATTCTAAATTTAAATGACAGAGTGGAGATTCGAAGTCGCTGGTAGTTTAACTGTGCATGTCCGGGGTAGTTGAGAGAAATACAATTAGCCTCCAGCCGCATCCGATAATGCTGAACTCTGAATAGAGATATCTCCGCGACTGGTGCAAAGGGGTAAGTATCCTTGCCCAAGGTTATGTGGTTTGTAGATCGTTATACCCATGCAGAGGGGCGAAGCCAATCCCCCTGGTTGCGATTGATGGCTGAGTCGACATGGCATGCATAACGAGCCGTGAGCGTGGAAGATTAAACCCCGAGCAGGGGTGGCTGGATCGAAAAACACTCTTAAATATATTTCTTTCTTTCGATATAATCCCTGCACATAATCTGGGGTGTGGAGAGGCGGTCTTATACTTTCCTGTAATAGGCCACTACCCCTTGACAACCCCGAGTACTGTCTCAACCACATTTTCATCTGTAGTCGGGCGTGCTCATCTGCAGGTCTTACCCTTCGGAGTTGGCACAAGCACTCAAGCGAGGCACAATATGATATCCCTTGCTAGTACTTTGTCCGTTGACTGAAATATGATATATAATGTAGCGTAATGCGTTTCTCGTGGGCAGATATAGCCAACATCTACCTTCAAGTATCCAGTACGGGTAGTTCCCCCTTTATTTTTTATTTTATTTTATTTTATTTATTTATTTGTTGAAATCACTCCTGATCAACCTAGTAGGGTTAAGAAAATATGAGCGGAAACGACGTTGTTTCTGGGAATGAAGTAGCACATCATGAACCGGGCCAGGAGAAGAAACCGCTCGTGATTTTGAGCGACTCCGAGAAGGAGATCGTCGAACTTCAGCTGAACGGCCTGCCAACGGCAATAGATGCCCAAAGCCTCTGGTCATACACCACAGCCTGGGACAAGACCATCATCATTGTCAGTGTGGCCGCCGCCATTCTTGGTGGTGCTTCGAACCCCTTGCTAACAGTAAGTCACTACACGCCTGTTAGAAAGTGATAACTTCTAATGAGACTGCAGGTAGTCTATGGATTGGCTGTGGGTTCGTTCGCGGATAGATCCAACGGCGTGACCTCCATTCCGGAATTGTCTGCAGCAGTGGCTAAGGTCTGCCTATATTGGGTTTATCTCGGAATTGCCATGTTCTTCTTCATATATATCACGACCGTTGGATTCTATTACGTCGGTGAACGCGTTGTGATGCGCCTACGCTATGCCTATCTCCGGACAATCCTTCAACAAAATATGGCATTTTTCGACACTCTCGGCGCCGGCGACGTCACAACGCGTATTACCTCGGATATGAATCTCATCCAAGAAGGTATCACCAGCAAAGTGTCCATGGGCCTCATTGCAGTAGCAACGTTCTGCTCAGCTTATACCATCACATACATCCAGTACTGGAAGCTTGGCCTTATCATGACATCGACCGTGGTTGTGATGTTGCTCACTGGAACTGCTGGAGGTATCCTGGCCGTCAAAAATTCTAAGTCAAGTATGACCCTATATAATAGTGGTTCTAATCTGGCTGAGGAGAGCATCGGGTCAATAAGGCATGTGACTGCGTTCGGTATCCAGAATGCTCTTGCAGATAAGTATCTCAGCTTTTTAAGGCAGGGAGAAAAGCCTGGTATCAAAGCAAGACTGGCTATCTCTTTCATGATTTCTTTTATGAATGGCCTTCCTTTCCTCTCTTACGGTCTCTGCTTCTGGCAAAGCGGGAGGTATATTATATCAGGGCACATGGGTCCGGGGGCTGCTGTAACTGCTACAATGGCCATTGTTATTGGAGGCTTCTCGATAGGAAGGGTTGCACCAAGTCTCCAGTCTTTCATGTCTAGCACAGCAAGTGCTAGTATGATCATTCGTTCTATGCAACGCGCATCCCCTGAGGATCCCTTATCGACAGAGGGGGAAAGACCTGAGGGAATAAAGGGTGAAGTCTCCTTTAATGACGTTAGCCTGGTCTACCCATCAAGACAAGATGTTGCTGTCCTTAAACGTGTCTGCCTAACGATGCCGGCAGGGAAAACAACAGCAATTGTGGGACCAACTGGATCCGGAAAGAGCAGTATTGTTGGCCTGGTTGAGCGCTTTTATAGACCAACTAGAGGCCATATCACTCTTGATGGACACAATATTCAAGATCTCAACTTACGGTGGCTGCGCAGCCAACTGGCCTATGTAGGCCAAGAGCCAATCCTATTTAATACCACTATTCAGGAGAATATTGGTCATGGATTGGCTTACCTTAACGATGCCGCTCGCTCATCCAGGGATCTCAAAGCTGCCGTTATTGAGGCTGCAAAGGATGCAAACGCACATGATTTCATCATGGCACTGCCCAAAGGCTACGAAACTGTGGTTGGCGAAAAGGGTCTGCAGTTATCTGGAGGGCAACGGTAGCGAATTGCTATTGCCCGAGCCTTGATTCGTGATCCGACCGTACTCATACTTGACGAAGCTACTTCCGCCCTCGATAGTCGAGCTGAGAAATTAGTGCAAAAAGCATTGACAAAGGCCGCCAAGGGCAGAACCACTATAGTAATTGCCCATCGACTATCGACTATACGTTCGGCAGACAATATTGTTGTCCTGTCTGCGGGAGAGATTGTAGAGCAGGGGAATCACGATAGTCTGATGGCGAACCAAGGGCTTTATGCGAACCTTGTCAACGGACAACAACTGACAGAAGAGAAGACAGACGAAGATGACGATGCTCTCATTGAAAATGCGAGTACTTCTTCGTGGTTTGTGGACGAGAAATCCACTGCCAAAGAATTGCCAGAGATTGTTGTAGAGAAGACTGATTCAAAACAGCTCGACAAACGACTATCCTTCTGGGACCTTCTTCGTTTGATGGATAAGCTAAACCGGCCAGAGCGTATGCTAATTCTTTTGGGCCTTGTCGGCTGTGTATTCGCGGGACTAGGAACTCCAGTGTGCGTATTCCCTTGATATCTGCGGGTTCCAACCAACCCTTTTTGCTAACGCGAAATGGATAACTTCAGGCAGGCCATTTTCTTTGCAAAGCTAATCGAGGCCGTATCCGTTCCAGCGTCTCAATACAATAAGCTTCGCTCCGAAACCAGCTTCTGGGCTCTGATGTATCTTATGCTTGGTATCGTTGCTATCATATCGTGGTTTGGCCAAGGTGCTTGCTTTGCCTTCTCGTCAGAACGACTCATCCGCAGAGCGAAGGACACAACTTTCCGCTCCATTCTACGCCAGGAGGTCTCCTTCTTTGACGAGAGGTCGACAGGAGACCTAACAACAATACTGTCGCAGGACACCACTCATCTAGGTGGGCTGGATGGAGCTGTGCTAGGCTCCATGATAACTTTCACAGTGACCATCATCGGTGGACTTGCGCTCTCTGTTGCAATTGGCTGGAAGCTGGGTCTCGTGTGTGCCGCCTTGATACCCATTACGGTTGGAAGTGGGTATGTCCGATTGATAATTCTTAGTTTGTTTGACCGGAAAGTACGACAGACTCAAGCCGAGTCTGCAGCTTATGCCAATGAAGCTGTGAGAGCAATTCGTACTGTGGCAAGTCTGGGACTTGAGAATGAGGTGCTGCAGCGTTACCGTGCTATCCTGGACCGTGATGCGGCGGCATCGCTCCGCTCAATCTTGCAAGCTTCGGTGCTGTTCGCCCTATCTCAGTCTCTGCTTATGCCAACGGGAGCTTTGGTTTTCTGGTATAGCAGTACGCTCCTGGCAACTGGAGAGTATACGTTAACACAGTGCTTCATCTGCTTTTCTGCACTCGTCACTGGCGCCCAGACAGCTGGTGCCGTATTCAACTTTGCCCCTGATATGAGCAAAGCTATGCAGGCAGGGCGACACCTTCGTAACTTGTTTGAGCGTGTACCCCCTATCGACAGCTATAGTACCGAGGGCCGGTTATTGCCAGCAGAAGCGTGCCGTGGTGCCATCGAAATTCAGGACGTGAGTTACCGTTACCCGCAGCGTCCAGAGCGAGTTGTACTGGAAAATTTCTCTCTCTCCATCAAACCAGGCCAATTCGTTGCACTAGTGGGTCCAAGTGGGTGCGGCAAATCAACCGTTCTGTCCCTCCTGGAGCGCTTCTTCGACCCGGAAACTGGACAGATCCAGGTCGATGGATCTAGCGTCACGGGGTTAAATATCTCTCAGTACAGAAGCTGTATTGCGATGGTTGGACAAGAGCCAGTTGTATACTCTGGCACTATCCGCGAAAACTTGGTGTTAGGAGCTGCGGAGGGAGTGACGGACGGAGCTATCGTCCAGGCTTGTAGGGATGCAAACATATACGAGTTCATCTCATCGCTTCCGTAAGTGAACTTCTTGTTCTTTCCCGTTCTACATACCCAGAACCTGTTCAGTCTAACTTTAGTCTCACGCATGTAGGGATGGGTTTGCAACTGTGGTCGGTGCCCAGGGCAGTATGTTAAGCGGAGGCCAAAAACAGCGAGTGGCTATTGCGCGAGCACTCCTCCGCAACCCTAAGATACTGCTGTTAGATGAGGCGACGTCAGCGCTGGATTGGCAGTCAGAACGGATAGTGCAGGAGGCCCTAGATAGAGCAGCCAAGGGTCGTACCACCATCTCGGTTGCCCACAGGCTGAGTACTATCAAGCGAGCCGACCTAATCTGCGTCATGGACCAGGGTAAGCTAGTCGAAAAGGGCACCCATGAGCAGCTGATGGCAAAGAGGGAGATGTATTACGATCTCGTCCAGGCCCAGAATCTCGATACAGTTTCTTGAGCCCGTAAGCCGTAAGTATGGCACTGCCTCAGGTGTATCTGCTCTTGCAGGGTTTTCTTCTGTCTTTTTCTTATAAACGTAGTTAACTTATCCTTTTGCCGTTGAATAATGAGACCTCCCAGCGAGTTTTTGGGCCGACAACATCATCGCCCGGGGTATCAGTGAAACATCGATAACTAGTGTTGATATTCAAACAAGTATACAGTGTACAAGAGAGTGGATATAATATAGTATGCACACTATAGAATATCCACTTCAGCTCGCCTTAATTCCATCAATAATAATTAATCAATTAACAATTATTTGTTTGTCGTCGTCGTCGCCGTTTGTCTTCTTCTTTTTCTTCGTCTGTCGTGGAAATAAAGCCAAGAAACCTTAAGTTGGATCGCTCAGACCAGGTCGCGTGACTCTCACGTGATTTGTAATTAAGGTTCATACCTCGGCCGAGATTTGAGTTTCCTCTCATTTCATTATTAATCACGTCTTTTGCCCAATGAAAAGCAGAGAAACTTTTATGTTCGGTCTGTTCCATCCATTGGCTGATTAAGCAAAATAACAATAAAATCAGCCAATAAGAGCTCGCTCTCACTGCCCAACCCTTTCCTTATCTTCAGCATTTTATTGCTCCGGCAAGCGAAACGAGAGACACCAGGACAGGCAGACTTGAAGCAGCGATAGAACTGGATATGAAAGCTGTTAAGGATCCATTTGTTGGCGTCGCATGTTATCTAGCGGACTCCACGTAGTGCGAGTGTAGTTAGTTACATTCCCTAGTTAAACCCGTGGGGGCGGGAATCCAACGTCTGCATTATTAGGAACTGTTGGATCAGGCTGAACCAGCTGACCAGGGGTATTGTGTTCTGCGGCTGGAATTAGTTATTGTGCTATCCATATAAATATGTCAGTCCCAGCTCCTAGCTAAACCAGCTGGTTGCATCTGTAATCTTTCTACGCACGCAATGACGCTTCAGTTATTTTGCATTGCGTGTCTTTGTGAGCACATCGCTATGCGGACCTTGCTCTAGATAATTAGAGCTACCTACATCCAACTCCCGAGGCCCGGAAACACAGAGCACTGGCCAGACGGGGGTTGAGCTGGGAGTTACACCACAGCTACCTAACTTTGCCGAGTATGTTGGAACTTGATACCCGTTATGAACGAGATAGCAATGATCCAACGTCCACATACGCCTCCTTCCCCTGCAGTCGCCATGCAGGCAGACATCACGAAAACCAATTCTTTGACGCTTTGCATTCCGAGTAACGGTGAGGTTTGCTCGCTCTACGGGGTACTTTACCCAATCCTAACAGGGGCAGGGAGTATGCTTATGGAGAGACTGGCGCCGAGGGAGTGCTCGAGATCAGGTGTCACTGCCACCTAGTTAACCTAACTAACTTCCTAGATGGCCATAATGGCTTGATTATTGCATTTCTCCCAAGACTGTTCCTCAGTCGCCGTAGTCTCCCTTGCGGATTCTCTGCGGGAAGACCGGGTAGCCAACGCATATCCTTCGCACCATGAAGATGTGAACGAAGATGCGAAGACGAAGATGCGAGGACCAAGCATATACGAGCGTTTGGACAGGGCCATGGATCGTCGGGTTTTTTAGTCTATGCCAACCGACACCGCGAAATCTTCCTCTTCCTGATGGCTGCCGGATGCTGGAAACAAAACTCCGTGAAGATTTCCCCCCTGGCTCAGATCCTTGTCGTGAAGGATGCGCATCAAGTACTCCGTAACTCCCGTGGAGAAGGAGAACTAAGGATCTGACGCAAGCAACAACCCGAACCACGGTTCCTGGCTGGAGAAGCCTAAAAACGGATACATTCATGCTGTCAAACGGCTCTCCTTGACGACAAAGCCCTATTTTGTCTTCTGGGTTTGCCGGCTTAACTAGTTAACTAACTAACTATTATTGATTGGGACGATGGCTTCGATCATGACTCGACTAGTTGGCTCTAACTGTCAACCCATACTCTTCATCTCTGCAATGCACTTATTTAGCAAAGTGGCGTTTTGTTTTTTCAGCTCCCTGTCGCGATGGCACATAGCCCATGTGAGCGCTGACCTGACGGGAGCCCAAAGACCCGTAGCCGACCTATCGACTAGGGTATCATCGCACCCAGTCCAGGGCGTTGGTCTCCTTTTTCCGCCCCAGAGTGCCCTTTTGGCTTCACTACTTGGTTCCAGGGCTCGCTTGCAACAGAGTTGCATAAAGAGTGGAGGAGGACAAAAGCCTCGATGCTGGCTCCCGGAACCAGCGCCATCCGAGCAACCCCAAGCCAAAGCTGACCTCTCATATCGCGAGGCATCCCCCCTAACACTTTTCCGAGATGGTGCAAGTTCTTGTTTTTCGTGTCAGACGAAACGGACGAGCGAATGAGCTGGCAGCCATTATACAAGCATACAAGCTGGTACTTGCGATGACTCCATCAATCTCCAAGAAGGAAACTGGAGGCCATAGCTACTAATAATGAAAACCGAAGAGAAAAGCAAACTGCTTGTGCTTGCAACGATTCGGGGACAAGCACGGCACAGATCTTTGCGGATTCGCTTTGATTTAGGTTGTTTCACCGACATGACCACGGGGGATGCGCCATCCGATCCCCTTTTAAATTCGGACTACGGAGTATGGGTGTTATTAGTTATTGACCTCTGTGCATGTTCAGCGTTAACCCAACTTGTCTAAGTGGCACATCTCCGTTTAGCTATACGATGTAGCTATCCGGAGGACCGTCTATCTATATATTACATTATTATATAAAAGCATGTCTCCTCTCCCCCGAGGCCGACCACTTTCATCAGTTTGCAGTGATCATCCGTACGTACGACTACGCAACCCCTCCCCTTTCTTATCGCAACGGAATCATCAGTTAACCAACCAACTGGCTAGGTAGTTGATTGTTCATCATGTTGGAAGCGCTTATCCAGTCCGGGAGTGCCTACCGGGTCGACCTGGCTCTCTCCTTCGTCGTCCTGCTCGTCGTTTCGTACATTGCTCGACTCGTCAGCCATCGCCAAAGATATGCGAAGTTCCCACTGCACATTGACAAGTCCAACCCGAAGCAGATGCTATTGTCTGGCTTTGCCAAGGTGAGTTGCGGCAAGAATTATACTTTCTCCTTGATATTGTTCGATGCTTTCGTTGTTTTCTTCATTGTGCCTTGCTAGTTAGCTAGCTTGAACTAAAGCTGACGGTTGATGTACCTCGAAGTATAAAAACGCATTCCACATCAACACTGCCATTGGCAAGGATATCATCCTTTCAGCAGACTATGCCAACGAACTCAAGAGCGACCCTCATCTCGATTTTGCCAAAGCTATTCTTCCGGTAACTAGATACTCTCCTGCTCTCCTGAACTCCTTGGTTGTCTCTGATTGGTTACCGCTAACTCATTGTTGAGACTCTCCTTACCCATCTCTCAACATTCCACCACATCGAAGAGGCTGGTAAGAACCAGGTTTTGACCGAGACCATTCGAAGCAAACTTTCACGGCTGCCTGGTAAGGATATAAGATACCCAACCTACAGATAAATCATTTTTTGCCCTTCACTGACTATAGGTAATACAGTACATCTCAAGCAAGCTGTGTCCAGAGAGGCAACAGAAACTATTCGTGATAAGTTTACTGACAATGAAGGTACTCGAATAAAAGCGAATTACCCCTTTTCCCGGCAGACTTCTTTGACAGAAAGCTGACATTGTTGTGGTCAGAATGGCATGAAATTCCCATCAAAGAAACCATTGTGAAGATTGTGGCCCGTATGTCGTCCAGGGTTTTCCTTGGCGAGGAACTTTGCCGCAATGAAGAATGGCTGAGGATTACGGCTGAGTATACGATCAACTTGTTTATTGCCGTCAACGAGCTTATGACCTGGCCTACATACGTCCGTCCTATCGTACAGTGGTTCCTCCCGCCATGTCAACGCCTGCGCCAACAGGTTGCAGATGCCAGACGACTTATCCAACCAGTTATTGATGCACGACATGCGGAAAACGACGAGCTTCGACGCCAAGGCAAGCCTCTCAGGCAGCATGAGGATGCCATTGCGTGGCTTGATGAGAAATCTGGGGGTCGGTCATTCGATGCTGCGATCGCACAGCTCAGTCTGTCCTTTGTATCGATCCATACGACCACTGACCTATGCACTCAAGCACTCTACGACATCTGTGCCAACCCGGAACTCATTCAGCCTCTCAGGGAAGAGATAACCAGCATTCTTGGAAATCGTGAGTTGGATACTACCGCCCTGTATCAGATGAAACTTTTGGATAGTGTTATCAAGGAGAGTCAAAGAATTAAGCCCGCCGGTCTTCGTAAGTCAACTCCCTTTCTGCATTTACTTTTCTTAACATATCCCATATCCCTAACGCAGCTCCCTCAGTTTCTATGAAGCGATATGTAAAGGAAAATATCACTCTTTCAGACGGCCTAGTTGTCCCCAAGGGAACAAGCATATCTATATCCAGCCATGTTCATTGGGATGAATCCGTGTACCCGGAACCCAACAAGTTTGATGGATATCGCTTCCTCAAGATGAAAGGAGACCGCGAGAAAGATCGAATGGCCAACCTAGTTGCCACCAGCCCTGAGCATCTTGGATTTGGACACGGTGTCCATGCTTGCCCCGGCCGATTCTTCGCCGCGGACGAAATCAAGATTCTCCTCTGCCACATTCTGCTCAAATACGACTTTAGGCTAACTGAAAAGAGCAATACCACACCTTACATGATGCCCGGTGGAGCCTATATGGCAAACAGCACACAGATTGAGATCAGGCGAAGAAAAGAGGAAATCGCTCTATGACATTGGTGATGGGAAGATGTTGAAGTGAGTTGTAGTTATTTAGTAACGTTATTATTGTTTGCTTCGAACTCAGCCCATAAGCGACTGCATTTCACTATACCCCCGCTCTTCGAAGAAACTGGCAGGCCCAAATTGTTTGCTGCAGGTTGACCGGTTTGAGCATGCTTGATTAAGTTGCACTGGGAAAAATTAGTCCCCTTGCCTCAAACAATTTCATCAAAGTTGAAAACCGCGCCACAGTGGTGGTAAAGTTCACCGATTCATGAATTTTAGGTTTTTGCTACCTATGTCATTGAACAAGATACGACTATGAAATTTGTTTCGTTTCATTGATGCGCAGTCTGGTTGAGTGTCCATATTTGAATTCTCTCTTGGATGAGCGAGCAAGAAGACTAGTTCCTTGGGGTGTCTGAAGTATTCAACGATGAAACATACAGGCATGGTATGCCAGCTGGTAGAAGGACGTGGACAGTCTACCTTTGGTGTCCTGCTTTTAGTTACCAGTCGTGTCAAGGTCATGAATACCCAGTAACATAACACTGCAATGAAAAATTATACCATCATTTCAAGCTTTCGTGATGTTCCAGTGCGCATTGTGAAACTGAATTCGCAAATTTACTATCAAATTTACCATCCAGCCAAAGGTGAGCTGTCTCGTATTAGAGACTGAGATATTAGCGATATATGTATCAAGGTCGAAATCATCATAGCTAATTGGGGTACTCTTGGCGAAAAGGCAGGCGGAGTTACTCGTAGCTACATCTTTGGTATCGTTAACTAGTTATATAAGATAAATTTTCTTCGACTTAATTATAGCTGAAGTGTAGGAAAAATACAGTTAACTATGCACCTTGGGGGCCATAAAACCCTAACATACACTTAGCTGCACCAAATCTCTGCCACCGGGCAGAGGGAGTAACCACCTTGGCTTGAGCCCACTTATGACCCTGCGATATAACTAGGGGCCTGTATTTATCCATTATTAGTTATGCATCCGACGAGTCCGAAGTCTTTCGCTGAAAGGGCGAGAAGCCCTTCTTTTTAAGCTTAAAAGAAGAACTTGTCTTTAACTACGGAGTAACTTATCTGGTCTTGGCGATCTTATCTGATCTTCATCGAAGAATGGAAGCGCCTGGGCGTGGATCCCATCACTCCGAGCAGGCAAACTGTTAACTAGTTCATTAGCCTATGAGAGAGTAACAGGGGAGGAAAAAGAAAGCCACGGATGGCGAGCCAGGCCAGGCCAGCCCAGTTGCCAACACAGCTAAACAGAGTATCTTGATTAACTATTGGTTTGATGCATGGATTTCCTTCCCAACTCCCGAAGGTCTATGAAAAAAAAAAATATTCACCGTACCCTTGCCCCGCCGTTCATCCATCTTATCTGATCGGCCAACAGGAGCTTCTATCGTCTTTGAATGACGCGATCGCGGGGTAGCTATGGACGAAGACCGAATTGAGGATATGCACCACCAGAGAGACGATTCACAGAAACCAAGACGACTAAAATCCGCGATAGGAAGAGTGGTATTTTGGTCTGTTCACGCCTGAGACTTTTGTGGTCTGCAAGGAAATTTGAAGGAGGAAAAGGCTGGCGAACAGTGGCGAAAACGGGTACATGCATACGGAGTATCAAGACCATTAATCGTCGTTTTTCTGCCTATCATACCAATGGCGTTTGTCACCAGCTGTCCCTGGAAGATCTCAGCCGGCAAGCAAGGGCTAAAATAAAGGCTGTTCGATAGGCGGCACGCCAGCGGATACGCACCGTTTACATTGCATCCCTGGACAGGGGCTGTAACAGGAGTCGAGCAGGGTCTGTAGCCCTGCTGCCGCCCTCGCCCTCACGCTCTCCCAAGCAGCAGAGACACCGACTGGCGACAGCGACAGCGGCGACGGCCACGAGGCAGACGCAGCCCATGATGGAGCCTGCCGTGACCAACATTCATGAATATCAAACTCGCCAAACTCGCCAGCCGCCTTTCTCTTCACCACCCGCGACCGAATACGAAACATGACTAAGCGTCATGACTAAGCATCCCAAAGAGGAAGTTCTTTACTTCAACTTCGCGCGTCGAGCAAACGACGACGACGACAACTTCAACTTCAACTTCAACTTCAACTTCATCTGCAGCGCAGCACACGAGAGAGACAGCGCAGACGAGGTTCCCCCCCGAGAGCGCACAAGCGAGTAAGTAGGCTGGCAGAGGCGGGCATACCGACGCCCTCGCGCAAGGCTGGCTGGCAAGCCACAGGCTGGAAGTACATCTCACGTGATATATCTTTTCTCCAGTTCGCCAGCGAGGTTGGTGGCGAGACCGGAAGCGCAGAAGCGAATAATCGTCCCGAGCCGATCGAGGGAGAAGCCTTGGGAGTTCGAGGTCAAAAAAAAAGAAGGAAAAGCATAAAAGGGGACGACGGAAGATAGCGACACTAGCGGCCATGACCTTTGGTGGTGCATCCCCAAACAGAGACGAATACGAGACCGCCTAGGGTCCATCTCTCTCGGTCTCGCTCAGTCAGCAGGGCCAGTCCAACCCTTCCAGCGTCCCATCAGTCTCTTGCTCTCAAAGAAGAGGCGCAAAGTCAACTCGAAGTTGTTTGTTGGTCATGGACAGCACTGATCATACGATTTCGCGCATGGAACCACGCCGTAGATGATGGGGAAGCCATCGCAGCAGTGAGTCCGCCCGTGAACGAAGCCTTGCCATGCCCGTTTCGCTGCACCTCTCGTTTTTTTTATCAAACTGACACATCGAGTGATATGCAATGCAGCTTGCTTCCAGCGTTTCCTGCAACCGACGCTGAGCCTTCAGACGACGCTGTCGACGCCGTTAATGCTGGTGGTATTAAGAAGCTGAAGAAGACGCCGGCAAAGCGTCGAGCGCTCAGTTGCCTGCCATGTCGTAGGCACAAGCTGAAGTGCAACCGCCATGTCCCGTGCCACTCATGTATCCGCTACCGGAGAGAAGAGCAATGTCGTCTCAATCCGCCGCCATCCTCTGTCATGAGAGGCGGTGTCCCTCTACATTCACAAAGCCATATTCCGCAAGACCATACATCCGTAACCGCGCATGCGCCCGCGCCGCCCGCGCCTGTACCTGCATCCCTCCCTTTCCAACCGCTCCCTCCCCAAGTAACAGCCGCCGCACCCTTGCAAAGCAAACCACAACCACCGTACATGCTTAACTCTCGCGAAACAGACCGCACAGAAACCATCTTATCGAGAAGCGCCCGGAATGCTTTATTGGAGACTCCGCTGGCTCAGAGCTTAGCCAGCCTGCCGCAAAATATACTTGGAGTCTCAACGCTCCCTCCCTTTATACCACTCCTGCTGGCTGAACAATCTCAACGGCCTGTGGATGAAAATGAAGTCACTACCTTTTGGCGCGCACAGCTGGTCTCTATGCTTCCATTGCGGCACCAATGCGACCTGATGGTCAATTACTATATCCACGAGTTAAACTACGTTTATCACTCTGTACACGCTCCATCATTTCGGGAAGACTACGCTGCATTTTGGAATAAGGACGTCAAAGACGTCGATATAATCTGGCTATCTTTCCTATACGCTATTCTTTCTGCCAGTGCCGTGTTTATCCCGTTCCCTGATGTAAGAGCTGTCGGGCTGGACCCCGATACAATACGCAAAAAGGCTCACCTGTGGCATTGGGCCTCTAGACAGGCACTAAGTGCCGGTCACTATGAATCACGGCCTTGTTTAACACAACTAGAAACATTCCTTGTGACGCAATTATACTGGCTTTCTACCAAGAATATCGAGGCTATGAATTCGTACGTTGTTAACAACACCACTTACCCCATGTTCCATTCACTAATACCATATTACTACTATAGAGCACTCGGCCAGGCAGTTCGGAATGGACAAGCGCTAAACTTGGATAGAGATGTTTCGGGGTATAGCCCTCTAGAAACAGAAAAGCGACGGCGTATCTGGTGGGAGCTGTTCTGCTGCGATACGTATGTGAATTCCTACATATTATCTAATACCCGAATGAGAACTAACAGTAACAGTTTCCAATCCATATGCATGAGCCGAACACCGCTGATTCATTGTCCCGCCCCGAAAATTCCGTTACCCGCAAACTGCAATGATGAAGATATCACCGACTCCTTTACCGAAGGCCGACCGATTGACGAGCCCACAGAAACCAGCGCTAGCATTCTCCGAGCGGAAGTATTCTTGATCATGCGCAAACTCTTCGATAGTGGTTTTGAATACCTTTCTTCCTACGAGTATGTGCGATCAGTAGATACAGAATTAGCAAATCTCGCCCGCAACTTTCCGTGGTACTTCCAGCTCGACGAGAATGGAGAATGTGCAAACCTCCCTGAGCACCAAGACTACATACTGTGGCAATTTCACTTGCTCCATAGTTGCATTTGCATGCAGCGCATACGCATGAACCGCCCCTTCATCCACACACGCATAGGCGACTCGTGGGCCGTCTGTGCCAAAGCTGCTAATGAAGTTCTGGCCGTTTACCAAAGCATGCGTAACCCAGATGTGGAGGAGTTTCGCAAATCGCATAAGCTATTCGTGCAGTCATACCAAATATTTTCCGCTGCTGTGGCACTGGCAGGCTTTTTGCTTGTTGAACGTTCCTTTCCGGCAGATAACATCCGTCCTCTCATTGAAATGGTGATATCGGACCTAGAACTATGCACAGCCGACGCTACGATTGCTGTAAACGGAAGAAATACCCTGATCAAGATGTTGGATATGTATGACCGTCGCCAGCAGAGGGAGCCTGTTGAACCAGAGTCTCTGGTACCAGAAATATCGGTAGTGTTTGGCGGCGAGCAAACCACACGGAAATACCTGAAACGATGCGAAATCGGCTACGTTCTCAATGAAGATGGACACGCTACCCCTAGCTCAGCTAATCCTAGGGCCAGTGTAACTACCCCCAGCGCGAACACATACGGCACCAACACTCCGACATCCTACACCTATAACCCAACCAGTCAAGGTAATCAACCAACAGCAGAATTAAGTGATGTGCCTCAGGCACCTCACTATGCAGCTCCCAACCCTTCGTTCTCCGATTTTGATCCCTCAAGAGTCCAACCAAAAGCCTATATTCCACATCCTACGACAACCAATTTAAGCCTGGCAAGCACCCACACTGCTCAGCCTCTCACGAACCCCGATATTAACCAAGCTCTACCGACCACCAGCATCAACCCTAACGGAGATCTGGAACTACTCAATTGCTTCTATAGCAACCCAATCCCTCTCGACATGAGCTTTGATGGACCCTGGGACTTCTTACTCACTGATTTACCATACCAAACCTGAAAATTTGGTGTTTATATTTTCTTGATCTGGCCGTCGGCTCGATTTACTATACCCCTTATATCTTGATATTCCCCCCTTCATTTGTATCCAGGATTAGGATCATGGGAGGCGCTTGAGTGTGCATATTTTGTCTTCTTCCATTCCATTCAATTTTGGAACATGGTTATATATATTTGGTGTCAACTGTCTTTATTTCTTTGGTTGGTTGTTTCTTTTTGTATAAACATACATATAAAGTGGTTGGATGGGTTTTCCTTATGAAACTCTGGCCTGTGTGAGTTGGGAGAGGTCCTTCAGGCAGTTATGAAGACCGTCGTTCAGAAGTTAGGCTTGGTTGCTTTCTTCTCTCCTTTTCCCCCTGTTTGCATTCATTTACGGGCCTGGCAAGGTAGATACGTGAGGCCGGATATTTGATATATCTCCAGAAATCCAATCTTCTGCCTCGGAGGAAAGCATGCTTAAAGTCAATCCTGTTGTAATATCGCAATGTCTTCTTTCATCCGGGTTAAATATATGCTTGTTAAGCATGATCTGGAGGTTGCTCCTTTCCGAACTCCAGGCTTTATATGATTTCGGATGGGAGGGTTGTAGCAGTGCGGAATATCCAAGGATGTAACAGGGATCATTTTTTTTCCGCTCAATATCTATCGGTCTACTTCGAGGCATTCTTCCGCGCCTTCATTTCCGCGATCCATTTCCCTGCCATTTTGGTAGGTACAACATTAAACCGCACCAGACCATCAACGACCTCGACCTTCCCGCCGCCTAAGATCGCTAACAGCGAAACTTTCTTTCCAGGTTTGATCATTCCGCCGGCGGCAGTCTCCATGTAACAGTCCACGGAGCCGATAGTATATTCACTGTTTTTATCCCAGGGTAGTGGGAAGATGTACTCGAGGTGCTGTGCGATGGTGTCTGTTTCGGCAAATTCCTTGATGAAGTCCGACTGTGCATGCATGGGGTAGAGTAAAACGCAAGGGAACACAAGAGTGCTCTCTGGGGATAAGGGGTCAGGGGAGAGTTTCATGATTGCGTCTTCCATGTCTGGCGGCTGGGCGGTTTCTCGGACGGAAATCTCGCGTGCTGCCAGCGCTGTGCGGAGCGTGATTCGGATCTTCTCTGCTCGTTGTTGTTCCTCCCTTTTCCGCGCCGCGATCTTATCTAATTCCGCCTTTCTCGCAGCTATCCTCTTCGAAAGAGCTTGGAGGGGCTGGTTCGTCTTATCATGGTGGAGGCCTCTTACACACGCATCTTCCGCTTCCAAAACCTTGTCAAGGGCAAGGAGGGCAGCAGCGGAACGGTAGAATGCCTTGATATTCTTCGGGTTGAGCTTCAACGTAGACGCACAGTCTAACGTGGTAGATCTATAGTTTTCTGTTTCTTATCGTCAGTTGCGAGCCATCTTGTTAAGTAGTTAGTTATCGGGAATCGACTCGTGCAGCCGTACTTAGCTCCAGGTTGCATAATGCTCTATTGATGAAGCAGGCCTCTTCGATTTCTCGCAGCCGTCGTGCTTCTTCTTCGGGGTCCTCAGGCTTCTCCCAACTATCGTCTTTCATGGTCAAGATGGATATCCCCTTGGTATAGCACTCCTTTGCATCCTTCCACCGCTTCACCTTCGCAAAATCATTTCCATTTTCGCGGAATCGTTGCGCGTTATCTGCTCGTGTGCCTTCGTTCTGAAGTGCTCGGATGGCATCTAGCTGTGGATTTTCGCCTTCTGTTAATCAACCCGGGTCAGTCAGAACTTGAATACTGCTTTTCTCGACATGCTTTCCTGCTTTTGATAAGTTACCGACCAGCCTGCAGTGCCTTGTCAACGTCTGTCATGAACAGCGGGGTCTGGTTCATGAGCTCTATTATCTCGTCTGCAGTGTGCGACTTGACGGACTCCATCGCCGGTGGCATGGCCGGAAGGGCCTCGCTCCCCTTGGGCAAGGCATCTTTCTTAATCCCAAAGGGAGTTTCGCCTGATGGGAGGAAGGATGGCTCTTTCGCGGCGGGCGGCGGGGTGAAGAGAGGCGCCTTGTTGAGATCTAGGGACTCATCAAAATCGTCCGGAAGCTCTTCTATGCGGCCCATCGTTGTTTGTCTTCTTGTCTGCCCTATATAACTCTTTGTTATACCTCCCCTGACAGCCGCGCCTTATCGAACGACAGCGATGTTGAAGTGGGCGTCTTTGATGATGGAATGAATTTACTGTCGCCTTTTTTGCCTTCTTTTTGCTGCCTTTTTTTTCTTCTTCTTCTTTGAGCCGCAAAAGCAAACAAGACAAACACTTCTTATCAGATGGATTACGTTATCATTAGATCTGATACGATGAAGTTTAAATCATTACATAATAAACACTTATATTATGTAATCATGTTGTTGTTGTTGTTCAAGAAGAAGAAAAAAGGCATAAAGACGGGATTGTCTATTTGGAAACAAGGGGGGTTGCCAGGCTGGGAGAGACGGACAAAGGGTTGATGCCTTTGCTGCGCAAGATATAAACAGCCCATGGCTTCTCCTAGATCGCAGGAATAATCCATCTCCCATGCCGCGTGTCTGTCTACTGAATAAGTTAATCAAGTAGTCGACTTACCGTCTTTACCTGACATTAGCCGTGATGTTTGAGAAATACCAGCCTCCTCGCAGCTACGGCAGCAGCGGCGGTGCCTTGAGCCTCACCGGGCTGGAGAGCATGTCCGCGGCCGAAAAGACAGCACGTATCATGGCTGTAGCGAACGACATGGCAGCGTCGATAATATATATCGCCAAACAAGCCGAAGCCGGCAACCTAACCAACCGCCAGATCATCCCGATCTATAACTTCATCGACAGCATCCTGGGCCTCGAGCGCAGCCAGACGAAGAGCCTCATGAGGGAGCTGGATAAGCAAGGGTCGCAGATCGCGCTGATGGAGAAACAACACAGCAGGGACATCGAGGAGCTGACCAAGTGCGCAATGGAGACAATCACACAGATGAAGGTGAGGATCGCGCAGCTGGAGAAGAACAGCACTGCATAAACTGGTCAGTTAGTTATGTTAGCTGGTCGGCTGCTCTGTTCAGTTTGAGCTTCAAGGGCTGGATGGATGGACTGAAGGCGTGTCACATGACACCGAGAATGGGGCGTGAAGCAGCTTAGCTTTTGCCTCCCGCGACACAAAAAAAAAAAGGCAGAAGAGATGAAAGTAAGCAGAAGAGATGGAAGCAGAAGGAAGAGGAAGAACTCGTCGGGGACAAGGAAACGCTGCTGGCGGCGCGCAGGAAGTTCGTCGACAGCTGGGAATTGCAAGACGCTGGTTGGCGCGGCGAGGACGGGGCGAAGAGTTTTACCTCGGCATCTCGAGCGGCCGGCGCCCCAGAAGGAAAAACGCAGCAGAGGGAGGCAGAGGCAGAGGCAGAGACGGTGGAACCAGGTCGAAATAATATTATTCCAGTCAACCCCGTAAAAGCCATAGGTTGACCCGTAGAGCCCATGCCATGTGAATCTTGTCTGTCCGGGGCGTATAAATAATAATCGGAAGGGCCTTTTTCCACCTGTGATAGCCAGATATCTTTCCTCTGTTTCTGCTGTGCCTGTTTCTGACCAGCATTCATCATTCATCCAGCTCTCTTGTGCCTCAATATTCCATACGGCCGACAGTATGAGCAGTAAGGGAGACTTCGCCGCCGTCAGGCGTGATATCGCTGCCCAGATGAAGCAGCCTGGGTACGATGATGGAAGCGCAGGCCCTGTCTTCGTCCGGCTCGCATGGTAAGTCCGTTGTATCTCCTGTTTTTGGCTTGCTCCAGTCCTGAATCGACTGCCGACTGATATCTTCCCAGGCATTCTGCAGGCACATATGACATCGAGAGCGACACGGGAGGCTCGAACGGCGCTGGCATGCGCTACGAGGCAGAGGGAGGAGACCCAGCCAACGCCGGACTGCAGCATGGCCGCTCATTTCTCGAGCCCATCAAGGCCAAACACCCCTGGATCACATACTCCGACCTCTGGACGCTCGCCGGCGTCGTTGCCATCAAGGAGATGGGCGGCCCCGAGATAAGCTGGATGCCCGGCCGGACAGACTTCGTGGACGACTCCAAGGTGCCTCCTCGCGGCCGTCTTCCCGATGCCACCAAGGGCAGCGACCATATCCGACACATCTTCTACCGCATGGGCTTCAACGACCAGGAGATCGTGGCCCTCTCCGGCGCCCACAACCTGGGCCGCACGCACATGGACCGCAGCGGCTTCGAGGGGCCCTGGGTCAACAACCCAACCCGGTTCTCAAACCAGTACTTCCGGCTGCTCAAGAAGCTCGAGTGGAAGCCTCGCACGCTCTCGAACGGGACGAAGCAGTTCAACTACGTCGACGAGGACGTGCCTGAGGAGGAGCGCGAGGAGCCGCTCATGATGCTGCCGACGGACATGGCCCTGCTCTCGGACCCCGAGTTCGCGATGTGGGTGGACAAGTACGCCGAGGACAAGGAGCTCTTCTTCGACCACTTCTCCAAGGCCTTCCACAAGCTGATGGAGCTGGGCATCAAGCGCAACGCGCAGGGCGAGGTCATCAACACCGACAACGTCCGCGGCGGATACATCTCTGCGCCCAAGAAGAGCGACCGGCCAACCGCGCCAGACCAGGCTCCCAGGGCTCATCTATAGGGGTCCTTTCTTCTCTTAGTCTCTTTCATAGTCTTCGCTGTTGGTTTCCCGGAGTTCATGTTTTGTTCATTTAGAGGAATGTTGAGTAGTTAGAGAAAATTCGACAGCTAGAGCGGTAGAAGTTGGACTTGGTCGACATGTATATAGAGCAACTAGTAATGGAAAAGTCCCTGCAACCTCCCAGCCAGTCTTATACAACCTATATATGTCATTCCAGGATATAAAGAAGAAGAAGAATACTTGGACACGGGATGCAAATTTGGCCGCCAAGTTCGTATCACGACCAGATGCATGTGAATCGGTAACGTTTGAGATCTATCTACTTCGTACTATTTGTAGCTGCATGCTCAATGACTATCTAAAAAGTAACACCATCTGCTTCCTAGTGGTCGATAACGTATGCTTCAACTACTCTCCAGCTATCGCTCTAGGCTATGATGTGACAGTATCTAATTACCGTTCTTGTTCGGACTCATCTCTCTTCCGCTTCAGACTGTTGCTTCTGGCCGCACCAGCCCCTGTCGAGGGTGTCGAAGTATCTTCCGCTGCAGACGGCTCACCCGCACTCGTACTCGCGCCGTTGATATCCCACTGGGCCATCCATTCGTCATCTGCTAAGGTAGTATCCAGATTTGATGTTGTTGGTTGCTCTAGTTCGATACCGTTGACCTGGCCAAGGAGGTCAAGGAAGTTGTCAGGAGGCGGCAGTGGTGGCATTGCTGGGTCTGCAAACCCAAGCTCTAGGTTAGAAGAATAAAGGTTATCATTGTTCTCCATGAAATCAGTAAACGACTGGTTAGCTGTCTCGAGGTCTTCCTGAGTGAGTCCCTCTAGAGAGGCCGGTACGGTGCCCCCGTTCCCCCCTTCTATCACCTGTACTTCCGCAGGTACCGCTGGCTGCAGGCCTGCCTCATCAACTGGATTTGTCCGGTTGAGGAGTAACTGCTGGGGTTCTACTGTGAGCAAATGAAGTGATTCTTGTGGGGGGCTAGAAGCAGCCGCGAGGTTTCCAGACACTGCCGGATCTTCTGGAGGGGGTGTGTCAAGAATGACAATCGGGCTGGGGATTTCCTGTTTGACACCTGTTCGATCGTTGCTTTCTAGTGCTAGACTAGGTACATTGTTCGTCGGATGCCTAGAGTTGGCGACAGGACCAAGCCTATTGACCACTGGGTATGGATTACAAGCGGTTTCATGTATACTAGCTTGGTAGCTTTCAGCTGCCCCTGAACTTAATCCATGTCCATTTGGAATATTCTGGACAACTGAAGTATTAAATGCGGGTATCATTGCGTTATGAATATCGGGTATCAATCGGTGGCCGTTAGCCTGGTTTTTCCCAGCTAGAGCAGCACTATTCCTAGAGTGTGGATTTGAGAAAGGCGTTGTAGATGGGCTAGAGATTGGCATAACAGCTGATCTCATAAAATCATTAGTTGGCAGGCTACCAGCTAATACGGGTGATGGAGTACCGTTTGCACAGCCCGGGGTATGAAGGTTGATAGATGCCCTAACTGTAGGGCCAGAAGGGGGAATTTGATACTGTGTTGCCTGAAGTAGACCTTCGCTGTTAGCGTTAAAGGAGCTAACGTAGTTATATCTGACTGGATTGGCTTCAATTTGACCTCTTGTCTTTGGCTGGCTGGAAGCTTTGGCTGATCTTCGGGCTGTAGAGACGAGAATATTCTTTCCCTCCGGTTTTTCTGTTGCCGTTGCATTTGCTCGTGCTGCTGTCCGCTTCTCCTTCAAACGCAAAGACGTCCTACTACCGGGGGAGTTGTCGTTGCTCTTTTGTTGGTGAATAGAACTTGTAGTTCCGTTACTAGGACGTCTCGGACGAGGATTAGAGTCCTGAGATGACCGTGATACCATCGATTGAGGAGATGATGATGGCTCACTTGGTGGGTGTATGATCTTCTCGAAGAAGAGAAGCACCGGATAGCCATCAATCCACCATGAATTCGGCGCAATCTCATACTGTTCTTGCGGCTTGATACCCCCTGGAACCATTCCCGATATTTGGCTTGCATCGTAAATCTGCATTAACGGACTACCATTACGTCCTCGGTCTTTGTCAATCCATCGCACTCTATAGTGTATCACACCACGGTTATGAGTCCTGAATATGGCTCCAATGAGTGTGTATTGCTCGTTTACCACCTCACCATTGGCCTTGGCCAGCCGTACTGTTATTGCAGGAGCACAAAAGTTGAGGATTCTTATTTGCTCATGAGGCTGCATAACAATGCGAAGAGGGCTGGATTCAAATGTCCGGGGGCATCCTATTGAACATGACCCGCCACATTGTGTGCAACTAACACTCGTACTGTCCTGGAAGACCCGCTGTAGAAGAACAGATATGTCCACACCATTATCATCATTCGTTTGATAAGCTATATTAGCAACACTTTCCTGATATGGAACACTGTTCACCGGCCCCCCATGGTGACGGCAGGGCTGGTAATGGTCGGTATAACGGAGCTGAAACTGGCAGAAAGACTTGGTGAGAGCTGTCCAGACATTGGCTGCGTCCATCACCGATCTATCTACCGAGTGAGGATCTAGTTGGAAATGCTGGGTGTAGACATGCCACAGCCTCTCTTTCACCGTTGAGACGGCCTCATCTGATAACTGGCTGTTTAAACAGTCGCTCATGGCACTTATAAATGCCTTTTCGGGTGGACTTAGGACTATCAATCGTTCACGGCGGGCTCTCCTGTCGATTATGGTGGATCCAGCGTTGGTCAACAGCCCTGCAACAATAACGCAGTCGAATATATCCGAACTCCCATCATAAGACAAAGGGCCACGGCACCTGAAGGGATAGAGCTCTCCATCCGAATCAAAGGAGAGTTGGGTTTGGTTCTCAGATATCCTTAGTCTCAGATATGATAGGGTTGTTGCGCCTATGATTGGGCCGGTTACGGAAGGCCTGCTGTAGTGAAGCTGTGCTAGCGGAGCTTGCCTAGGACAATGGCTATCCAAAAGACCGTAGGCGCTTTGTGAAGTGTCCTGTCGGGGTGGGCTGCTTGCTTGGGTTGTAGCACGAGCTTTCGCGTTATCCGCTCGGCCAGGATTGGGTAGTAAATATCTTTGGCGATAGGCTTCACCCCATTGATGTCCTGTTTGTGCAGAATGAGGGAAACTGGCTGGGAAACCATGCTCTGAGCTCAGTCCTAATCTGGTTGGAACCTGAGGCATCATATGGTGTTGAGCTGTCATATAGCTCGGTTGAGATGGGAAGCTTGTTACGCCTTGATATCCACGGGGAAAGGAACCATCTCGAGCAGGAGCGGGCCATTGAGGATTGGGCAATTGGGGTGTTACGGGTGGAAGTGCAAATTCCCAGTCCGGATCCCCCCTAGGCATCCTTCTACTAAACAACGGCGGGTTGTATGATGGCCGTAACAGTCTGGGGCCTGCATCACAGTCTCGGCTAATAAAATGATGCCAATCAGCGCGATGCCTGGGGTCCTGGTTGTAAGAAATCCGTTTTAGTATCTGGAGAAGATCTTCCTTGGTTCTCCGTGGTATCTGCGGCTTTCCAGGCTTCCCCGGCTTCGCTTTCTTGTCTTTTCCGTCCTCTTTCTCCCTGTTTTCTATCCATTTGGTAAGGGAGAATCCCCATGTATGATGGTTTACTAGCTTCTTGAGTGTATCGATGTCGAGAGCCCGGTTACGTAAATGCGTGGTATCGGGAAAGCGGTATAGTTCATAGCCTGGGGGTGGAACAGCAAGTCGTTCAAAATCATAATCAGGGAAGTGTTCGTTTACTTCCGGGTAATCAGCATTAGGAGAAACTGGCCTAGCCATAACGTCAGATATTTAGTAGAAAATACTGAAGATCAAACGTACGCTAGAGCCGAATATCACCTATGTCGCAACGATGGTTTTGCATAGAATCGAGGGCTTCATGAGCAGCGAAGATTAGGATAATATATATAGAAAAAAATATAAGATAGAGAAGGCATGTATCGAAGGCGGATCCCTTCAGCTTCTAACAGTATCAAGAACATAGTCATTGTTGAGTGGAGTTCAACAATGAGCTAACAACGAGAATCCAATGAGTCGACAAATGGGCAAACTGGCGGCAACTCGGGATTAAAGGGAGGAACAGCCGCCCAGATTGGTCTATTACTCTTCAGTGCTCAGCCACACGGAGCTGAAGCTGCTTTTATGCCAGCCTGAAGAAGAGCTATGTCCTTTATCTGGCGTCAAAAGGCGAAGAAAACAAGGCACAGCCCCGACATATAAGACCTGCCCAAGGGATGACCAAGGAGATAAATGAGAACCGTCGAACTCAGCGGTGGAATATTCAATCCAGGATTGAATCCCCTATTTTGTATCGGGTTATAATGAAACTGGGGGTATATCTCGAGCACATTAGGTGGTATTATCCAGATAGCAGAGCCTACTGCCTTCCCTCCAAGAAACAATAACTTAAGATCTCACTCCTTAGTTATTGATTTATGACTGGCAAATTCCACTTTCTTCGTTGTTTGTTTGTTCGTGTGATATTTGTGGCTTTTACCCATGGTTCAGTTCATCAACATTCGTATAGTTATTGAGGTTTAAGCATGCCGTTGCACTTGCATAGCGCAGAAAGACGATGGACGGACAGGCAGCAGCGGGTTTGTCGTCTGGATCAGGGGTGAGAGTTGGCACTTAGTAAACGAGTGACAGGGGTAGTTTAGAGTTCGTCAAATGTCACGTGCCTAGCTACCCGCGTCCCCGGACCAGTACTTTATTTATTCCGCAAGTCGGGACTGGACGCCGTATTTCTCGAATCGCGAATCTAAATTCCTTGCAGACAATTTTATGTCTCGAGTAGCCTTTTTCTATAGATGAAATGTAATGTCATCACCAGTCCTTGATCTTGACGGTACTGCTGTTCCTGAAGAGCAAATCCTTGGTTATGGCAGGTCGGGGTTGGTAATTCGTGTCGAGAACACCGCGCTCAAAATACCTTTACGCTACATTAGGAGCAGCGATGACGAGGTTGAGATAAACACTGAAGTTATCCAACGGGAACAGGAGGCCTATCGGCGCTTAGGACAATGTGAAGGCGTTGTAGCCTGCCTCGAAATGTCAGAGAAATCTACCCGGCTTGCTCTAATGGAAAATGGCGATCTCCGCTCCTATATCACCAAAATTCGGCCGTCGAGGTTGCTTCAGCTCTTCTGGTTCCGTGAAACCGCTTACACTCTTTCTCGCATACATGATCGTCGCGTGATCGTCGCCGATATCTCAAGTCGAAACCTCCTCCTCGATGCCAACCTTTCTATCAAAATCTGTGACTTTACCGAGTCATCTATACTCCCGTTAACAGCAAATATAGAGGCTGCCAACGACAATGGGTATTCAATTCAGACAGACATTGGTCAACTCGGAGCTGTGATGTATGAAGTTATAACTGGAGAACGGTGTGAGTTCAATCTCTTCGGGAGCGAGGACTCGAATGGTAGGGCTGCATGGCCACGGAGAGAAACCCTTCCTAATACGCAGAATGTTTGGCTGGGCCCGATTATTGCAAGATGCTGGACAGAAGGGGGGTTTCGTAACGTACGCGGTTTGTCGGAGGCTTTAGAGTCGGCGAATTGCTTCGAGGAGCACCCTATGTCGAAAATTGAGATACAAAGCTCAGGCACATCGATACTGGAGGTATAAGAAGTAATCCGTTACGACCCAGTCATCTACTGAACAGAAATGCTCTTGTATTGAGATGCAAATCATCAAGCTGCGGTTTCGTCCTAATCAAATACACACAGCCTCGCCACAGTACAAGGCAAGTTTTATTATGAACTCCCAACCCACAATTATGAGGTAAGCAATATGATATCCTCGGCTCGTGCTTTATAGTATTGTAGTAGATTATCTAGAAGAGATATTGCATTCAATTCAACAGTGAACACATAAGAGACCAATGAGAAAACCGACTAACTAGTTAGAGAAATTATGTTCAGACGATGCAAGTAACATGATTACCTGATCAGCGTCAAATGTCCAGATAGCCCCCTTGCTTGGTAACGTCTAGGAGGAGCTTTTGCCAGAGATCACAGGTGCTCTTCAAGACTTGGTTATCGGATATGAGTTTATATCCTGTGTCCACCACGTCTAAGGTATTCTCAAGCTTCTCAGCATTGATGTCCCCAACTTTCGGCCAAGCAATGGTTGGTGGGCTGATATCACGATCCCGTAGAGTGTTTGGATCACCTGTGATAGCATGGCTGAGAAAGTAGGACTGGTAACCGCTGAAAAGAGGGATAGAAACATTCCACAACTTGGGTGAGTACCAAAGGGCGAACACATCTTGGCCATGGGTCGCTTCCTTGGGAGAGTACTGCATGAGATAAGACTTCTTTGAGTATTTTCGGAGTATATCGCGTATATTGCAAGTGAAAATTGCATCACGGATGAGTCTTGAGCCAATAGCTCTCACAGATTCGTTGGACGGCGCCTTCAGGTGATAGTAGTCCTCAAGTGTGGAAACAGCTTCGGTAGCATATGTCGGAAAATTCGACTTGAGAAAGCCGGAGAGGGATTCTAGAGTGCTGTCATTTCCAACAAAGGGGCCACCCTCATCATAAACATGGGAGATAATGAGAGAGTCGAGATGTCTCCAGTAATTCCCTGGAATGAAAGATTGTCAGTTGACATTCTTGAATAAACAGATCTGGATATCTTACCTTGAGCAATATCAACAGAGAATACATGCTTAAGCACACGCCCATCGGGAGTTGGTCCAATCTGGCCCAGATCCTTGTAGCTCGCCTCAATCAATTGCGAAATATTGGCTGCTCTCAGACATGCTAGCCCTTGTCCAGCACAGCCCGCTCGTGATGCGAAGGCTTTGAACTGATTCTCGACTGATCCTTTGCGGTCAATGGGGAAGTCAAGGCCAGGACTCATAACAACGGCACGTTTAAAGAGAGGGTCAACGATTCCCTGGTTAGCGGTAATGTGGCTGAGAATGGAGCCTCCGCCTGCAGACTCTCCCCAGGCGCTGACCTTATCCCTATCTCCGCCTAGTAGGTGGACATAGTCTCTTACCCATTCAAAAACAGCACGCTGGTCATGCAAACCGGCATTTGGTAATCCTTCGTTCTCCATTGTGGTCCCGGCCAGCCAGCCGAGTGCACTCAGCTTTCCCGAAAATTAGCCGTTTAGATTCTATGATCTTAGGGTGAACAAGATGACCTTACTCGATAATTGAAAGTGATGACTATGGCATTTCCAGCAGCACGCTGCACAAGGCTATTGCCGTCGTAGATTCCTTCTTCAATTGCTAGATCTTTAGATCCAAGCGAATACCTTTACAGTCGTTAGTATAATCAATTTAGGGCCCAAGAAAGGTAGCAACGTACCCTCCGCCATAAACCCAAACAATCACAGGTAGCTTGCGATGTCCACGGTTTCTCAATGCATTCCCAGGGACGTAGGCGTCAAGGAATAGACAGTCTACTTCAATTAGAAACTGCTCAATCGGTGTAGAAAACTTCAAGATATGTAAGACGAACCTTCACGAGCAGCCTTCTGTTGCCTTTTGTATGATGGGTCCTCGAATCCAGGAGCGTCTGGGCCAGGAATGCAGGGTGGGCCGTAAGAACCGTCCTGGATATAGGGCTCTCGAGATGTTGGTCTCACTGGTTTGGCCCAACGCAACGGACCAGTAGGCGGAACCGCATAGCGAACGTTGCGGAATGTGTAGACCTAAGCTATAGTGTAAACATAGTGTGTCTCTCTGGCGATGAGGGTCGTTCATCTTACATCCGCAGCTTCGTCGTATTTAGCTGCTCGCCACCTTCCATAAGGCAAATCGAGAATCGGAAGTTTTGTGGAAGCAAAGACTCCCTGGAGAGTAGATGCAGCCACCAAGCCGTACGTCAACAGCTGGACAAACATGCTTAACCAAGCGAAGTTGCAATAATAGTTATGATGATGATGATGATGATGTTGGTGTGTGAAGACCTGTATATCAGGGACGTTGAGACCTCTTTATATCCCACGAGCTCGAAGCCGACGGCCACTGTTAAGCTCAAAATTTGAATTCGTCAGTCTCTCCCGTCTGTACCGGTGTCCTCCTTTTCCTCCCTTCTGCCCCGTTGTGGTATATTGATTCCAGACATACTTGGAATTCGCAGCGTGTTGCCATGCCCAATAGACGGTAGTGCTCTCTCTGGCTTGCTGCATCTGGCCTGGGTCCAACCCGGCCAGGGCACCTCAGCTTGCTTCGCCATCATCAAGCAATACGAATCCCTTGGCAAAGTTGTCTCTTCTAGACAAGCTTAAGCTGGAGGTCAAGGGACCGTTGCTTGTCCACCTTCATCTGGGGCACAGAAATGGTCGGGAGATCCGTCCTTCTTGCGCCCTCCTCGTGTTCCCGGCGGAGCTGAAGATTAAAAGTCCGCTACCATGCCTATAGTTGCCAATACATACGGTCCCGTTATAGGGGCTGAAGACGCTGTTAGTTAAATAATAAGGATATTGAGTTAACGGGGCGAGCTGTCGATCAAAATGGTGGTGTTGAGGCTGAGTCGTCTCATTAAGAATATTTTAACTTAGTGAGCCAACGCCGCGCTGATTTGCTGCGACTCGCAGGCTGGAGGAATACGAGCAACCTTCCATCTTCCGCTAGACCAGCTATTTATTCATACCAAGCTCCCTGCTCAAGATACCATGGCATGAGGATGATGCACGGAAGGCCAGCTATGGAGCGATAGAGACGCACGGAGAGTTAGAGTGTGCCACCATGACTTCCGATAGCTCGTCCAGTACGTCCTCGACACCGCCAAACGACGCCCGCCAGTGGCAGACGGTCTTCAGGGTCAGACTGAACCCGCAGCCAGCTCACAGCCAGACTCGCCAGCTGGTGACAGAGAAGAGGAGAGCCTCTGGGTTTCACGCTCGTCGATCCCACCGCAAGTCGAGGGCCGGCTGTCTTGTATGCAAGAGACGCAAGGTCAAGGTATCTACCCGCCAGCGGATATGGCTACCGAGCGAACTACTTCGTACATATCAGACAAACTAACACATCTGCCACTCACAGTGTGATGAGGCAAGGCCTGGTTGCCGGAATTGCTCCAACTACGGTGTTGCATGCAGCTACCCGGTAAATCTCGATGCTGGCAATCGTACGAGAACCGTTGGTCCCCTGGGTGACCCTAACATGGTCCTGTTCTCCATGTCTCTTGACAATTTGACCACCAAGATCGGCGAGACATTGAGCGTGTACCTGGGCTCGGGCATCCGTATGCCCAGCATGTCAGGTTCTGATCGGCCCCTGGAAGTCCAGGCGCTTCGACACTTTGTCGGCTGCACTGTGGAAACCATATCGACCGTGTCAATCCGTGAGCTTATGCGAACGAAGGTGGTCCAGGTAGCGTTCGCCGTAAGTTATACTCCTTCATATATCTTATAGGATACACAATCATCCTTCGAACACTCCGTTTGTACATTATTGACACACTCTGCGTTAGAACCCGTATGTTATGCATACTATCATTGGTGTAGCGTTGCTCCATTTGAATCGCATGCTCCCGTATTGCAAGATCAGGCAGGCTGCAGAAGCCGATCACTGGTTAAAAGCGATCAAAAGCTATCGAGAAGCGCTTTCCCACGAAGTTAGTGCCGCAAACATAGATGCTCTTTTGACTTCATGCATGCTCATGGCAGTTAACTGCATGTGCCCTGAAAACTTCACCCCAAAGGATTCGTGGGTCCTGACTTCTGATCCATCAGCCATGAACTGGATATACCTCCAAAACGGCCTACCTTATCTTCTGGAGGTCGGTGGCCCCTTTATTCCTCAAAGTATCTGGGGTCCTGCTTTTGTAGCTGCAGAGGAAGCTCACGACGAGTTACTGAACCATTGTCCTCAGGGAAGGGAAGGCATGAACCCAAAATTGGCGGATTTCTGTGGAATAACAGATTCGACCACAGCCGAGACCAGCCCTTACTTTAAGCCACTACAAGTTGTAAGCACGATGCTGGAGATGGAAAAAAGTCCTTCAACGGCTGGTTATTTTTCGTCCTTCCTCGGCCATTTGGACCCTCGATTCCTCGAACTGCTGAGGGTCAGAGATACAAGAGCGCTCATCGTCATGGCCCATTGGATGGGTATCATGTGCCTGATATCACACTGGGAGCCCTGGGTAGAGGGAAGGATCAGGTCCGAATGCATTGCCATATGCATCTATCTTACTCCCAGTGCAGATGCCCGACTTCTAGAACTGCTTAGGTTTCCATCTATTGCCTCAGGGTTTATAGATAGTGAATAATCTTGTGCCATTGTTACATGGTAGCATAATAGCCATTGAATTTCTGCAACAGCAACACGAATATCTCTCCAAATATACCCATTTGATAAAGCCGAAAAGTTAATCTGCAATTATAGCCAAATCCCGCCTGACTATATTGAGGGAAACAAAAAAAAAAAAAGAAGGGCAGGTCCGCTGCCTCTGCATCTAGCAGATGGCGTGAGTCTTTCCAGTCTTTCCCTGAAGAGAGTGATCTTCTGCCTCGTAAGCCGTGGTGGAACGCTCGAGCTTTCCGATGCTTGTGGCTCTTTTGCGAGTGTATCTAACGGAGGATGGTCAATTAGTCTTGTATAGTGCCAAAATTCCAGCAAAAGAGTGTTACTTACTCGCGGTACTTCTCCAGTGCCTTCTTGTCCATCTCTTCTAACTGGGCAAGAGCGAGCTTGAAGTCATTGACCAAGCTGTCACAGCGACTACGACTGAAGTCCTCGCGAACAACGATACGCATGAGCTTCAGCTTCTCGCTATGAGGGGCCATGGTATAGGCCGGTACAACCCAGCCACGTTCACGCAGTTGATGGGCGATGGCGAACTCATCATACTTCTCGGCTGTCTCTGGGGGGAGACGGAAGGCCACAAGTGGTAGACCACGCCCCTTGCCATCGCTCATTATGATGAATCCAAGTTCCTTGAGGGAGGCCGCGAGATAGTCTGCAGTGCGAGTAAGGTTAAGCATTATAGCACGGTATCCTCTCTTTCCGAGGCGGATCATTTGGTAGTACTGGCCAATGACCTGGGAGGCACCCTTGGAGAAGTTGAGGGTGAAGCTCGCCTGGTTGGCACCGAGATAGTTAATGTTAAATACCAGCTCTTGCGGGAGGTATTCTGTGGATCTCCAGACTATCCATCCAACGCCAGGGTAGACCTACACGACCAGCCGAGGTTAACATTTCACATTACCAGAACATCTGGCAGCAATCAAGAATAATACTGACCAAGCCATATTTGTGTCCAGATACATTAATAGACACAACCTTCTCAAGGCGGAAATCCCATTCAAGACCTGGGTTAACAAAGGGGGCGACAAAGCCACCACTAGCAGCATCAACGTGGATAGGGCAGTCTATTTTCTTCTCGACAAGGAGATCATTGACGGCCTTGATGTCCTCGTACTGACCGGTATAAGTGGTTCCCAGAATAACGCAGATACCAATGGTATTTTCATCAATCAGATTAACAGCTTCTTCAGGGTCGAGAACATATCTCTCGTTAGTACAGTACACGAACTTCTCCTCGATGTCGAAGTATCTGGCGGCCTTTTCCCAGCAGACTTGGACGGCACTGCTCATAATGATATTTGGGCGAGAGCAATCTTTGCCCTCTGCCTTCCGGCGATTCTGCCAGCGTTTCTTCATGGCGAGGGTTCCTAGCATAATAGCCTCGGAAGATCCGATGCAAGAAGTTCCCATAGCGTGGTCATGCTCGTGTTCACCTTCACCAACGGGGGCATGAAAGAGACGTGCAATCATATTGACACAGCGGTTCTGAATGTCGGCTGACTGGGGGTATTCCTCATAGTCAATGAAGTTCTTGCTGAATGACTCGGTCATGAGTTTTTCAGCTTCATCTTCCTGCAAAATCCCAATGAGTGTTAATCTACAGTAGCAACGACCTAGCTATGCTAATTCCATGCTTACCATATATGTGGTAACGAAACTCGCTAAACTATAAACATGATCTAAGTCAGCCAGGATAACACGGTAGATGAAGAGAATGACGACAGCCAGGACGTACTTCAACATGGGATTGCCGTCCAGGCTGAGCTCATCCTTGATCATTCGATAAGCGACCTCCTTGGGCATCTCCTTCTCCGGCATTTCATCAGTAGGCAGATCCTCAGCCGCAAATCGAGAACCATAGACGCTAGAGTAGAAATCATGGTCCTGTGGCTCCTCAAGATCTAAGGTGTCGACACGATTGAGGAGCTTAGGAGGGAAAGCAACCGAGTCCTTGCGGACTCTGGATATGTGAACCATGGTGGCAGCTGGAGGGACGAAAGCTTAGAGCCCGGGATTTCTACCTATCTTCTCTTTGACAGCAGGAATACCTACACAGTCAACAGAGAACAGCGACGTACAGAACACAGAGGAGGAGAGCAAGAATTCTCAGGTGCAGGACGATCTCAGCCTATATATACGTTGACGCCCACCAGGTTGCCTGACCGGTCACCCACATCATTGCTGCTCTCCACCAACCTGTCTTGCGCAACCCCACAGGCTGTCTGTCCCTCACTCCTGGGGCCTTCCCCCTAACCCTCCGAAGCGACATAACGCATGTCAAGGAGGGGTAACGGCAGAGCTAGACAATTGTGGCGGTGTCAAGAGCAGTTGCAGGGATTCACACATGTTTTTATACGTGGATGGTGGATCTGGCTTCCGGACTGGGCAGCGTGTGTATGCACGACCACAGCACAATATGTACACCGAACATGGGCATTGATATTGTTGCATATACGTGGAAGCGGGAGAAACGCCCTCTCCCTCCACTCCTCTTGGAACAGCTCACTGTCAAACAAGACAGGCTCAAGAGGGTCGCTTTCTTCCTCATCAACGCCGGCGGAGCTGATGGGTCCCATAGTTATTTGATTGGCAAAGCTTGTGCTGTGGCTTGCAAAGCTTGGTTGAGACAGGGGCCACAGTGCTCGCTTGCGGAAACTAGGAAAAGGGGCAATGGGACGAGAGAATCGATTCTGGGCCACGCATCTTCTCACAGTAACAGCTATCTCTCCATTATTGGCTATGTTTCTTGAGATCGTTTTCGGAATCGAGTCATCCAAAAAGTACCAACAAATCACAATTTATATAGCTCATTTAGTAGTTAAGGACTTGGGTAGGTAATCATTTTATCACCACATAAGAATTGGGATATAACTGCTCAAGAAGGTCTCTTATAAAATAATCACCGACGAGATATATATACTGATAGATGCCCGGCATGATAATAATAAGGGAGGTTGCGATTTCCGATGAGTGCCCAGTGGTTGATTACGTTATTTTACCACGTGACTGATTACATAAGTAAGCTAGGCCAAAACTGTGTCCTCGAACGACGAACGACATCAACATCAACAACTACAACGATGACAACAACGACATCAACATCACCGTCATCCATGACCAGCGGTTATATCAGACGGCACACCGAGTCAGTAGTACTTAGGCAGTGTGAACTTGCGCTCCTGGATGCCGTTGTACGCAACGCGGTTGGGGCTGTCCTTTGCGTCCTTGACTAGGTTGGGGATGGTCAGATTGAGGACTCGCGCGGTCACGGCCGACGGAGAGGGCAGGTTCTCGATGCTCATGAGGTAGGCGACCAGGCCGGCGACGTGAGGGCTCGCGGCCGATGTGCCTGACTGAGTGGACGTGGCATTGTTGCCACCCTTCCAGCATGACTTGATGAGTTCTCCTGGGGCCCAGATATCCACGAGCTTGCCGTAGTTCGAGAAGCTAGGGCGGGTGTTCTCCCAACGGACGGCGCCAACGGTGATGGCGTTGGGTGACGAGGCCGGAGTGTTATTCTTTGCGTCTTTCTGTTTAGACCAATCTTGTTAGCATGGATATATATAATATATATATGTCTTTGGTCTGTTGATTTTCTTGATGAAGATCCTACTTACACCATCGTTGCCGGCGGCTACCACGGTGGTGATGCCGGCCTTGAAGGCCTTTTCCACGGCGTCGTCGAATGGCTGGTACTTGGCACCGGCTACTGCAGCTCAGCACATGCTGTCCGTTGCCGTTGCAGAAGAAGGGAATGAATACATACAGATGCTGAGGTTGATAACCGCCTTGTTTTTGCGGTTCGAGTCCGTGATATTCCTGACGATCCAGTCGTACGTCTCAAGGATGTAGTTGTATGTGCTCTGCTCTATCATCAGTATCATGGTCACAGTCGCCTCTTGATAGGCAAAAACAGGGTGTGCGCGGGTGTGTACCCACAGAGCCAGTGTCAAAGGCCTTTGCGGAAACGACGTTCGCCTTCTTAGCAACGCCATACGTCTTTCCGGCAATGATACCCGCCACGTATGTACCGTGGCCAAACTCGTCGGTGTGTGGTTTGTTCGGAATGGCGTTGTGGCCCAGAATACCGCGTCCCTCGAACTCGACGTGGTTGACATTAATGCCGGTATCGAGGACGTATGCCCACACGCCTTCTCCGGCCTTATCGTCGTACGAGTAGTCTACGAGAGTGCTGTGCAGCGGGACAGGCTTGCCCTTGCTGGACATGTAACCTAGACCCCAGCGTGCCTGTCGCTGCGTCACCGTCTTCGCAAGATAGACGTGTTGGTCTGGGTGCACAGATTTGACCTTTATGTGTCGTTAGTGAACATTTTCATATCACGGTTAAGCAGACGTGGGTTTTGCAACTCACGTATGGGTTGCGGCTAAGATCTTCCACCGTTTTCTCGTCGAAACCGCCGGAGTACATGTTAAGATCGTGGATGTGGAAATGCTTCATGATACCCTCGGTCTCGACTCCGCTGGCGCCAGCAGCAAAGCTGTCGAGGTTAGCCCGGTGCACGGAGCTGACCCATTTTTTGTGGTCCCTAATCTGCGCAGAGGTGAGGCCTTCCTTCAGCGTGACGATATATTGGCCTGGAACAACGTCGCTGGGTCCAGCGAGCAGTGGCTCAGGCTGTGGAGCGAGGTCACCTGCCACAAACGGGAGAAGAAGCAAGCCAAAGTTTAGCAGCTGCATGACGGGCATATATACAAAGGTAATACGTTAAGAGTGTTCAGTGATAGCTGAATAAACGACTCTCGACACCGATCTCTTCTCTAGATATATATATATATTATGTTATATATGAAGATAAAGTACATCTCATGATCAGTGAATCGGTTAGTATCGCCGAATGCACTCGTCGACTGACCGGACTCACACATGCCAGGATGGTTGACCCCAGGAACAATATCTGAACCTTTCGATGGGTATTCAACTGTTACCTAATGGGGGACTCTTCAGAGAACCGGATGCTTTCCGCTCCATAGCTTGCAAGCAAGCCGTGATATATTACACCGTCGGGGGTATTCATGGATATTAAGAGACGCGTCCGACGTCCTTCCAGAAGAAGGAATTGCCATATACTATCTCTCTATCTTCTCTTCCTTTTACGAACGCTTGCATGGGAATGCACTCCGGTTCGTTATCTCTGCCCGTTTCATCCCATCCAGCACTCGACAAACGAGGTGCCAACCCACCAGATACCCTCACTAACCACCTTCTAACCTTCGTATTCCTCGAATAGCCTATCTCTCTTTCACATATCTTTTTTCACTGATTGCTCCAAAGGTGCAGCGACGTTGTGCTCGTTTCCCTCTTAGTTTTCCACGCTGGGGGAAGCGGCTCCTCGGGAAACTGGGGTTGGCGGCCTCAGATGATACTGTGTATCGGTCCCAGAGTGCCGTTGGCTAAGACAGGAAATCGGTGTGAGCAGGGTTAGGGGCAGTTCGACTCACGTATAGCAGCATGAAATGGCGATATCATTAACGTAATCTCCTATCGATGCGAGATTCCTTCCCCAGATAGTGAATTCTATCGTCACCCAGCAGTTCACTAATAATCAGGTTCTTCCGCTCGACCGACGTAACTAAATAGCTAGTTAGTCATCCCTAGCAAGGGGGCGCAATTCCCTGGTGTGAAGGCCTTGCGGCCAGTGAACTACTTATCAGAAGACGTCTGCAGTGCGGGAGGATATAGAAGACAAGAGAGATCCTCGTTTTTGTCAGTCCTCAGTCTCTCTCCCCCTTTCTCTCTCGGTCTCTGCCGTCCGACGTTGTGGTGTATGATGTTGCATGGTTCGGCCGTTTCCCCCCTAACCCCTACATCCCCCCCGGACTTCGCTGCCAAAAGAGGCAGCTAATTTCGTCACCTCCCTCGCCGGTGACTTAGCCGCTTCACATATTCCAGAGCTGACGCCAAAGGGAATAGTTATTATTCACCGTTCAGCTCAGCCCGGTCAATCGCAAGTCTGCGTCTTCCGACCCGGCTTCTCTGAGACATGCCTATACTACAAAGTCAACCAGTTCAGGTTTTGTTATATCGTCGACCTACTCTCCATTGGTCATCACGTTAACAGGTACCCCCTTACCACGGCATCGGTTTGCCGCTGCCGTCCGCCTGTCTAAACCTTGTTTTCTGTGGGGAAGTCACTTGCTCTGTGCTTAATTAACAAATTTATGTACATGGGATAACTAAGATACTAAGAAATAGATGTTGCTCCGTGCAACGAGCGGGAAACCAGGGGGGTTGCTTATCTGGCTCCGTTATAATTCCCGGTCCTCAGGGTAAAAATGAAGGGGAGGGAAAGGGGGAGAGGGTGCCACATACTGACCTGACGGATCTACCTTTTCCCATGTCAGCTAGGCGCAAACCACGGTTGAGCTGAACTGTCGATGTATACTCAATGTTGCCTGACACGCCGTGTCCTGGTAACTGCCTATAATGCTCGCTCTCGACATGCCTAAGTCCAACAGCACTAACAACCTCAATAACGCTGGCAGTGGGCGATTATCAGCTCAGCTCTGCGTTCGGCTGCGTAGTTGCACTTCCGAGCTCGCTCGTATAACTCTCTCTCCTGCACTCTTGGCTCATAATGAGACGGCATATTAGCATAGGTGAAGTATACATGATGTACCAAATTTCGGCACCAGCATCGTCTCAGACTCCAAGGCTAAGATATAAAAAGTCCAATATACCAGGTACTAAACGGAGTACAAATGAAACCATGCATATTATATTCAAGACTAGGAGAACATAACTAGTCGCATATCCTACCAGTGGACTACTTATTATACAGGCTGAAAGAATTTGCATGAGCAGAACATGAAACAACAGGGGAAAAGCATGACGGACATAACTACCAGAGCCAGGAGGAACATAACAACCGCATCATCACTCTTATATTATTTATTAACTTAAGAGCCTTGCTATGCGGTTCATGATCCTATCCCTTAAACGGAGTCGCTTTGCTCCTCCATTGCCCGGCGGTAGTTCGGACTTTGCCCCTTTTCTCAAGTGTTTCTGGCTTTTCCTAAACTCCTTATCCCGGGCCTTTTGTTCTTTGGCCTTTTGCTTCTCCCGAGCTTTTTCTTCTTTTTCAACCTCACGCCTCTGCTGACTTGTGAGGCGGGATATTTGGGCCTCGTCACGTTTCTGAACAGACTCCTTGGTGGCTGGGGGTTTGACGGTGCTAGAGCTTTCTACCGCCGCTTTCACCTGTTCGTCCGAAGATGCCAACGCCGGAACTTTGCCTGGGATAACGGGATCGGTAGTAATGAGCCTATCTGGTGCCTTTGCTGGGACTGCGGGTGCCGCAACTCCTAACTCTTCGGCCGTAGGCACTTCATGTGCAGTGGTTGCTGGAGGTGCCTCCTCTTTTCCAACGAGCTCCGTCTGGTTTGCCTTCTCTGCTGTACCATGCTCTTGCTGCTTCATTAAAGGTACCGGAATAGGGGCAGGAACGGGAACTGGAGCGGCAGCGGGGGCTGGAGCGGGAGTTGTTTCTTTTGACGCTGCAGGTTCAGCTGGAACAGCGGAAGCTTGAGTTTGAACTGGAGCCTCATGGGCAACGGGGGCAACGGGAGCAGGAGGTTGCTCTGACACCTTTGCAGCCACAGCAGCGTAGCTAGGCTTCGGCGCTGCCGGCTCTGGTATCTGTTCTTGCGCCGGTGCCTCTGAGGCCGCTGTGTCAACAGGTTTCTCAATGATCTCCTTCTCCACGGTATCCTTCTCTATAATCCGCTCGATATGCTTCCCAGGAACTCCTGCTGCTGCGGTTGGAGGCACATACTCAGTCACCTCAGAGTGCCTTCGAGTGACGTGCGCCGTGTGCCCGGGACCCTCCTCGGTTTCTTCCTTGACCCACTCGTTTTTCTCCTTGATTCCGGAAGCGACCTGTTGCTTTGAGTCTGAGTCCACCTTAACAACAGTGTCAGCAACGTTTTCCTCCCACTTGTTCTCGGCATTATACCCTTCCTCTTTCTCGACAGCCTCGTTGCCTGAACTTGCATCTGGGCCCCTGTCAGCGGCTTCAGCCTCTCCATCAGCTGGAAAAGCGCCAATGATAGGCATTTCCGTGCGATGTGCGGCTCCGAGTGTTGAAGAATCTCTTCGGGGCGTCTCTGTGGCTCGTGTGCTTGACAACGGCCGCTGTGACTGTGCTTCCTCCACGTAGGAAGTCCTCTTGCCAAATAAGGCTGCATTAGCGGCTGCTCTGGAGGCTGCATTATGGTCATTGTGAACTCCAAGCTTGGAATCTTCCGCCGACCAAGTCGGAGAGGGAGGGCCATGTGCTCCCTGGGTGAGATTTGCGCTCGTGCCCGAGACATTCGCTGGGTCTGAAGGCCCCCTTGCATGGATATTGCTGCTCGTTGCCGCAGCTCCATTATGACCTGGTTATTTTATATCCAGTAAGTATTGGCACATAAGTGTAACCATGCGCACACACTAAAAAACGCACACAAACAGAACAAACTGGATCTCGGAGAGGCGCATATCAACCTTTTGAGAATGATAGTGGACGAGGCTTCTCGACAGACTCCTTCTCGTCACTGGATGCACGAGCATCTGCAATTGCGGACGCCACCTGTGGCTTGCTCTCATCAATTGCAACCGGTTTAGAAGCTGCGGGCGCCAGGCGATGCTTCCCCTTAGTCTTCTTCTTTTTCTTCCCGGTGTTCGCCTGCGTAAAATGCGATCCCTGTCCCGACATCATGTTTGCTGCTGGCAGCCGCACCTGGCGAGTCAGGTTCCCTTCAGCTTGACGGATATGCCGGGTGAAATGGTTGATTCCGATTTGGGAGGGAGGCAAAAGAGGGAGGGGTGATTGAATAATACAGGGAAGATGAACGAGGGGACCAGGAGGTATATAGTTGAGCTGACGAGGTTGACTTACTACCGATAGCAACACCTGGCCTGGCGATGTGACGGAGCCAACTGATATTTGCAATAGATTAGGGGGTATATGGTATGTATAGTTGCTGCCCACCCCCAGGCCTATATACCTTTTCATCCCTTTGTTTGCTGAACGGTAACCAAACAAAAGACCTAGAAACAACAGGAAGGGGGCCGAAGCCGTGGTCGCAGCGTAGCTCATGTGGCGGGAGCTGGTTCTGGTAGATATGAGGTCATAAAAATCCAATATGGCTCTGCAAAGTTGCCGTAGTATCGTCCCATGCAAAGTATCTATACAAGCTTGATAACACAATACATGGCACAAAGTAGTACATTCATTTCAGGAAGAGGGATTCCCTCTTTCTATGTACGCATGCAAAAAGCCGTCCCCATACTCCAACGGGGGGAGGGGGAAAAAAAAAGCAACCAGGACGGCCGACATGGCCATTATGTACTGCTGCCACGAAGGCTCGCCGGTAAGGCCCGAGGAAGGTAGGCCTGCGTTTTGCACGGCAGCATCGCAATTTTTGGCTGCAGAAGCTTTGGTCGGCTGGGATCCGTCAGCTCTGCTCTCTGCCAATAGAGGGACTGCAAGAACCGCTCGGAAACGCTGTCAACTGACCAACTGCCCATATTGTCGTAAGTGGTGGGCTGATGTCGGCAATCTTGTATGTTTGGTTAATAATCGATGCAGATGCAACGGAAGCACCGTGTAGTTAGTTAGCTTTTATTATTAGCCCTGTTCCCGATTATTATATAGCCCTACAGCCTCCCCCTAGCAGCATCCATCGTCGATAGCCCGAACAGCCCTGTAGACTAGGCTGGTTAATTTAGTCCAGCTAAGTGCAGCTCAATTCCCAGCCATCTCGCGAGGAGCGCCACCGGACAAAATGCCGCAGGAGAAGAGACGAGAATGGGAGAGAAAAAAAAGGAAAGAAAAAGCACCACCGGACATGTCATGCCAGAGAGAGTTGGGCGCCATCCACCATGTCCACCGTCACCGCCAGCCCAGCCAGCCATTGAGCATTCGCCTTTTTAGCTGCGAGTCTCCCCCTTGGCCGGTGGCGGGCTTGAGGATCCATCTCAACCAGCAGATGGAAGGCCTAGAAGGAAAAAAATGTGAGGGAGAAAGGTTTCAACCCTCGAATAATATGGGTTTGATGGATAATAATTCCCGGCCCTAATATTAAAATACTGGGGAAGAAGCGAGTTCAAAGAACTCTGGTAGTCTTCTGCTTCTTCTCCTTCTTTTGTCCTTTCTCATTTTTTCCCCCTTAACCTGATTCTGCGTCAGGTTCTTCATTTGGTGTTAATTAATTGAGCAGCTGAGAGCGGCCCCTGTGTTTCGTTTGTCAGGATCCCGCCTGTTGTAGCTGTTTCGCAGTGCTCACACGGCCCTGAGCGATTCGGTTTCTCTGCCTGGAGAGGAATGGGAGGCAGGCCATCCTGAGATATTTCTCTCCAATTTCCCTTCTTTTACTGTGCATTTTCCGTTCCTTTTGTTGCGTTTTGGGTGTTGGCCGTTCGTCGTTTTAATTGCATGACATCTTGGTTGTTCTTGAATACATCTCGATCCAGGGCTCTGGCTGTGTCTCTCTCTTGACAGCATGGGACTGGGGCTTCGGGAGAGAGTGAAGAGAGCCATCTTCAGCTCTCGTCCTGGTCTATCCAGCCATCCTTCATCGTCCCGGCTGGCTGAACGCCTCGAACAAGCAAAGGAGCACACCAATTCCGGCCCATCACAGAATAAACTGCAGCACCGGCACCGGCACCAGCATCAGCATCAGCATCAAGATCAGCATCAGCACCAGCAACAACAACAGTACCACAATCAGGACCAGATGCATCCGCCGACCTCTCCGACAACGAAGAAGTCATTCCGCGCAAGCATCATCAAGACGCTGTCCCCACGGACATCGAATCGGAAAAGCAAGATCGAGGAACCCTGGCCCAAGATCGAGCTGTACAAGCCACACGAGATTCCGCGGCCAAAGTACCGCGGGCCGGTCGACAAGAGGCACCTGGCAGTGCTGGAGGCATACTCGATCGTGCAGGCGACAGAGGGCTACAGACAGCGGTCCATCGACTCGTCTGTCTGTCCGCTGGCGACGAACCTGCCATCGAGGCGAGACAGCGTCACAAGCATCAGCGAAACGGTTATAGTGAGACGTCCCGGCGATGTCGAGGATGGAGTTGGCGTAGGCGAAGGTGCAGGCGAAGTAGAAGGTGATGTTGAGGTTGAGGTTGATGTTGAGGCTCAAGTCAACGACGACATAAACATCCGCAACACCAACCGCGACTCCTTGCAAGACGAGGAGGACTCGAACACGACGTCGACGGCGAGCTCTGACGAAGGCGCAAATGTCAGCTCGTCTACGCTTCTTACGTCGCATACGGAGGACGAGCAGCTGCAGCATCTCCAGAAGCAGCAGCGCCCGTCAGTGACGAGACTGAAGCGGACGACGGCGTTCACGGCAGCGGACCTGCACCACGCATTGAATTCCCTTTGATACACGAGTTTACGACCTACGGACGGCCTGTTTTAGTTGTTATTGTTTTCTTTTATCTTACCAGAACCATTGGGAGTACGGGCATCTATATAGACCACGGCGCTGGGGGGGGTAACAGGACATCTACTACACCGGTTAGCATGGAGTTACAATAGAGCAGATGATGATAGATAAATATTCCCATTTTTATTATTATTTTATTCCTATCAGTCGCATATAGATAATAAACATTCCTTCGTTAGTCGTATAGATGGCAAAAATGACACATCTACTCCTCGTGAGTTACGGCCATGTCCATCACTTCGACTCGGCCTTTGCCCTTGGTCTCTCCGCCGATGAACTCACCCAGCCCCTTGAAGGCCCCCGGCTCCGCAAAGCCCAGGACCTCCCATTCGTCGCCGCCTATCACCTCCTGCGACTCGATCTGTTCCAGGTAGCTGAGGATCCGGTCCTTGACCGTCCCCGCAGCCGCAGCTGGAGCCGGGGTAGAGGGAGACGCAGAAGCTTTACTCTGGTCACCCTCTTCGTCGTCGTCGTCGTCGTCAGCGGCGGCGGCCTTCTTACCCTTTTTCCCCTTGCCTTTCTCCTTTTTGGACGATGAGGGCGCGCTGTTTGCGTTGCCGGATGCACCAGTCGAGGATGGCGCTGTCCGGACGGGCTGTTTCAGTATAGATGTCGGGCATGTAATACGGAGACGCATCCTGGCTCGCATGACGGGTATAGGCTGCCAAGCGATCAGGGCCTTCATTGCGTCCAGGGCTTGGATCTTCGCTGACTTTGAAGTTGTGACGCCCGTCCACAGCGGTTTTCGCGGGGTGAGCGTCAGATCTGCTGTCTTCTTCGCTATCTCTTCGTCTCCTTCTGCCTCTGCGGTTTCATGTTGGTGTTGGTTTTGGTGTTGTTGCTGCTGCTGCTGCTGCTGTCCGCTGGCAGCACTCAACTGGTCCAGCGCTTTACCAATCATCCCTGTGGTGTAGACGCGTTTCGACACAGGGTCGACCAGCCTGGCAGACACTATCTCCAACACCTCCTTCTCGACCCGATCGAGGATATCCCGTCTCTCCTTCTCGCCCACTTGTACCTCACCCTTGCGCAGGATCTCCTGGATGACATCTTCTATCTTGTAATCCTTGCCAAACGACTTGGCTAGCTCTGCTGTGGGCGCAGTGTGGCCTCGGGATACGGAGAGGAAAACAGTGGGGATCTGAAGGACGTTGTCCAGGTCTGTCTCAGCTCCAGATCGGTACTCTAGCAGCTTATTCTTATAGCAGGCCAGTTCGTATCTCTTCTTGCCTAGAACCAAGTTAGCTATAATCATCATCATCGTCATCATCATCGTCATCATCATCTCTCTCTGTCTTTCCTGCTCACTGCCCACCTTTCTTTAACCGCACGATCGACACGTTTGTGAATTTTATCTGGTTCGACGGTTGCATTATCATCGGCATTTTGGCGGTGTTGCTCTGACGAGTCTCAGTTTATATATTAATCTATTAAAATATCCTTCTTTCTTTTTATAATTTCCTTTTTATCAGAAGAACAGCTCAACGCCGGGAAATGAGAATAATATAATAAATATAAATATAATATCAACTTCGACTTCGACTTCAACTTTTTGCAGCAAAAAGAAAGTTGCGATAAGATGAGTCACGTGTCGAAGATAAGCAGTCACGTGGGTAAATTAGTCATAATTACTAGCCGATGACTCAGCATGAGCCAAACGACGAATAACAACAAGAGAAGCAACAAGAGAAGCAACAAGAGCAACTTCTCCATCGATTAACTAGATAGAGGGAGATCCAGCTGCATCGATGTTGTGATGAAGGTTCATGTGATTGTGAATATCGTACTCCGTAGTAACGTCGAAAAACTTGGACTTGAGAACTCAACATCGACATCAATAGCAACACAACATCCGTATCCCCGTAAAAACAACCACAACATTGCCTTAGCCGGCGTCTTGCATCTATACTAGTCTTTCAGCTGCAGAGCCTAGCCCAAAGCGACCATTGTAGGGATACTCCAGATACAGACAGCTATTCCTTTGCGTCCCAGACTGCTGCCTGTCGCTGCTCAAAAGACTCCATAGACTCCATAGAGACAGGGTGGAAGCCATGGAAGCCCCAAGGCGGATCCCCTGCAGGAGCGGGCCGAGGCTAAACCACATGACATGGCTATAACTCACACATTTTTGATTAGATAACACTGTTCACGTGACACTTTCTTCTTCTCTTTTTTCTTCTTCTTCATTTTTCACCTTCAAAAAAACGACCATCGAAGAACAAACAAGAACATACAAGAAGAGCACGGAGTACGGAGGACACTCAAGTGAAGATTACTGACATCTCTCTGGACTGGCAATCGCCTCCTGCAGGCCAGCGAAGAGCTTCTCCGTCCAAGTTACGAGTCATCGGGCGGCGCCACAGCCAAAACTCCACCGCCCGGCATCGATCGCCAACGTCATCCGGCGCTAGGAACTACCTTTCCCCAGCCTTTCTCTCGACCTTGCCGGGCTCCCTCGTCCGCGCCCTCGTCCTTCTCCTTCTTCCTCTTCTTCTTCCTCCCGTTTCACTCTCTGCTACCACCAACCAACCTCACATCAAGTAGCAGAACGCACACCACCATGAAGTTTCTTACCACCGGCCTTTTGGCCACCGCTGCCCTCGCGGCCGCCCAGGAGCAGCAGGTCCTCCAGGCAGAAGACGGCCATGGCCAGGCTCCTCAGCGAGACGCCTCCATCTTCGACGAGACCCTCCAGAAGTTCCAGTCCAGCCTGGAGGACGGCATCTCCCACTTCTGGTCCGAGATGAAGACCAACTTCAAGGACTACCTCCCTCTGATCTCGCTGCCCAAGAAGCACACCCGCCGGCCTGACTCAGAATGGGACCATGTCGTCCGGGGAGCGGACATCGAGAGCGTCTGGGTCCAGGGAGCCGATGGCGAGAAGCGCCGCGAAATCGACGGCAAGCTCCATAACTACGACCTCCGAGTCAAGGCTGTCGACCCTTCTAAGCTGGGTGTCGACCCCGGCGTCAAGCAGTACAGCGGCTACCTCGACGACAACGATGCTGACAAGCACCTGTTCTACTGTGAGTACCTTGGATGTCTTTGCTTTTTCCCTGTTTATACATATGAATCAGGTTGCTGACGAGTTACGATACTAGGGTTCTTTGAGTCTCGCAACGACCCCAAGAACGATCCCGTCGTCCTCTGGCTCAACGGCGGTCCAGGCTGCTCTTCCTTGACCGGCCTGTTCCTCGAGCTGGGCCCGGCCACCATCGACAAGAACCTCAAGGTCGTCAGCAACCCTTACTCTTGGAACTCCAACGCTTCCGTCATCTTCCTGGACCAGCCAGTCAACGTTGGCTTCTCCTACAGTGGCTCGTCCGTTTCCGACACCGTTGCTGCCGGAAAGGACGTCTACGCCCTCTTGACCCTGTTCTTCAAGCAGTTCCCCGAATATGCCTCCCAGGACTTCCACATCTCCGGTGAATCCTATGCCGGACACTACATCCCAGTCTTTGCTGCCGAGATTCTGTCCCACAAGAACACCAACATCAACCTCAAGTCCGCCCTCATCGGCAACGGACTGACTGACCCCTTGACCCAGTACCCTCAGTACCGGCCTATGGCCTGCGGCGAGGGCGGCTACCCTGCTGTTTTGGACCAAGGCACTTGCCGCTCCATGGACAACTCGCTTGAGCGTTGTCTTTCCCTGATCGAGACCTGCTACAGCTCCGAGTCCGCTTGGGTCTGTGTCCCCGCTGCCATGTACTGCAACAGCGCCATCCTCGCTCCTTACCAGCAGACCGGCATGAACCCCTATGACGTCCGCACCAAGTGTGAGGACATGGCATCTCTCTGCTACCCCCAGCTTAACGCCATCACCGAGTGGCTCAACCAAGAGTCTGTCATGCAGGCCCTTGGTGTCGAGGTCCAGTCCTACGAGAGCTGCAACAGCGGCATTAACCGTGACTTCCTCTTCCACGGTGACTGGATGAAGCCATACCACCGTCTCGTCCCCAGCGTGCTCGAGAAGATCCCAGTCCTCATCTACGCCGGTGATGCCGACTTCATCTGCAACTGGCTCGGCAACCTGGCCTGGACCGACGCTCTTGAATGGCCCGGCCACAAGAAGTTTGCTGAAGCCAAGCTGGAAGATCTCAAGATCGTGAACAACAAGGACAAGGGCAAGAAGATCGGCCAGGTCAAGTCCAGCGGCAACTTCACTTTCATGCGTATCTTTGGCGCCGGCCACATGGTGCCACTTAACCAGCCCGAAGCCAGTTTGGAGTTCTTCAACCGTTGGCTCGGAGGCGAATGGCACTAGACGACGTCTGCCTGTTATTTGGATGCATGCACACACACACACACACACCCGTACTTACCGGAGTTTCGGATTTGCCATAGTTTGAATGTCTTTTGTACTTGTTTTGCCTACTGTTACTGATACAGTATCGTGTGATCGGTTTGTGATTTTTCTCGGAATTGTTTTAACACATCCCCAGGCTTTGTATAGCCGACAATAGAGCTCTACAGAATGCCAGCGTCTTTGCTAGACATCTACACATAACCATAAAATCCCCCCCATCGTAGACGATTACAAAACCAGTAAAAGAGTCGAGTTTTCTTTTTAAGAAACGGGATAATCCCATGTATTATCGCTCATATTTTTTGTAGTTTCATACATCAGACTAACGCCAGCCATGGGCAGTAAAGGAGGGGAGGAAATCGGCCCAAGGTGAGGAGATAGATTGAAGAAGCGACCGTTTCCCTTCAAAGCAGAGAAAACTAGTTCTCCGCCGTTCATGAGCGAGAATGATATTCATCGTTACATTTCTCATCTCATAACTCACACCACCCGCTCGGCCGCGCACGTACTTCATAAAAAAATGAATCGGCGAGAAGAAGAAAGACAAAAAAATGCAGAATATGGCATCCCTTCCTCCCCTCCTCCTGACCTCCCGACCATGCAGTACGCCTGCCGACATAAAGGAAGTCCCGAGACAGTACGTTTAACCCTTCTTCTTGCTGACACCGACGGTTCGTCCTCGTCGGCCGGTGGTCTTGGTGTGCTGTCCTCTGACACGGAGACCCCAGTAGTGACGAAGACCTCTGTGGGCACGGATCTTCTTCAGTCGCTCCAAATCTTCACGGAGCTTGCTGTCCATCTGATTAGCAAGGACCTGGGTGTCCTTGCCATCGGTGATGTCACGCTGTCTGTTGAGAAACCAGGTGGGAATCTTGTACTGGGTTGGGTTCTGGATGATGGTGACGATTCGCTCGAGCTCTTCAGAGGAGATTTCACCAGCACTGCAGCAAATGCATAAGATAAGTATACATATTTATTTCAAAGCCCAGCTGAATAGTATCCTAGGGGAAGTGAGGAAGAGGAAACCGTACCGCTTGTGGAGGTCGACGTCGGCCTTCTTGCAGACCAAGTTGGAGTATCTGCGACCAACACCCTTGATCTTGGTTAAGGCGTACATGATCTTTTGCTTTCCGTCAACATTGGTGTTGAGAAGACGGAGGATGAACTGGAAGTTCGACTTTTCGCCGGATACGAGCGCTATATCACCATCATCGCCATCCCGTCAGCATTCATCACGGCCATTATATGTTATCAATTTTCATCAAACCCGCTTCTTCCAACCGCCAACTCCGGGCCAGCTGCTGCGACTGCTAGCCCCCGGTGAAACCAGCAAAGGATAGAGAGGGTAGATAAGGGATGTCAACGTACACATGCTGGGCGATATATGAAATATCGAATCAGCCGTCTGGCGGTTTGGGGTTGAGATGGAACAGAAATGTCGCTGCGTCGAAGTCGCAAAGGAGAAAGTCGAAGTTTCTCGTGATGTCTTTTTTTTGTGTGGGATTCGAAAGCGCGCTAGGCCGCTTTGGGATTTTGCGTGGGAAAGTCGTTCGCTTGGTGATTATATAAGTGTCACATGACATATCTTTCCTGATTGGTCAGAATGTTCAGGGCGAAAGAAGCAGCGAAGGCAGCGAGGGCAGCGAGTATTGTATATGCAGTTAAGACGGACTGGACATCTTGAGTGGACCATGATCTTCTGGTATCGTAGTAAAGGTTTTATCGTGGACAGGCATTGAACTATAGCTCAGTCTAGTCCTGAGATGTACTGCCTAATATTACTGTAACAGCCAAAAGTGGTTGCAGTCCGTCAAGGTAAAGGAGTGAAGTACGTATATAGCTATCTATCATGATGGAAATATATGCCGTGCCAGAACAGTATTAGACCTATCGAGTCCATCGTAGTATCAAGTCAGTCTAACATGGGGCTCAAGGAGAAAGAACAGTGTGGTAAAGGAGAAGAAAAAGGCAGT